GAATTATAGCTCAATTATAGCCTTTATTTTAAAGTTTCCCGGCGCCTCCACCAAAAATTTTAATAATTTTTTTATTATTTATTGATAATGTTTGTATATCTCTCCATACTACATGCAGACGATACGAATGATTTATATGTTTGCAGATACTTATTATATATTTATAAATTCTTTAAACAAAGTACTATGCACATTGTGAAACAAAAAACAAAACATAACAGACTGTAACATAAAGAATATGTTAATAAATAATAAAACTAAATAAAAATTACGTAAAAGTGCCTGGTATTTTTTTATTTATCATTTTCTATATAAAATTAAATTCTGGCCTTTCTAGAAACTTTTTCGTAAACTTCTGGAAACGTATCCTCACAATTTAATTTTTTTCTCAATTTATCGTAAAGTTTGTGATCAAACATGTTTCTAAATTCCTCCTTGGTTGTGTATGTATCAGCATACAGCATTTGGTACCTGAAAAGGACCTTAAGTGCACTTGCGAATAACCAAAACTGGACAAGACTCATCCCCAAGCCCAAAGCTGTTACTCCAATTAGGACATTTTAAAAGCACTTTGAATGAACTTAAAGCTCATTGAATTACAAATTAGAAAGCACTTTTAGAAAGTAATTTGTTTAGTAAGCAAGTCATTTAATGTTGCCCTTACTACACATATTTAATTAGTTATAATTATGGGTCATACCCGTCGTGGTCTATAGCAAATTTTTCAATTTTTCTGGTAGACTTTTCTGGTTTGAAGTCTAACACTTTTGGGACGCCGTAAACACCAACATCGACATACATTTCGGATTTGCCTGACTTTGAATGTACCATACCTGGCGCTTGTCCCAAATAAAATGGACAAAGCCATAAAGGATAAACCTGTTCATAAATTCAATAAAAATAAAACTTGCCGTTTCTGGGGTGCCCAAATTTTACAGGTAGTAGGTAGTTAGGGGTTTAAAAGTCTGGTAAAAGGAAGTCAAAAATGTTAGATACCATATCACTTACTTCAAGTGTTTCATGGAACATTTTAATGCTTTTATGTAAATGTTTAGCAGGGATTAGTATGTCCTGAATAACGTGATGATTTTCATAAAGTTCCTTGGTGGTTTCAGTCTGCGTAAGTTTCAAAAAAGAGACCTTGGGTGGCATAAGCCATCCCAGAAGGACCCTAAACAAAAGATTGTTCCCAAAGGGTATAATATCCTTAAAACAATCCTTATTAATACAACCCAACCTTGACTATAAATCATATACAATATAATATTATTACCTGAGCTTCCCAAAAAATAGATCTGGTATGCCGATGGTAGTAATCCCTTAAGGGTAAATATTCGACATCGTTTTTGTAGTAAGGATTTAATTTTTTTTCAACGTGTTTAAAAAACCAGGGTTTATACCATTTGCCTATACAATTAATCTAAAATTATTAATTTCAATTTATGTGTTATCGACCTGAAAACCAATGGGTTACTAACTTTGTCGGGTTCGGGCTTATCAGTAAAATTTCCGGTCATAACAACCGCTCGGTCAGGTCCAAATAAAATTCCTTCGACGAATTCGTTATCAGAGCATGAAGATGCTTCAACAAATCTTTCGCAGATCTTATCTAAACCATGGACGGCATGATATTTGAGTTTTATAAATTGTTTGGCAGGAATTAATCTAATCCTTGTTGCTGTTAAAATGCCCAAAGTCCCGTATGACCATGGGACCGAATAAAATAATTCAGAATTTTCGTTTTCCGAACAATTTATAACACTACCATCTCCAAGAACCATTTCGTAAGAGAGACAAATAGATTGAAAAAGGCCATGTTTATGGGATGCAGATTCTATTCCAGTGCCCATCACGAGCCCACCCACTGTAAGATCGTCTAATTCGGGAACAACCGGGATGGTCCAACCCAATGGGTTTAAAACTGTCGTCAACTGGCCCATCGTTACCATCGGTTCAACTTCCACCCACTGATTATATAATAAATAAAAAACGTTGGTACTCTAAATCTAATTACTTAAATACATGTTACTACCCTCTGGTCTAAATTAATTTCGAGAACATCCACCAAATCTACCACAATTTGGTGAGACGTATTTTTGTAGGCTGGTCTTCTAAAACTCATGGTTTGCCACCCTGGTCTCGCAGTACACAATTTCTTTTTTCTACCTTTTTTATTCCATTCTTGAACCTATTTAAAAAAAACTTCCTGACAATTATACATATAAATAAATACGCCCACTCTTAACGACTTCCCTGCTACATAAATGCAGGGTGTATTTCTGTTACACCCCGTATACATGTTATAAGTAAATATTAACGTTTTGTCTCATGTTTATTATTTTACAGTACCAGAACGGTACAATCAGAATAATTCATAAATAATTCCTGTGCTTCTTTATTTAAGTGGAAATAAATGAAGTCATTTTTTGGTCAGTGAACTTTGTGCTATGGATTTACAGGGGAATGTTCACGTAAGTAAGTAAATCTAAAGTTGATGTATTGTACTGCAAGGTAATGACACAAATACGCGAAAAGATACTTGTGTTTCTGTTTTGTTTAAAATAATCTGCTCACAAACTACTGTCTTCGTTGCAAAGTTATTTTACAAAGCAAATTTAAATTTTTTACTTATTTCAAACATGTATAAAGAGTATGCTAATTAGTAGGTAAAGCTTACCTGCTTTTGTATACTTTGTACTTTTTTTAAATGGTTCTTTGGGGCACTACTCAGTTTGAAAAAAATCCAGTTTCTTATAGCAAAATATCCATTGTATAGAAACGACAATGGTAAAAGAAAAAAACAAACTAGCACCCATCTGTAATTAATTATTAAATATTTCATGAGTGATGTTGTCTCTGCACTCATTTTTGTTAAATTGCGGTAGGATTTTCTTAAACAGAAATTAAACGTTAATATATAATTTTAGAATGGGACGAACAAAGTGTAATGACTTCACGACAAGCTTCTGATTAATTAATTGACAGAGTTTAGATAAAGGTATTATATAATGGTGCGGTGTTTACGTGTATATAGACAGTAATAAATTATGCTAAACACACTACACATAGCATCACGTAGCACCGCGTGACAACACTACACCTGAATAAAATATACAAAGCTAGATAAGATTTAAATGGATATTTGTATGAAAAAAATAGAGTACTGTAGGTGAATTGAGATTTGTGAATTTTTTTTATGATAGAAATTTCGATATTTGCTATTTTGTTATGCTTGGCATGAAGATAATAGGAGAGGGGGGGCGAAAGGGGAGTCGTTAGGAAAAAAAAGCAGGCAATGTGGGGTACCGTTTGAAAGGGCTAGTTGCAAGCAATTCAAAAACATTTTTTAAAAATTTTTTCGTAAAATATTTCGGAAGATATTTTCGAAAAAGGGTCTTATTTCGGAAACTACTGAAACTAAAATTATGAAAAAATGAACATTAAGAGAGGTTTTCTTAAGACCACATATGCAGAGAGTTCTAGCAGGGTACGGAGCCTTCGGTATGCAAGTTGAGATAGTTTTTGTGTTTTTTCTTTCGATTATGACTGTAAGGGGGCAATAATAGGTAACTTTTGGGTACTTAGTTAAACAGGGTAAAGAGAAAAATGTCGGTGGAGATACTTGTAAAAAGAAAGGCATACGTCAAATGTGCACCCCATTTACGGAGCAAGCGTGATAATATTGATCAAAAGACGGTAAAAGCAGAAAACGACAAAAATAATGAGAGCAAGGTGGGGCATCATAATGACGTTCCCGTCCAGTTGTCTTTAATTTCAACCGAACCTCTAGACGGTGTAATAGTGATAATACCGATAAAAATTTTACTAATCCACACCATCACAGAATTATAATAAATAACAACAATATAGCGGGTTGTGCTCTAACGATAATAGTATTATATTAATTTATTTTTTACCCGTGCGACTGTGATCATAATTTACCGAACTCATGATTGGTTCATTTTGGAACCTTTGTAGAACGTGTCCTTCGATGCCTGTAGATAAGGTAATTCAATTCATTTTAAAACATGTTTGCAAATAAATAAATTACTTTGACTAATTCATTATGTTCGTCGTCTTCCAACGACTTGCCGAAAAAATAACCGGCGAAAGTTTTAGATAAACTTTTAATAAGCGTCTTCCTAGATCATCTTGTGTGCGAGACGTCTTTAACGATTTTTCTTCCGATGTCTCACACACTACAACTGAAAACTCTTATTGCGGCCTTCGTATATGTAATTACAATTAAACTTATCGAAATTTGTATAAATTAATGAGACTTTTGCTCATTGGAACAAACAATTCGAAGATCATCTTCTTCGTTTTCGACCAGGAAGTTAGAAAATTAATTAGCTGCAGTAAATTAACATCATCATCACTTCATGTAGACCATAATCAATATTCTGCGACAATTTTGGCTATCCAACGAACTATTTTTACCTTAAGTTTAGACACTTTACTCCATTCTTATTGATTTCTTTTTCATTACCCGATTGTACAGAAAAAAGCTTTATTGTTAGACGAAAAACAGAGGGCCAAATGAAATAAAAAATAAAAATGCGTATGATTATTTTTGACTAGATAGTCTAATAAATATTTTGCTTGAAAATGTGCACACGTATTTTAAAAGTATTGCGCTAGTGTTTTCTACGTGTATGTAGTCGATGGGGGACACCAAAGAAAAGTCAGGAAGAAACAGCATTAGAAACTACAGTATAATGCTGCAGCAACCAGCAACCCTATTTTTCTTTAGTTCCCCTAACAGTAGTATCGGTCATATTTAATATTAAACGCTATTATTTACGTATAATACACTTGTAGCTGCATTCTGAATATCGAAGTACGTATCGATGGCATGAGTACACAGGGTCTAGACAAGACGATGTTATACGAAAAGCCCCCCAAGCTAATGGAACGGCTGTCGCCGTATCTGGTAAGTGATGTAAAATTACGAAAAAAAAAAACAGTTATTGTGGGTCAGTAATGCTAAAATAATTATGTGATCAGTCCCCTTTCATAAAACGCTTTATTAAAGAGAAGGGGGTTGCAGTTATAGGGCAAGCTTTTAGGTACTCCTGTAGTTGCAGCTGTGGGGGTCGATTATTAGGGTTTTATACTTTAGAAGAAAAAGGGGAACTCCTACAAAGTCGTTCATGCATTCATCTCCCTATTTGCAGTAAAACGTTTAACGTAAAAGCTTGAAATTTGGCACGTTGATAGAGCATATTAACAAGCACATTTTCTAGATATTAGATCTCAAAAAATATTAGTGAACGGGGCAACAGCGGGGGCTGAGGGGGCCGGAAAAATAATAATCTATGGGTCATGTGGGGTATCTAATTGAAAGGCTAAATGTAGACAATCCAAATCCCTGCAACGACACCTGCTAGGCGGGAGAAATTGAACCCTCGATACCGACGACACCTGCTATCCAACTACAGTCCTTCTCTCTGTACCAAATGACTTTCTTCTTGCTAGTCTAGTTTATATCAATTAACTTCTGTGATATTATTTTTGTAGCTTCACTTATTATTATGATAATGTAACACATGATGTAGATATTACCAGTTTTGTACTGCTGCCTTCTACTAAATAAACATAAACATAAACATAAACATATATTTTGTTAATTTTTAAGTAGTATATTTTCAGAGGTATTGCAGAAAATGTGCGTAATAAACATGTATTTCTGAAACTAGTAAAGATGAAATTATAAAAAAATCAGGATTGATACATTTTCCTTAAATAGTTTTTGAGATACTCCGTGATATTCTATGTATAAGTACCAACGCCAGTCGAATTCCAATTTCATATGCCCGAATCTAATTTGTTTGCATTGACTGACCCACATTAGTTTACGTATCCTTATGTACGCATCTACATACATGATGGGTTCAATTAACGTTAATGACTGTATAAACGTACCTTAGTTTTTTTTTTGTTTTAATTTCCTGTGGCAGGAGAAATTCCGAACGCTATTCAGAGTGCGGTTCCATCGAAACAAGACGATACTCAAAACGAATGTAAGTCGATAAAAAAAGTGATTGAGAATGGTCGTGTAGTTAGTTATATAATGTCTCCAGTGCTCAAAATGGAACCCGCTTTACCCAGGCGTAAGAAACATCCGGAATTAGCTTATCGTCATCACGAGTTTATAACCAACGAAGCGGATTTGAATCCCAACATTGAATCTTCATCGTTTCTTGATCGAACAAGGGTAATAATTTCATAGATAGAAGATAGATCAGTCCCACTTTTATCGTATTTATTATTATTTTCATTAGAGTGGGCCGTTTTTTTATTACCTTTTTAACGAGACTCTCAATCGCACCTAATTACAATTAAGTAGCAGTTTCCTGATGCGAATTATGTTGTATACCATTTACAATTAGATAATTTTATTGATGAATTAAATTGAATTGAATTATATCATAGCCGATGAGTTCGCACCTGCTTGCTTAACGCACAAACGTTAGAGGTTTCTTAGATTTTATTACATTTTTGTAGCTTTTTCTAGATACCCAACACGTAATAGAAAAAGGAATTTTACGAGAACCAACAATTCGTAACTGACTAATTAATAAAGATAAATTATAAATTTAAATGCCTCGTTTTAAAAAAATCTGTTATATGATACAAAAAAAATTCCTAGGATGCAAACAAATCTCGTTGTCTTTTATTTGATGTATCAGTACATTCAAGCATTAGTTTTCGAAATTAATATTAAGCAAAAAACGGACAATTAATTTAAAATGTTACAGCAGTTAAACATGCTTGTAGAATCACCTTCACGCTTTTTATTCACGCTTTTGATTATACAGAACAACGGTGCCTACGACCAGAAACAATATTTGATTCTAGTTAGAGTCAAAGGTAGACTTAATCGAGGCAAAATATTTTGCTTGGTTTGTAATAGGTAATTATATGATTTCTTTTTCTTTATTATTACGGCTTTATATAATAAAAATAATAATAATTATTATAAAACCAACAATTGCAATGACGATTTTTAATAGATTATAAGATGCGTATTGATTAAATGTAGATAATGTAGGAAGCAACCTGCTTGTCGTTTTTTTGCCTTGAAACATGAATAATAATTGAAAAATAATTTAAATGAAATGTTTCTTTCCCATAAAATGCTTCTTGTAACAGAATGCGGAATTAACCGAATACGAGGTAAGGCTTAANATACCATTATCATTACCAATGTAGGAAGCAACCTGCTTGTCGTTTTTTTGCCTTGAAACATGAATAATAATTGAAAAATAATTTAAATGAAATGTTTCTTTCCCATAAAATGCTTCTTGTAACAGAATGCGGAATTAACCGAATACGAGGTAAGGCTTAAGAGAGGTGCCCTCATTAAATTTTAGATAAGAAAGTAAAATTGATTTCACACTAACTACGTTTTCACTATAAAAAATATAATGAGTGTACCAAATACAGTTTTAAAGTATTTTTTCCTACTTCAATATTTGTATTTATATAGATAGGGTTGCCAAACGTTCTAATAATTATGTTTGGATGATTTTATTGTTAAATTTAATAATGGCACACGGCAGAGACCTTTAACTGCGTTTATACGTCGTATTTAAGAATATTCTGGACCGTTGGGAATTCCCCCATTGTCTCTGGCAACCCTATTATATTAATTTCTGATGGTCTATCTACAAATAGCCATGTACCTATTAATTTTAATTCCAGTCAGAAGTGAGAGGCGGTGGTCATTGGAAACCGTCTCGAAGGAGCAAGTCTGAAGGACCTTCCCGTACCAATCCTGACGATACAACTGATAACGGCGAGAGACGTAGGGAATCGGACCCTGATATTGACAACATGGTATACAACATATCAATTTTTCATCGTTTAATCCTCGAAAAACTTTTTTTTTAATCTTACAATTAATTAGAATAATTCGAAACTGTCGGCACCGCATCACGCAAATATTATTGCGTTGCATTTACTTTTAATTTTTAGTCCCCCTTCCCCTCTTTAGTTTATATTATATAGAACTCCCCAAGACAAAGGGCGATAACGATAACGATAAACTATTATCGCGCAGTTTTAAATCTATTTTTACTTTGTTTTTCTTCGGGGGTTTTCTTCTAAAAAAAAACAATTATTAACTGTAAATACCTACCTATATAACAATTTGGCAGTAGAAACTTGGTGTTTAATGTATGTACATTTTCCCCTTTAATTTTCATTTATTACCTACGTAAATAAAACAGGAAAAATATACAACCAATAAGAAGATTGATTTCTCTAATTAAAAATGCGTTATTACTAATTAGGGGTGCCCGTTGTTCTGTATGGTAAAACTTCAAGTGCACATTTACATTTTACCTTTGGGAATATATATACATGTGTATGTCTATGTTTATGTGTGTCCGCAAATGTTTAGATTACTCGCAAATATCATACTAGATATCACGTCTTATCTATTAATTGTATTTATATATTTATTTTATATTACGTTACAGGTGGGTTACTTATTTCATCACCCCTGACCAGCTATAGATAATTTTATGATTGATTGCTATCCGTATTACTTATTTACAGCAATAAATGATTAAATCTTACAATTAATTAATCTCGATACCCGAAGTATATATTCCCAAAGTTTAGCGGTTATTAAAAATCGATTCAGTTAAATTACTTAATTGTTTGTATTGATAGAATCGGGACGCTGGTTTGATAAAGAAAGCCATATCGAAAATTAGCACAGAATATCGTCTCCAGTTTGCTTGGCCTCAGGGACATATTTCGCGAAGAGATAAAGTTGATGCATCTTGCACGCCAAGAAAATCATTGTCAATGGGAGCGATCAAGCCTTCCGTTAACGCCATTGTCCACCGAAAAAGGACCGATCATGAAAATAAAGATGGTAATAAACTAATTAAATTATAGTTCCCATTTCTTCCCTTGATAAATCAAATCAAAACACATGTAATTTCCGATCTACGTTTTGCCCTCTCTTACCAGGCTTTCTAAGGGTAAGTTTTTTATCAGTTATCAATTGAATCAAAGAGAGGACGAAACGTCGGTCATGTAATAAACAAATTTTCGGTTAAATTATCCACACAGGTACTAATTAAATCATATTCAAACGTTTGAGTGATACGCGATACAGTAGTACAACGAATTTCGTTTGTAGAGAGTGAATTGGAACCATTGGTTGTCAATGACGCGACAATCCACGAGGATGCAAGAGAAAATAAGGTACAAGGGGATGTCGATTTCAAAACAGAATATAAAAAGAAATTTCGGCCATTTTCGCAGTACGAATACACCGATGGTAGATTTCTCGAGAGAAATAACAAATGCAATGAAAACGTTGCTAAAGAAGTGGCCGACAACAACAAGGGCCCGTGGTATCGGGAAGTGGTAGAACTCAGGAAAAAAGCAGGAGAATACAAGGTAAATTACCATTACTTAGGTCGGTAGGTATTACGATAAATAAAGTTGAATTGCTCGAGTTAACTTAATTTTTATATTGTTCCAGTACAGAGGATGGGGAACTGAACTAGCACCAGAAAGAATAGCGGAATTGTATAACAAACAACTAGAGTTATGGGATCAAGTTTCCCAGCGAAGTTCGCTATCGGCGTTGTCCTTGGCCTCAACTGCCCACAGGTAAGCGAATGTTAATTCGGCATTTCAAAATACGTACTTGTTTTACGTAAAGGTCATATACGAAAGATGAAAAGGATGAAAGCAATAAGAGAAGCACGCCTGCCTCTAAATCTTTAAGAAATACTGACAGTAGAATCACTAGGGAATTAATACGGCATCATTTAGAACGAACTACCGGGGGTTCAGGTGAAAAATGCTAGTGTTCTTGCATTTTTCAGATTTGTAGATAATGGTGTTTTAGAAATGGATGGTCTTATTTTGTCTCCGACTCGTGAAAAATTAGAACCGACTATTCCACGAAAGGACGACGGCTATAGATCGACTAAAGGTAGTCCCCAGAAGAGCAGTCCACTGAAAAGTTCGCCACAAAAGTCGTCGCAGAAGAAGACCTACCAGAAGCCCAAGACAATCTCGAAGAACGGTAAATACCATTATCATTACCAGGCACTTGAATAAATCCCTCTTTTCTTATTATCATTTTAGTGAGATCGCAATCATTAGACCCGGCTGAAGTTCGAGCTGAAAAGCCCAAGTCGCCAAAACACCAATCTCGATCCGCGACGACTAAAGAGAAAAAGCAACTTAACAACAATATATCAACTCTACGAAAATCTAGACCATGTAAGTCAAGTCTGTGTTTTGTTTAATTGAAGGGATAGGGAATGACGAATAAACGTTACCTAACTAAAATGTGTGCCAAGTTTCGGTAAGTCACATCTTATTTGCTAAATACTTATAATTATATTGATTTCGCCTGTAAATTCGTCAACGAGTGTGTTATTAGCACACAATAGCACTCGCTACTTTTTACACAATTTATTACCGAAACACCATTATAATTTTTGCTTGCTTTCTATATAAAGTATCAAGTACGTACTAATCTGATAACACCGTTGTAAAAATATATATAATCCAAAACTACACGCAATTCCGATGATAGTAGAAGAAGGTGATTTTGTCGGGGTTGCAGCTTTGCAGAGTTACCGAAGAAATGTACGCTTATTTTTTTGTACACGTTTTCTTCTTTAAGAACAATTTTGTTTACGTATTAGTTTTTTTTTTGTGGCAATGGCGCGAGAACGATATGCTTTTTGTGGTGCTTCGTCAAAATTTGGGGTTCGCCTAGTTCTTTCTGGAACACTTGTAACAGTTACCTATTCCGGTTTTTTAGCTTCCTTGTCTACTACATCTCGATCTAAATCTAACTTTGTTAAAACGGAAGACAAACAACAAGCTAAACCTAGTAGCAAGCAAAATGTCTCTCATGTAGCCGCAGTCAAACAACCATCAGGAGTAGGAATTGGGCGAGGTAAGATGAATATCAATCATAAATAAATACATTCAAACATACGAATTCGACCAATGAGCAAAACCAAACATTTGCTCATTTTCTAACACACGCTTGTACCTAAATAAGTCCGCGCGTACTCCTTCTTGGCACACAATTTTTAATGGGAATTTATTTGGAGACTAATTAATACTCAAAGTTCAATTGTTTCAAAAACAACCAACAAAATAATTATTATTTATTATGAGAGATAACAATGTACAATAACAAGTGTAACAACGGTTCCGATCTATCACAGCAGGGGAAAGCACGGAGAAGTCTTTTAAAAATGAAGTGGACGAGGTGCAAACGCAATCAAACTTCGAGGCAGTCGATTTGGAACCGGTGGTGAAATCACCACCCGAACCGACAAGGGTTAAATCGCCGGAGCAAATTTTAGTACGTTCACCCGATCCTGTAAATTGGACGGTACCTTTGGACACGGGAAAAACATTTACAGTAACTCAAAACATTCCCGAAAGTGAGTTAACACTAATTACATATAAGTACCTAATTTAGTTTAATTTCAAGTAGAAATAATTTGTTTGTTCCTGAAATATGAATTTGTGTAGGCGACTTTGGCGTGAGATCGTGTAGCGAAGCTAAAGTGTGGACGCCACCGGAATTGCCACCCCCGATAGCCCAATCAGCCCCACCTCAATTACCGATGGAACAAATTAAAGAACAAGGCATGTCCATCTCGTAACTTGGGACACGATTACTGCTTGCCGTTCCCATTTGATTGTTTTGCTTTAGGTACGAACTGATGTCGTACTGCACGAAATTGCAGTGATATTCCTATTACATATTAATTTACTTATTATAATTAACACAATTTTAAATTTAAGTGATTCAAATCAAATGCGTAAATGCCTGTATATACATACAAAACATGTGTAACCGAGGAAATTCAAAATGTACCATAAGTATACACATTTTACACTTGCAATTAATGAATGAACATACTGAGTATTTTTTCCTCTTATTAACAGATCATTATAAGTATAAAATAGGTACCTATTATTAAAATTTTTTCCAACGGAATGGCTTGCTTATGATATACAAGTAGTAGGGGCTTAGCACAGTGCATGTCTTTACTAAGCCATTCGTTACATTCATTAGAAAAATTACAATTTGTAGTTGTAATCATTAAAAAATTAGGCAGAAAGCAAGTAAATTGCTTGGTTTCTTCTATAGGTACACTATAGTATAGATTCACAAGCTTATTTTCATATAACATGGTGGAATCTTATTAATTACTCCTTGCTGTGAAACTTTAAGAAGGAATATACATACATATAAACACGAATTTACACCTATTATTAGTATTTCCTATTCACAAGAAACGACAAGTTGTGCGGCCTATTATCTCTTTCCTTTATATTTAATAGAGTAACTATTTTGTATTAAAGTAATGTAGCAATGAATCTTCTAAATTTTGGCGAAAACCGCATCTAAATCGGCTAGGAAGTAACCGAGTTATTCTTTTTAAAGTTTCCGTAGTTTACTTCCTGTTTAGTGGCGCCTAACATTGTTTACATCCGCGCAAGGACATTCCAAAGGCTGCAGGTGCACCGGTTTGACCTACATTTAATCGATTAGCATGATGGCCGCCGTCATCACAACCAATCAGAAGTCTCGATACGGTGGAAGCCATTAAAATCGCATTCCTGAGTTAGTAACTCTTGGTGCACCGGAGGGTGTAGTTCGTTGCACCAAATTTTTGGATATAATTACGCAAAAAACCTATGACTATTATTTTATTAGCTAAAATTAAAATATTTCGATAGTAACTATTAATAACACCAAGTAAATTAATCTAATGATTATTTATTAGGTGTAGAACTTTATTTTATTATTAATTTACTTGAAAAATATAAAAATGAGTACATTACCACAAATAAAATTAATAGAATTACTGAATATATGAACCCCTGTTCCCTTGATTTTTGATATTAATCGTAAAATTAACAGCTTCAAAAGAATAGTTATTTAAATTAAATTTACCCAGCTAAATTCGTTATTAAAAATAATTACTATATTAAGCGCTTAATATGCTTACATAGTATTACGATTTCTTTTGTGTTATGTAGATGTTCAGTAAAAGTATTATTAAAGGTATGAGTTTGGTAATAATTTTATTGCTATATACATTATTAATCGCGCCTAAAAGTTTGATAAGTTCAAAACCACAATTCCCACCTAGAACAATCTCAATATAATTAATGGTCTATCTTCATTACTGGTGGTTTAGAACTTTTCAAATATACTGTAAATAGGAATTACACCGGTTTTAACATTTAAATAAAGGTTTTTAATCTTTTACAGCTAGAACTTTAAAAGACAACAACAAACAGGCGCAAAATCAGCATCAGCGAAAAGATATTTTCGCAGTAGAACAGGAAGAAGCGGTCGCTGACGAAGAGCCATCAGCGAGTAATGACGAGTTAAAATCAGAAAAAGAAGAAGAAAACGACTCAAACAATTCATCCCCTAAAGTTTCGACTACTGAAGAAAAGAACAATGAATTTCCCCAATGTTCTCCTACTACAACTACAACTACAACAACTACCGCTGTAGCTGTTAGTCATTATTCGCTATTGCAAACTTCAGCAGGTCAAACATTCGCATCGGAAATGCTAGAGAAAGCACGCAATCGTTTCGATCGCTTCTGGGGAAGAAACTCGAAGGATACAACGTAAAATTTTGGCCATCCTAGTTACAGGAACGTATTGTTAAAATTCAAGTTGCTGTTACTGCACATCTGAGCGTCAAGCAAAGTAATCAACTTTTATAAATTTATACACATAGCTAGGCTTCAGCTAACTATTTATTATCTACATACATACATACATACATACATACGTGTTAAAAAAACAATAGATAGGATTTTTCCTACGAGTTACGTTTGCACAACGTTTTGTTATAAAACTGTTACTCAATTCCGTTCTATACGTATATATTCAATTAATTTATAGCAGTCTTAGAGCCTATCAAAAAAAAAAAAAAAAAGAAAGGACAATACTCATTTTAATCGTGGATATCTACTAGAATTTGTTGTTAAAATCGCTGTTCCGCTTGAAAAAAAAAACATTTTTCGATGGTACATAGTTCCTGTTCGAACCTTCTATTATTTGCTTTGCCCCCCCCTTCCCTCCAACTGCCCCCTAATAAGCACTCTTAAAACACCAGTTACGAGTATGTACAGTAACTTATGTCTCTAGTAAGATTTGAGGAGTAATTAATCTCGGATTGTCTGTACTGTACACAGGGTAATTTTTATTAGACTTTGAAAAATACGAATAAAAACTATAATCCTTAAGGTTTAACATATTATGCATTACGACCGGATTTGATTGCGAGCTTTGTGATATTTTATTCACTCAAATTATCCTTTTGTGCAGTAGCGGCTTCGAAGGAATAAAATTCAACTTTTTTATTAGTACCTACAGTTTAAAAGAATAACGTGTTATGAAAAGGGTAATTCTTAAAATATAAACGCATATTAAAAAGGAAATAAGTAAGTTGTATTTAAATTAGATATTTTCAATTTTAAGCTTGTTCATGACGTACATATACATATAATAATATTGAAAGTACTTTAAAATAACGTTATGCAGACACGAAGTATTTATTCATTTTATACATAAATATATTATCATACTTTCGAAATGCGGAATGGAAAGTGAACGTTTTCTAAATTTTTTATATGGAAAATGTTTTTGGAAGCTGTTTAAAAATATATAAAATAAATAAAACGTTTATTAAAAAGGCGAGTAAATCTGGAAACAACGGCACGAGTAGTTTTATTTCGGAGCCAAAAAAGGGCTTTTTTAATACGTTTAAACACATATGTAAATATATATATATATATATACGTAATACTCCTGCAATTGCTATATTCGCCAGCCCATACAAGGAATATTAGTAAGTGCGTTTTGCGCACCCTTGCTTTTGCGCTTACATGTATTAAACGTGCCATTTTTGGGAACCACTCGAATACGGAAATCAAGGGGTAATGTGTATATATATATATATATAGATATATAATGAAACCTTTACATTAGAATTATCAACTTGAACTTATGTTAAATGCCATCCAAATGTGTACTGAATTTTTATTCCGTCTGAAAATTACCCGGTTTATAAATATGTATTGGAAGTGGCATATTCCATTTTCTTTTTATACCAATCAAAATATTAAAGTATAGATATTTTATGTAACGTGTGTACATGAATAATGCTTACAGGATGAATGTTATTTTTAGTTAACATCGAACGCACTCTCTGTATTACACTACCATATAGAAAATAAAAATTGTCACTGTTACTAACAATTTTTTATTATTTACCCAACTGTGTTGCAAGTCGCCGCACAGCAGTCTAAATTTGGAATTGTTCTGATTAATGGGGTAGCAGGGAGACCGGAAGTCTACGGACACAGGAAGGGATGACACGCTATTCGACAGTCTAACACAAAACAGTTAACAACATAGTTAATGATATGTATTCATACAATTAATAGATTCAACCGGAAAAAGTGACTGTTCTAGTACTATAAAATTATTTCCAAATCCATCATGTATTAATACAATTTTTATATTTGCGCGGCTGTCCCAATGGCAAGAAAGTATGCAACGTTTCGGCTAAAAGTTATGAAAACTTTAATAATTTGATATCGTGATAAGTTTTATTGGAGATAAAGGCCAAATAAAACTAAAAAACTTGACCAAATTCTAACTAGCAGTTATTGCATGATGCGTGTGCATCGCCAAAGCCAGCGATTATTTTATTTATACAGATAAGGGTATAAATACCCCATATGATAAATAAAATAGTAGATCTTTGAGCTTAGTTCAACAATTCCCACCTAGAACAATCTCAATATAATTAATGGTCTATCTTCATTACTGGTGGTTTAGAACTTTTCAAATATACTGTAAATAGGAATTACACCGGTTTTAACATTTAAATAAAGGTTTTTAATCTTTTACAGCTAGAACTTTAAAAGACAACAACAAACAGGCGCAAAATCAGCATCAGCGAAAAGATATTTTCGCAGTAGAACAGGAAGAAGCGGTCGCTGACGAAGAGCCATCAGCGAGTAATGACGAGTTAAAATCAGAAAAAGAAGAAGAAAACGACTCAAACAATTCATCCCCTAAAGTTTCGACTACTGAAGAAAAGAACAATGAATTTCCCCAATGTTCTCCTACTACAACTACAACTACAACAACTACCGCTGTAGCTGTTAGTCATTATTCGCTATTGCAAACTTCAGCANATAAGTTATTTTATTAAATCAATATAATAAACTTAAGTAAAATGCTCTACAGTAAAATAAAGAAGTGTCAGAGTTAAAATGTTATAAAATAAAAACAAAATTGTATACGTATAAAGACCAATTAAATAAAAAGCTTAATATAAGATAAAAAATAAGTTTCACTCGTACGTTTGTTTGGAATGCATTACTTGTATGTACAATAACTTCTGAATCAGAAAAAAAATTAATGCATCCATCACGAATAAGTTCCAAAATAATTAATTAATTAATTAATCAAAAGTGGAAATATTCCATTGATAAATCCTCCTCTTATTAGGGGACAGGTGACAACAAGCAACACATACACATATACAGGTATACACGTAGGTGTATTAGGGACCACGTTAAGAGAAAAATGACAGGTCAGATTTTTTTTTGAACACTATATCCTGAACATTTAAATGAGCAACTTTCTCTTTATGCTCAGGAACAACAGTTTGATGACAAAACCGTTTAAAAGCCTCAATGTCACGTTCCGCAGCGTCTAAATCTTCTTCTAAAACCTCTCTAGGAGTAAAAACATTATCTAAAAAATACACTATGTTACACAAATAAGTGTATTTTCTAAAACAATTGTACAAAAATATATATTCTTACTTTTTATCTTTACTTACCATACCAGTCTGCTCTGTCCTGCTGTACTATATCAGAAAGTGGGACACTAGTTTTATTGACGTTCGTTGCTAGTTTGTTATTACCCGTTGGAATAATTGAAACGTCTGCCAGTTGGTTATTGTTATTTTTCCTTAATTCATAATCAGTTTTAATACTGTTTTTGTCGATTTTCGTAATTTGAATGCCAGGTAACCCTGAAAGAATCGCTTGGGCATTAAATGGTGACTTTTTTTCGTTATCGTCATTATGTTGCTTCCAGCAAGAAGAAGACGAAGTGGAAACAGTATTATCAGACGTCTCCATGACCGGTTTCAAATCAGACAAAATACTAGACAGACAACTTCCTCCTTCAAACTGTTGCAACCTTGGACTGCGTATGGTTACCATTCCATTTTCATTTTTTATAATCGACGCTTGTTGATTAGACGGAAAAGCATGTAATTCCAATTTGTCGCTTTTGTTAGACAGTGCCGATTGAAGAGAATGGAAAATAGGATTTTTCAACGTTACCATTGACGGACCGTTTTCTTTAGGATGGCCCGGAGCGCCTTCTACTGATACAGAAGACGTAGGCGGAAAGGCATTGGAGCTACTAATCGACGCTGTTACATTACCGTTTTTGTTTGCCTTTTTATTTTTCTTTTTCAATTTCTTTTTTTCATTTACTAAAAATGATTGTTGTATTAATTTTTCTGTATCAACGACGATTACGCCAGATTTATTTCCTGAAGCACTCGAGCCAATAGAAGAGGAAAATTTCGGAGTCGTGTCCATGGTGCTTGAAACATTTTTAAAACTGCGATTTACAGCCGGACCATCGATCTTAGTGATAGTAATACCTGGTGGCAGGCGCAAAATTGGTAAATCTAGGTTTCCTTCGCTAGATTTGTTGTTAGTATTTGTCTTACTAAAAGGGGCTTTAGTGTTTTTCACGTATTTCTCGTCTTTTTCATTGCTCTTATTGTTTGCTACGTTTTTCTTTTTTGGTTGTTTTTTACACTTTTGAGTTTTTTTAGGGTTTTCTTCGACTGCTGAAGGTGATGGTACATTATTTTTTTCAATGGATAGTGTAACTTTTAATTCGTTCTGTTGATGAGGAGCCCTTCTGTTTTCTTTAGCGGATTTCTTACTTTCGTTCTTCTTCTTATCATTGCCTACGTGTTGCGGTTTTATTTTGATTTGTGTCTTACTCTTTTTTCCGTTCTTTTCTGCTTTGATTGTGGCTGCTGTAGAATCTTTTGTTTGTCCATTAACAAGCGTGTACAGAAGGCGGTCCTGATCCGGCGTTGATCCTTTCAAGGTAATTGTTACCGTTGGTGTAGCACATCCATTCTCAGGAACCCTTTTTATAGTTACCATTGCCGGAATACTTTCCTCTATTTGTTTTTTGATTTCCTTACGATCTTTTACTTTTTTATCCTTCTTTTTTATATTTGAATTGGCAACTAACCGGTCATAACATTACAAATGATACAGTTAATATTAATTAAAAATTAAAGTAAAAATACATACCGTTATGCTGCTCTACTCTAGTATGAAGACCTAGTTTCATTTCTTTTTTCTGGGCAGATTTTGACATATGTTTCTTTTGGTTTGCTAATTCTAAAGCTTGTTTTTCTAATTTTCGTTTTTCTTCTTTTATCTTTTCTTCTTTACGCCTTTCTTCCCTTAACCTTTCCTCTTCTTTACGCTTAGCTTCTAAATCTTGACGTTTTTTCTCATCCTCCTAAAAAGTAAACTGTTAGTAAAGTGGGATATCTGACATTATTAACCTAATATTTACTCTTTTCTTTTTTTGTCTAGCTTTCTTAGCTGCTTTCTTTTCAGCAAGAGCAATTTTATCTTTCTTTTTATTACCCTCGATAAAATTTAGTAACTCGTTTATATCTCTAGAATCGCCGTTATCCTGTAGGGAATTTAATGAGCTTGATGAAAGGGACGAGGTGGAACCAGTTATTACTGACTGTTGTTCAGCAACAGCTTTTGGATGTGTATTTAAGCATGATGGGGTAGGCATAGGCAATGCCGTATCTATATTATTAAGGGACTTTGTTACACTGTCAATGAACGACTGTTTTTGATATCTTGATGCTTTCTGATGTGTACAAGTATTCTTGGGGCTGTTAGCTCCGTTTGTCACTGGTTTATTGGCATTGAGGTGGTCTGGAATTATAGGAACACGCGAATTAACCAATTTAAAATCATTTGAGGCAGTAGCTCCGTCATTTTGCAAAAATTTTGAAGCTTCCAACAGCTGAGGAGATAAGTGTTCTTCAGCTGTGGTCTTGACTTGGCCTCCATTTAATTTATCTACATTGGAACCCTTTGAATCTAAATAAATAATTGTTGCAACATTAAGACTCTAATTAGAATAAATAAAATAGTTTACCCCTCTCTTTGCGCTGATGTAAACGAGTACGAAGTCTATCTCTAGTTTCGCTAGTTTTTTGCCAAGGTGCTGTGGGTATTGTCTATAACAATTGTAAATTCACTTAATACGCCGTCAAGCAAGAAAAAGGAATACTTACCGTTCCTAATATCTCGCAATAAGGACAATCGCATTTCTTCAAAACTTCTTTGTGGTGACCGCAACAATTTGCTCCATCAACTGAAATAAAAAAATTAAAAATATTTCCGATAATATTGGTAAATTATATTTTACCTTCTTCTTTTGAATTACATGTATGATTGCACAAACCATCCTGATAATTATTTTTGTTTACTATTCCATTACATCTGCAAAATAATGCTTATTTACACATTCTGTTAACACCTAAAAGGGGCATCTAAATAATTTATATTAAATAATGTGACTTTAGAAATAAAATACTTAAAAATTCCCCATTGTCCATTTTATATATGAATACATATGTATAAGTATTATACACTTACTGTGATGTTTGAGAACATGTTGTTTTAGCTACAGTAGGCAAAACGTTTTGTTTCTTGTTAGTTGCCGAAATCACATCTGCCTGATCTTTAATAACTGTACTTAAATTTCGGTTCTTGGCAACTGGATTTTGAGGTACCTCCTCTTTCTTTGCGTCTACATTGTGTTCCTTTTTCACATTTTCCGTTGTAATTTTTTCGGAATTTTTCAATACTTCTTGTTTCGGAACATCTTTCTTGTTCCCATCTTTTTCCCTTCCTTCAGCTGGTTTCCTTTCTAATAACTTCTTTTCTATCATTTTCTTTTCTGCAGCCCTCTCTTCGATTGCTTTCGCCGCAGCTTTCTTTTCTGCGGCAGCTGCTGCAGCCATTACTGCAACTTTCCTTTGTGCAGCTATAGCGGCAATTTTCTTTTCAATTGTCTCAAGTTTGGCTGCTTTCTTGTCCTTAACTACTTTTTCTTCTACCGGTTTTTCTTTATTCTCCAAAGAAGTCTTCTCTTTCTCTTTCTCTTTCTTTTCAGCCGCTTTTTTCTTGGCTATTCTTTCAGCTCCCTTCCGGCAAACTTCTACTACTTGACTTTGTGTAAGACCAGCACGTTTTCGTAAAAAATCGCTGAACAATCGCTCAGCCTGCTTATCGAACTCTTCCACTGTAACGATCTGTCCAGGAGCAGGTTGCTTATATTCTTCTGAGGGCTGCGACGACGTGTCTAGGGCCAACTGATGGCACAACGTTAGATGCATCATTTGCATAATTCCTGCTTCGTCCAATACAAAACTCGCATTGGAAATATCGTCTTTGTCGTCTTCTTCTTTTACGCGTCGAGCTTCAAAATCTACCATATCTTCAGCACCTTCCCCTTCTTCTCTTGTTTTCCCCAATTTGGCCAACCTTCTTGCAGTTCTAATCTTCCTATCCTGACTCTTTGCTCCAAATGAAGGACACCCTTGATGTTTTATCACTACATGATTGACAAATGTTTCTAATGGAATAATATCGCGACATATGTAGCATGAAATACGACGGACATTTTGATCGGTGTCGGGTTCGAGATCGTAAATAACTTTTGTAAATTCGTCTGAAAGGCAATCATCACATACACAATGACCTATTTTATCTATTATGGCATCAGACATCTGTCCTAGGTTTCCTACTAAAGCTAAAATGTGGGCATCCAATTCAGTTGGTTCTTGAATCTTTTTCCTAAATAAATACAAATATTCTTAAGTTGAAATAGTAGTTTACATAAAAAAGAAACACCTACTGTTTTTCAGTACGAATAATCCAATAATTGCTTTTTAAAATTTTTGTGTCTTCTTGGTAGGTCATGTAATCTGTTATTAATTTGACTGCTGGGTTCTCTAATGCGCTTTTCTTACTACAATAAGTAATTTTTCAATATTTAGAAAACATTTCAAAAAGAAAAACAGCCTAATACCTTAATATACTGATGCACATCCTTATATTATTCCATCGTGCTGCTAGCAGTGTCATATCTTCTTTAAAACATTCATAGGAATCTATTATTTTCTTATGAAAACTTTTGTTTTCACTTTGTAACTGAAAATGTTTAATTTTGAAAAATATTTCAGTTAATTAAATTTAAATTGAATTACCTTTGCAAATGCTGGCAATTTTGTTTGGACACATGGATCTAAGTAAATATAATGATAAAAAATACTTTTATTCAGGCAAAGCCAATTAACTTGAAATCTATCCATTAAAAGAATATCAATTTCTGGTACTAATGGTGAAAGCTTATCAGCAGCTGAACAAAAAGCACTGTAATATGCCATTAAACCTAAAATTGGAATATAATTTTTAATGTGTCCAGTACAAGCTTCCACATCTATGCAGAAGTTATTATATACATATAGGCACTACTTATTATACTTACTAACAAGATTTGCTGGTATTTTTGTAATATTGCTGTTTTTATAGCATTCCTTTCCTACATAAGCAAATTCTCTGAGTAAAGCTAGCAGTCTTAAAAATAACTGAGTCCTATCTTCTCGAAGCAAACTAAAAATTTAAAATACTGTAAAAATCAACAAACAAATGCTGCACACTCACAATTCCATAAGTTCCCTAATCTTCTTTGTAAATGCTGAGGGATAAATTTCAGTTGCATTTAAAGGTTTTGTTGTTAAAAAGTGTCTATAAATAAAATATACATAGTGCTGTAATCCAGACCAGTACTTGATAGGTTCAGGCTTAAAACTGCGGACTTCTTTCAGGAACTTTTCAAATAAACCTCTTTCCTTTTCTGATTCAGAAGTTTCTTCCTTTACAGGTGGACTATTGACCTTCAAAGAGATGGAATTTTAGTCCAAAATCCTACATTACTTTTTAAATGTATAAACCTTCATGATGTATTTTAACAATTCATCTTCTGATGCCATTCCACGGATAGATGATGAATTTATAAAACTGTGCTTGTTAGTAGTATTTTCGGCACTGGAGACATTTATATCACTTGTCTTCTTGTTTTGGGCAACAGAAGAAATACGATTCATATTTTCGGCATTCCCTTGTAACAATTGAGTTTGCCTTCCATACAATTTCTGCATTTTAAATTATTAAACTTACTGATAAATGCCAATATGACAGTTGAACACGCCAAAATAATTTTCGGATGGGGGTTACTGATTTTCTATTTTATTTATAAACTGGTTATGACAAGGTACGACTGATTAAGCCAATATAATAGCTTAAATTTGTCATAGCTGTCCATTTACAGGGGAAGAAATTACAACAGCAAACTTAATTATTACTATTCTGAATATATTAATTATCAGTTTTTCATTATTTTAATAGTCTTCATGGGTACTTCGATTTACTCTTTGTTCTAAATCCGTCACTTAACACTCCATAGATTAGGAACAACTGTTATAAGCTGGTGGCCAATAATAGTCATGCTCCAGTTTTGATCAGTTTATATTTTAAATGATACAAACTATAAAAGTTGTATTTTGGTTAATATAATTTAAATTTTAATCTTTAATATAATACCAAATTGAACCGAAACTAATGCTATATGTAAAAACTGCTAACTCACAAATCTGCTCATAACTTAGACACTACGTAACTGTAAAATGCCTTTATTAAAGATCTATGGATTAAAAAAAAACACGTCTTATTCTTTTTGTTCTTATGTTATGTGAGCTGTAAGGTGTATAACCTATCCTGTTTTAATAAAAAATAGTTAATCTAAATTAAAGGTAGTCATCCTTTAACTTTTTCTTGAAATATTAATTCAAATTAATATAAAATAACTACAAATCTTTCTTTTATGTAAGATTTTTGCAGTATCTGTTACAGATTTTTGGTATCTTTAAAAGTTAGATTTGAGGTTAGATTTGTGTTTATTTGGTTTTACAAAGTATTTTTAATTAATTTAACTTTAAATATACTTATATTTATAATTATTTGTATTTTTTAGAAACATGGCTCCAAAAGGGAATAACATGATTCCTAATAACCATTTCCATAAGGATTGGCAAAGATTTGTGAAGACATGGTTCAATCAACCAGCAAGAAAATTGAGAAGAAAGCAGAATCGAGTTAAAAAAGCGAAAGCGATTGCTCCTCGACCTGTTAATGGACCTCTACGACCGGTTGTTAGATGCCCAACAATAAGATATCACACAAAAGTTAGGGCAGGTAGAGGATTTTCTCTGTCAGAACTGAAGGTAGAGGTTTTTTATTTAAAAACCCAAAGAAATGCATTTCATACTTAATTTTCAGGCTGCAGGTTTGAATCCAGCTTTTGCCAAAACTGTTGGAATTGCTGTTGATTATCGTAGACGTAATAAGTCTGTAGAATCTATTCAAATTAATGCACAACGCTTAAAAGAATACAAATCTAAACTCATCTTGTTCCCAATTCACAATAAGAAGAAACTGCGCCCTGGAGAGGCTGATGAAAAAGAAAGAAAGGTAATGAAACAGTTTTAAACTGGTTCTTTTGTATCTAATTTGGTGTTTATATGGAAATGTTTGTTGTTGTTTTTATAAATAACTTATCACATGAAATATAAATGTATTGTTTTGTTTGTTACTAGGTTGCAAGTCAACTAACTGGTGAAGTGCTACCAATTCGTCAACCAGCTATTAAATCAAAAGCACATGTTCCAACAGAAGAAGAAAAGAAATTCAATGCTTATATTACATTAAGAAAGGTGAATATATAGATGCTCACTATTGATATTTTTAGTAAATATACTAAATAGTGATATACAAACATTTTAAGTAGTTAATTAGGTTTGAATTATTTTATGTAATTCCCACTTATAGTTTGTATTTTATTATTTAGGCCCGAGCTGATGCAAGATTAGTAGGAGTCAGGGCTAAACGTCAAAAGGACGCAGCAGAAAATCCTGACGACGTAACGAAAGCAGCGAAGGAGCCTAAGAAGGCAAAAAAATAAGATTTGATCTTTTAGATGTAAATAAAAGACAATAAAAAAGGAACAAAAAATATAGTTTATTTTATTTTACACATAAGCCAACCCAGTGAAATTACATCTGATGGCTGGTAGAATAAACTTCTATTACTTAAAAATTATAATGAAAATGAAAGCAAAATCACAGTTTAAATCAAATAGTATGTTCGTCAGTTTAATTAACTAATTAGATCATCATAATTTTAAAAACACCTGAGATGGGACAACATTAATGAAATAAAAAGGATGTTGTCTTATTACACCTTATCCAAAGAGATTATTTCTAAACAGTAACTGTTTCAATGTATGTGTGCACCTCATTTGTAGGACACTTACCAAAAGCAGCTTTTCTGCTTGCTTTAAAAAAATTGTAACACAGATTATAATAAATGCCAGTACGACAACACAAACGAAGTTTAAAACTAGTTAGACAAGAACAAGAAAGAGTACAAACTTTAAGGCAATCTTTAACTAATATGTGAATAATGTATAGTATTTTCTAGTAGAAAAAACGATTCATTCTAAGCGTATTATGTTTAAGTGTTTTTCTATAAACAAAGACCCACATACAGTAATCACAATTATTTACTCCTTAATGCTAAATGAAAAATAATCGGGTGCTCAGTCAAAGTTTCCAGTTGTTTTCAGTCTACATTGAAGCTGGTGTTGGGGCTTGCTCTGTCTTTGCGGATTCCTTTTTTATTCTTGGCAGATTTTTCTTTTTTTTTAGAGACAGGTGAGTCACTTGGAGAGCTATTGTTAGAAGAATCTTGGAGTAAATCTCTTAGATTTGATAAATAATCATCCTCACCTTCCACATCGATGTTCATTGCCTCTACTGTTTCTGATTCAGCAGTCTTCTTAACATTAGCTAAAAATTGACATTAATGGCATCTTTATATTATAAAAGAAAATTAGGTATGACTTGTACATTTCTTCTTGTTTCCATTCTTGTACTTCTTCTTACGTCTCTTATCTCCCCAGTCCCAATCAGAATTATATTCATCATCACTGGCAGTGCTTCCATAGTTAGCGGTGTTTTCATTTTTTTTTTCTTTGCTACTGTTTACACTATTATTGCTAGCAATTCTTCTAGTAGCAGTTCTTGATTCTTTCATCCCCATACAACCTTCAAGATGTGGGGCAAATCTGCAATATTTTCACACTGATAACTTAAATATATGTTATTTATTTAAACTACCTTCCGGCACCAACAAGTCTATCACAGTTAGGACATAAACAGTTTGGAACTTTCTTTTTTAAGGGGCCAAATATATCAGTATAAAGTGCTTCTTCTGGTATCTCAGGGGGTATTTCTTCAGAGATTGGATCAAAACTATTGGTTTTATATTTTCTATGCATATCAAATACAATTCCTAATAATATTTTGTCGATAATGTTATCAAAAAACATCTCTACTGCACGAGAAAGCATCTCCTTGTTACTAACCACCTCGTGGAGCTCCCGATCGAGGGTAGATGTCTTCATTTTTGGACTTTCATGTTCTTCATGTCTCTCCACTTTCCCCAAGTTCTCCATACTTATGATCACAAAACACTCAACTTATATCACCTCTACTATTTCAGAAATTCCGATTAATTTTTATAACGATTTTTAACGGCTAATTATTAAGTTATTAATTGTTTTTGTTACCTGATAACAACGGCCACCTTCCTTTCTGCCATTAAAAATGTTGTAAAATCATAGAGGATAGTATTCAATATCAATAGACCGAAATCAGCTGATCTAACCTATTTTATTACATATCGTTTTTTAAGTTATGTAAAATTATTTTAGTTAATTTTTACATTAAAAAATATAAAAATGTGTTTGTTCCCAATTAATTTCTCTCGTTTACGTTCAAATAGACCGTCAGTGTGAAGAGAATGTAATTAAAAAGACGTTAATAGCAAGTACAATGGCTAATTTTCTTGATTTGCCTTATGAGGTAAGCAATATTTCGATTACTATGTGCTATCACAACGTTTAAACGCTTTCATTTCAGATTTTGAGTTACATAGTAACTTTTCTTTCGTATGCAGATAGATCAGCATTAAAATTAACATGCAAAATTCTTTACGATGTCTGCATACAAAACTTTTTTATTAAGGAAGAAATTCTTCATGTACAAGACGCAGTTGTTTCAGCAGAGCATGATCCCTTAGTTAAAATTGGTCGAAATACTAGAATACATAAAAAACTAGTGTTTACCAATGTTGATTTCAAATATGACAGTGAATTTTGGATTAATTATGGAAATAGCATTGAAGCTTTAGCATTTATTAATTCGGACATTAGCAGTGATTGCCTTTTTAACATACTTTCTAATTGTTCAAGTTTAGAGTCTATAAAGTTGGAAAAGTTAACTCATTTGTTTATGACATTCCGTCCAAACAGACACAGAATTATTTTACCAAATTTGAAATCATTTGAATTGTGTTCTTCAAAGTATATTACTGACAAGATTTTTAGTTACTTTTTAAGCATGTGCCCTTCTCTGAACCATTTAAGTATTCACGATTGTGAAAATTTTTGTCATCCAGGAATATATAAGAAATTTTATCCTAAGAACGGCGATGAAATGAAAAGGCCATCAGATGCAATATTTTCGTTTCTGTATATAAAATATGCTGTTAGCGTGGAAGCTGCATACCTAACAAGTTTAGATTTCTCAAAAACAATGATTAATGGAGAATACTTATTATCAATTCTTGAAATAGAAAATCTAACACTTTCAAATTTGAATATTTCTGGCTGTAGTCAACTACGAATTTCTTCATACAAAACTATAAGTCAGTTGCAGCCTAATTTAAAGTGTGTTTTGTTAAATGATGTTCGTGGCGGTTGTATGGAAATTTTAAAAAATCCAATGAAAAATTTAACTGTCTTGGAAATGGATGGTATACAAAAGACAATAGAAGTGTCTGAAGCTGCTGGTAAATTGGTAATCTTGAACATAGTAAATTCGACTTAACAAATTAGTTTGCAGGAAATTCACTAAGAAACTTAAAGGAGTTATCAATGAATAAATGTGATCCCATGGCAGCCAAAACTGTACTAGAAATAATGTATTTAAATCAGCCTTCCATCCAAAAAATATCTTTTGCTTCTATTGAATTGCCAAGAGAAATCCTTCTAAATATTATTCAAAGTTTTAAAAAGTTAGTTTGCCTAAACCTTAGTAATATAGTTGTGGCAGTTGATGATGCTGTTTTAAGGTGTATTTGCGAAAATTTAACACTTTTGAGGGAGCTTGACTTAACAAATTGTGATGGTAGGCACAAGACAGTTATATAATTCAACTGTATTTAATTAGTTAGTTAATGTTTTTACAGAGATAACTGACAGGGGCTTAATGGGAATTGACTTGAATTCAGAGTCTTCAGTGAGGCCTAAGAAACAACTGTTAATGAGAATACCGTTGGGTTCAAAGGTAGAGACAGAAATAAGAGAAGATGTAGCACGAAAACGGGAAATTATGCAAATTATGAATATCTCAGGACAACCTACGACCTTCTCTATTATGCGCCTTCAAGGCCTGAAAGTTTTGTCCCTAAGGAATTGTACACGAGTTTCTGATTTGAGTTTAAAGAGCGTTTTTAAATTCGTAGAATTAATTTCTTTAGATATCGCAGGTTGTCAACAAGTATGTTTTTTTTTTTATTTTTGTTTCTTCAATATTTCCATTGCAAATTTGTTAATTTTACTTCTTTTGATCTTTCTATATAGATTACTCACGAAGGGTTTTCTGAAATGATTCCAAATGTTAAGAGCCTTGAAGTACTTAATTTGTCATCGTGCTTTAATATTGGCGACAAAACAGTAGATAACATATGTCAAGGACTTAAGCGATTAAAAATTTTAATTTTACAAGTATGTATTTCCCTGGCACTTAAGAATTACTAAGAAAAAAATTAATTGCCATTTTTATAGAATTGTAAGCAGTTAACTGACAAATCGTTGGAGTCTGTCTTTTATTCTACATCCCTGAAACGCATAAACGTTAAGGGTTGTGAAAACATGAATAATGATTTTATTCGAAGTATAGAGGATGTATTGGAACAAAGAAGAGTATTTACTATGTGATGTTTACTGTTACTTAACTTAATAACCATTTTTTCCTTACTAGTTTAATTGTAAGGCGTTTATTGTAACGCCAGCACAAATAAATGTTAAACAAATTATTATATTTATTATAAATGTTTTTTTAACGGTAGTTTACCATAAAGGGCTGTGAAAGTTACACGGTTTTTGTTGGACTAATATTTTTTGAGACATGTTCTGTATAAATTAAGTAAAATTGAAAGGAAGATGCTTACATAAATCTATATTTATATATTTTTTAAGTAATATATATGCTGTTACTTTCTTTGTTATATTTAATAACTAAATAAAAAGAAATAAAAAGTTTTGCCTTTCATTTCTAAAAGAAACAAATTCGCTAATACTAAAAGCATATAAATGAGGTTTTTAACTATTAATAATACCGCCGATTATTAATAAATTGTTTTATGACCCTTTAAGTTAAATGAATATTGAATTCACGTTCCCTTAAATTAGGAGATACCGGCTTAATTATCTTATCAATACCGATTAACTCATTAATACCTATTAGGTGTAAAATGTGTTGCCTATATGTTCCCATATTTTATGTTTAACTAAAATTAATATTTTTAAAGAAAATACTTTAATAAAAATTATGCTGAAGTAATTAATGATAAAATGCTAAGCAAACTGTTAATAAAAATATTAAAAGTTTAGTAGTTTTTATGAGTTAGATCAATGAGTAACGTTAATTTCTATGGAAGCCATCTTGGGCGGCCATTACGACGATTCAAAATTTAAAAAAGTTGAGCGTCGAAAAATGACCTTTTCAGCATTAATTAATGCCCAAATTGACAGCGTGACAGTTAGTTTAGATGCGAATGCTTTAAGTCCAAGTTAACGATGGTTAATTTCCTAGATCTGCCAAACGAGGTAAGTTTCTCGCATAAAAAATTATTTAAAAGTGCGCGTTTTATTTTATTTGCATTCGTAGGTTTTGAGTCAAATTGTAGCTTGTCTCTCTTACTCGGACAGAGCAGTGCTAAAGACAACATGTAAAAGGCTGTATAAAATTTGTAGCGAAAACGATTTTATAAGGAGAGAACGTATTGTGATCGAAAATCAAACGGTTTCTCAAGACAAAGATTGCCTATTACTTTTGTACAGATGCACTCATCCATTTTTCTCTGTTGTCTTAAAGAATGTTCAAATTTTGTACGACAGCCTTTTCTGGATTGACTTTGGAATTCATATTGAGAAATTATCGTTCATTAATTGCCAAATAAAATGCGAAAACCTTTACTACATACTTGCTTCCTGTCAAAATTTGCAATATCTAACTCTGAACAACATAAAAGAGCTTTACACGTCATTTTCCGCCCAAACGTTGACCATGGACTCTTTAATATCACTTGAACTTTGTTCCCCTATCGACATTACCGACTACATATACCACACTTTAATTAACAGTGCCCCAAACTTGACTCACTTGAGTGTGAAGAATTGCAAGAACTTTTGCAATCAACAAATATCGAACCAGTTCTATCACAGAGGTGGCGAACCGTCTCTTTCGCCATCAAAAACCATATTTTCGTTCACATTCGTGACCTATACAATACGTTTGAGAAAGAAAAAATTGACGAGTTTGGATTTTTCCAACTCGTCAATTACTAGGGAAGGATTGTTCCTTCTTTTACCCTTAAACGGATTCAAATTGGTCAGTTTGAATGTTTCCGGTTGCGACCAGTTGGTTATTCCCAACTGGGCTGTAGTCAGTCGTTTGCAACCGTATATAGAAAAACTTTACTTAAACTACATACCTGGCTGCCCATTGGACGTTCTATTTTCCCCGTTGCCCAATTTGACCATTTTGGAACTTGACGGCATGCACAACTGCGCTGAACCTCCTCATCGGATCGAATGTGAGTAAAAGATCTGAAACAATTTCATTTTGCGATTAGTTTTCCCAAAATATGCGCGGCACTCTTTACGTAACTATGACAATGCCGAAAGAATTCGAAATATTTTTTTGTAGGTCCTTATGACAATTTAAAAGAGCTCTCGTTAAAAAACAGCTGCTGTGAAGCGGCTCAGATAGTGTTTAAGTTAGTTCTACCGTCTGGAACTGCTAGATTAGAAAAATTTTCCCTTGGCGGATGCATGGGTTTACCATGGAACGAGTTGTACAATAATGTGGAAAAATATAGCGCAACCCTCATACATATTAATTTCAGCGGAAGCGTTTGCGTCGACTATAAAATTTTGGAAATAATTTTCAACCGCTGCAAACGTCTGAAGGAGCTTTGTTTATCAAACTGTCAAGGTTTTTTATACGAAATTATTATTTTTTTTTGACCCGTCGTACGTTATGAATTGATTAAAATTTAAGGGGTTACTGACGGGGGCCTCATCAGCATCGAAACTGTTGACTTTGAGGTGGGAGATTTGGAAGATAAGATGGAAATTATTAGCGGGGCTGCAAGAAGTGGATATTTCAGGAACAATTCCATCATGAATTTAACCAACTTGCAAGCTCTAAGTCTGAAGAATTGCATTTGCGTAACAGATTTCAGCCTTAAAGCCGTCTTCAAGTTCAAAGAATTGATTTCGTTGAATTTATCGGGATGCCAAAATGTAATCGTTTAGTTTTGGGTACCGTATGGTTCGCAAATAAAAAAAAAATATATTTTCAGATCACTATGGAAGGTATTCGATCGTTGATTGCAAGCGTGCCGAGTTTGGAAATATTAAATTTGTCCACGTGCTATAACATTGACGACGATGGCATAAATGTAATTTGCAATGGATTTAAAAGACTGAAGAAACTCATTTTGGAAGTCAGTCTCACGGGAAAAAAAAATCGAAGAGGTAAATAATTTTTGTAATAAATTTTCAGGGTTGCATTCAACTGACCGACGAAACGCTTGAAGCAATTCTTTCTACCCCGACCATTCAGCAAATGAATGTTAAAGGGTGTACAAACCTCAGTGAGGATTTTCTTCAAAATATTGAACTCGTTTTGGAAAATAGAAGATCTTTGTATTAGAATAATTTTCGTTCGTCTTTTTAATATTTGTTGTGTTCGTGTTTCGTTATTTAATTTGATACTACGTTAATGTAATAGTAAAATATAAATCTAACAAAAACAAAAAAAATATGTAAAAGAGAAAAATTCCAAAAAAAAAAATGTTCCTAGTTTTAGTTCTTTTTCTTGTTGTGCTTTATGTGTTCATCAAATAAATTTCCTAAATATTTTCCTTTTTTTATTAAAAGCTTTTCCTTTACCAGTGAGATTATCGAAAAACAAAAAAAAAATTTTTCACATTTTCAAATTGTTTTTCTTTTTTTTTTTTAATAAAACGTGTGGTGGTGGTCAATACAGTTAAGAGGTAAGTAATATAAGATAATAATTTGGCTTGTAATTTCTTCTACGTTCATAAATAAATAAAATAAATTAATAAAATATAAATTGTTGCTAGTAGTTATATGTATATTTTTTGGACTGCTTCTGATAGAGGTATTGAATTTCACGAAAAAAAAAAGTATTTCCCTTGAAAATAGCCACTTTCTTTTACATTTTATTCGAAAATTGTTACCACTTTGTACTTCGAAAGTTTCAATTTATTTTATTTACATCTCAAACGAAAAGCTGTTAAATTTTCTTGAAGAATATGTAAATTACATTACTGATACTAATAATATACAGTTGCTTACATATTTTTGAAGCAAAACGAGCTTTTGAATGAAATTTAAGCGAAATATACCAAGAAGAGATGCACTGCCATTATATGAAAAGCCACGAAAAAATACACAATAATTATTACCTATTTAGCAACATTTAATAAAGATATGGATATGGGCATTTGATTGAAAAAAGTTTTCCGTTTCTAAAAAGTAAATCCTTAGAATCCTTAGTAACTGGAAGATCCTAAGAGAAGTCTTTAATACTTCGATATAAAAATCGTGTAATTAATAGTTATTAAAATAAATGTTGAAAGACATAAATAAACAAATTGTTGTAAGTGTTCGATTGCTGGGTGGGAGGGTGATGACCCTTTTAGGGCTTGCTAAAAAGTGATCACCCTATATGGTATGAATGGACGGGACGCAGTGGGATACAGACGTCGCGACGCAGGAGGCGCAAATGTTCAACATTGATCTGCAAAATTTTCGCAAGTAGAAAGTCAAGACCTACGTTTAGAGTAAGTAAGATAAATATGAGAGTATATATGGTTGCAATTTGTGACGTTGCTTGCTTCTTCAGGGTTTTAGAAGCGAAACGCTTGCCCCGCTGACGAGAACGCGAATACAGTGAGGTCGCGTTAGCGTAGAAACTCTTCGTCAGCTATGGCTTTAGTTTTCATCTGTGTTAAATAGAAAAAAAAATTTACAGCAACAACATGCATTAAACAATCCATTAAACGAAAAGTTATAAACGTATATACACGTGTACATGTGGCATGTATACTTGTATATACAATAAAATTAAAAGTACCATTAAAATAAAGTGAAAACAAATTAAATAAAAATAACGTCAACTAAATGCAGATATAAAATAGAAAGGAGATAAAAAGGTGAATTCAAATTAACGCAGTTCATTTTTTATCGATGGAAAATCGTATGCATCAGTCATGCCAGCCAAATTTCAGCTTGAGAAAAATTTCCATTTTTGTTGTCTTCTACATCTGCCTCTATCTGCCGAACGGTAAATAAATATAAAAAGCCATGCGATTCAACATTCTATTTTGTTAACGTTCTTTTGCTAGTTGTAGTTTATTGTTACTTACTTACTATCTAGTTATTATAGATACGTAGATCACCTAGGTCCTTAGTTTTTATATACCTATTTCTAAAAATGTTTTCACTTTACTTTATATGTGATTCTACACCCATGTAGAAGTTTTATTATTTTTTTTTCTTCACTTTTTTCCATACGTAGACCTTTTTTGATTAATGTTGCTGCTACATTATAACAATATAGAAACAATTATTATTATCATCGTATTATGCGAGCTACAAAATCTATACTTCATGGAAATGGCGCCAATAGTCATTTCACATTCCGGAATCAGTTCAAATACATCATTCCCTTTCTATATTGTTTTCACATGGCTTCAAATTATTTGTGCTGTATTAGACGAAATAATAAATTTATTTACCTTTGGCATGTAGTAGAAATAATAAAGACACGCCTTCACTCATGTACATAATTATTTACTTTTTCAATATCGTTTTATACGAAAATGGGACCTTCTAAGCGATACTCTTTTTGAATATTTGTGTTTTATTTTATGTCACCGATCTGCCCATTTATTGTTCTATATTTTAGTAAAATTATATCTGAAATGTTCTCGATAAATAATAATTTTAATGTCACCCTGTATAAGCTGAATATTATTATTGAGAGACTACTTTTTGATTAGATAAAGAATGACGTTAAGTTTAAAGTTGAGGAACAATGGATTTTCTGAAGCGTTCTTAACTCGATTGTTTACTTTATGAAATATTCTTTAAGTAATTTTCATCGCAAATGCCGGAGCGGCTCTCATGTTTCATTTATATTTTTCCAATTCAGGTATCACAGTCTGAAAACGACTTTCAACTCTTTATTGTTCCATGATGCAGCAAGAGAATGGAATGTCGTCGTTTTTCTTAGAGTTACTACAACTGCCAACCGCCAACAAAAGAAAATGATTGGTTAAAAGTCTCTCTTGAAGTCGTTTTCTTTTTTTCCTTTTTGTTTTCTTCGTTCACTTCAATTCAAACGATAACGAATGACAAATTTCAAAAACTTCCACAAAATTTAATGTCTGACATTATTTCTAACTGAAAAGGCAAAAGATTGCCTTTTTGGTTGACGCCGATACATGTTGAAACGAATTATTATACTTTTAACGTAGACACACTACGATTGTTTCGCCAAACATAGGCTTCATCAGGTGAAGACTTAACACTATAATATTCCTCGAAAATGGAATTAAAACAAACGACCAAAACCACACAACATTCCTCAAAATCCTCAAAATCCCTAGCCTATCCCATTCTTCACTCCCTCCTTGTGGTTTTGGTCAATCGTTTTTCATCAAGTTTTCACGTTTTGCTATATGCCTGTACGACATACACATTACTATGTATGTATATACATGATAATAGTGCTTTATATGACTAAGAGAGACAAAAATAATAATCAATAAGTATTTTGAAAGCTCCGAGCTTAGGTCAGGTTAAATTGATAAAGGATATGTCGACGTAATCTATCTAGATATAAAGCCATCTAGTTCCCCAAAGTTCGCAGTCCAAATATGAAAGGGACCATAAATAACTTGCTAACTAAAACTTCTAAAATCGTCCGTTATTTGCTTTAAATGTAGGACTGTCGACTAACTCATTCGCTTATTAATTACGCCAATATAGTTCTTTTACTACACCCCTATAAAAGAACTTTGAATTGTCGATTTCGCTGGTGTACTTGTTGTAGCAAAAGAGTAAATAAAATGAGAAATACAGACGCATAAAACAAAGGATTGATATTTACGGGTTTTACAAAAGCAAATCCAGGTTCCATGGAAACGAGTTAATACTAGCCCGTACAAATAGCTTTTGTTTGATTGAACGCTGTTACATGTTGAAAAAAATGCCAACCGATAGCTTATTGGATTTTTTTAATTATTTGGACCCGCCAAGCGAAAATCCACCCCTAACGATTTTTCGTTCGATACCTAGTTACGATCTGAACAATCGCAAAAATTCGAAACTCCCTATAAACCTAACACTTTTCCTACTTCGTATTTGTTAATTTTATTTATTACGCTTTTAGTTTAATTGTACCTAACAGTGTATACTTAGTTTTGATACGATGCCATATGGATATTAAAGCGCTTTATTAGATAATAACTGATAAGAAAAGGGAAGATACGAATGGAAAATAATGATTTCTATATTTTTCCTTTTGTTTCAAGGTTTGTCTGCAGGCCACAATGAAAAAAGGCTTCTTGCAAAGTTGTTAGATACTTATAACGTTTTAGAACGGCCTGTCGCTAATGAATCTGATCCACTTCAACTTAGTTTTGGTTTAACATTAAATCAAATCATTGACGTGGTAAGTAGGAGACATATTAGGGGATGTCTATAAATTACGTAACGCAATTTAAGGGAGGAAGAGTCCGGTCGAGCGTTAGGTCCTGTTACTTGGGGATGGGAGACTGTCAAGGGTCAAGGGTCAAGGTTTACGTTAGTTAACGCTTTTACAAGTTGTTTAAAATTGAATTACTATTTGGAATTAAATAGCTTTTTACGCAGGGGCGGATGAGGATGTAAAAACTGATTACGTTACGTAATTTATGGCTTCTAATAATAATTAAAAATAAAAAACGAATAATAAACAACAAACGTTACTTATAGGATGAAAAGAATCAACTATTAATTACTAACATGTGGCTTAAGTTGGTAAGTTGATATTTATAATAATTAGTAATTAATAATCATTTAACTGAAATAAATGTTGAGATTTACGATTTAGTAAAATCCATGCAGAATAATTCCTTTTTTCGGGGTTCCCCAATGATCCTCATTCTATTCTCAAATTGTTTAGATCAATACAATAATTTCTGATGCTGATCAAATTCCTATTAGTTAGTATTATAAATAAGTGGATTAACAAATAATATGATAGAAAGCTTGGCGAATAACGTTTTAAAAGTGTTCCTTGATCGTCAGATTAATTTTAATATCAGTTGGATGTAATACAACTTTTAGTTTATATTTGGCAAATTCCTAAGGAATGTTGGGAGTATTGTACGGGAGAATCTGGCAAGCCGATTAGATTTTAAAAGTAAATTTGTTCGAAAGCGTATATATATATATATACTTCTAGCATGCTTGAGAAGAATTTTATTGGCATGTCATACAACCGCGAAAGAAACTTTTGAATACTTTGCTTTGCTCCAGGAATGGAATGATATAAATCTACGTTGGAACTCATCCGAATTCGGCGGAGTAAAAGATCTAAGGATACCACCCCATCGTCTATGGAAACCCGACGTACTCATGTATAACAGGTAATAAAACAAAATACCCGAGTGCATAGTTTCCCCCATTAACAATCTCCACCGGAAAGCTATTTCGTTATGCAATATTTAACGTTCATTAAATTATACATTGACTAGTGCCGACGAGGGATTTGATGGAACCTACCCCACTAATGTAGTTGTACGGAACAACGGCAGTTGTGTATATTTACCCCCAGGGATATTCAAGAGCACTTGCAAAATTGACATTACATGGTTCCCGTTTGACGATCAGAGATGCGAAATGAAATTCGGAAGCTGGACATACGACGGTTTACAGGTCTCATGATTATATTTGAATAGTTGGGGGTAGTTTTTAGTTCAACTAGTTGAAGTACTATGATTCCTTGACGTATATCTTCATTAAAAGAACTCCTAAAGATTCTAATCACTTCATTGTCAAACTTTAGTTGTGAAAACAAATCATAAATTTCTTTTTTCGAAATGCCTATTGTTAGATTTTCAATTGAAAATGCATGGTAAATCCATCGCCTTGAAGAATCCTTAAAGTAAATCTTCATCGGAGACTTCTTAAGATTCTTATTGTCCAAGAATCATAAACATCCAAACACCCAATAGAAACACACTCTATACTATTGGATCATCAGTTGGAAAATTATGATGACTTATACACATCATGATAATGTTTAAATTATATATTTTGAGTGTTAAATGGCTGAAGATAGTTTTTAGTCTTAGAACTATTTTTCCTCTACGTAAATCATCAACCAGTCTAGACCATAGCCAACAAACCCGGAAAGCTCCAATTAATTTTGAGTATCAAATGGTTGGGGGTAGTTTTTAGTCCAAGGGCTGTGATTCCTTAATTCAAATATTCATAAAAAAACTGTTAATGTTTCTAACTTTCGAAAACCCAATAGAAACACTTCATTGCCAAACGTTAACATTGAAAACTTTGCACAAATCATAGATTTCTTTTTTCAAAATATCTATTTTTCAATTGGAAAAGCATGACGAATCCGTCGATTTGAAGAATCCTTGACGTTAACCATCGAGGGCTCTTTAAAATCCTTATTGTCCATGAATCATAATCATCCAAAGAACTCAACAGAAACACTTTCTATTATCAAACACTGGTCATGAAAATCCATTTCCACCAAATGCCCATAATGATAGCTGACATGTTTCATGATCAAAATTGATTCATTTCTTTAATCTATTGCCTCCCAGGAATATGATTCCTTTATTCTTACTGTTTGGGAATCATAATTCTTCAAATAGATGGTGAAAGCTATAGCTAAATCATATGTTTTCTTTTTTCTGACATGCCTGTAGTTGGATCTTCAATTGCAAGATGATGGAGGTGGTGATATCAGTAATTTTATTACTAACGGCGAATGGGATTTGTTAGGTGAGTATTCGTCGTTTTTGACGTGATATTTCTAGATGGATATGGGCCTAATTATTCTTGCAGGGGTTCCAGGAAAAAGGAACGAATTGTATTACAACTGTTGTCCAGAACCGTATATCGACATAACGTTTTATATTATAGTTCGTCGGCGCACGCTTTATTATTTTTTCAATTTGATTGTACCGTGTGTTTTGATAGCATCGATGGCAGTGCTTGGATTTACTCTCCCTCCAGATTCAGGGGAGAAACTATCACTTGGCATCACCATCCTTTTGTCACTTACAGTATTTTTGAATATGGTCGCAGAAACGATGCCTGCTACATCTGAAGCAGTTCCTTTACTCGGTAAGAATATTTATATGATCGATTACTACAATTATTGTTAAAGCCTGTTGGGGGTTTTGGCGCAAAGTAGACTAATAATTTGGGGTTCAATTTTTTGATATTTTCCCTTACGAGTCAACTTTCCGTTCTAACTTAACAGCTACTTCTCCATCTTTTTAAGGGACCTATTTTAACTGTATTATGTTTATGGTTGCATCTTCGGTTGTATCGACGATACTTATATTAAACTACCATCATCGAAGCGCTGATACCCACGAAATGTCAGAATGGGTATGTACGGATAATAATTTTTCTTGCATGAATTTAGTTGAGTTAGCAGCCGAAATCTAAAGTTACTTGCTGGCTGTTCCCGACTGGATTAATTTTCACTTCAATGGTCCCATGCTAATTGTTCCTAAAGTACTTTAAGTTTGAGCTCATCTTTAAAGTTTTAATTAAAGTGTTTAATTTGATTTACATCTCTATCAGAATACGCCTGAACTAAGCTTCTGAGTGAAAGGATTATTGAATGATAAGGTTTTCAATCATCAAACCTACTGTAGCAGTTGATCGTATAACGTGCTGGGCTATGCTTTTTTGGCAGAAAAATCTTCATCTTTTGTTTTAGATAAAAGTGGTTTTTCTGTATTGGTTACCGTGGTTGTTGAGAATGCACAGGCCATGTGAAGACGGATACGACTGTGGCATGCCGAGCAATACCACAACGCTGAATTCTGATAGAAAAACCATCAATCTCCAGGACGTCGAGTTGAAAGAAAGGTCATCAAAGAGCCTATTAGCTAATGTATTGGATATCGACGATGATTTTCGACATAATCACAGAGGAGGGACACCAACCCCATTGCCTAATTCGGCTTTCTTTCGAACAGTTTATAGGTAAAAGTGATTTACATTTATTAGGGGATATGATGTGGCACGTCCACTACATTCGATAGATCCTCATTTATATTAAAATAACTGTAACATTGTTAAATTTGGCGGTAAAAGATTCAAGTAAATGTAGGGAACTAAATTTTATATTAACCTGTCAACTTTGTGAATCGTGTGGCTTTCGACATGTAAGCTTTGGAAACCGGAAACTGAGAAGTAAAATTTCCCGAGTTTGAAGGTCGTGGTATTGGAACTGTGGTTTTGTATTTCCAAACTTTTCGCCAGTAACTGTTCAAGGATTATTGTTGGATCGAGCATCAGTAAATAATCGAAAATCCCTGAGGATAACTGCCACAGTTACTGGCTAAACGTTGGAAAGACAACTACAATTGAAAACCCTCCTAGGGAAGGGGATTCCAACCTCATTAGCTTCAATACATCCTCACCATTGCTCATAGAGTTGTAGACAAGCATGACCTAGAGGTTTAGACCATTACTTAGCATCCGGAAGGACGCGGGTTCAATTCTGGAGTCCGTTTGCCCATTCCTATAGTTCCTCAAAAGAGGCTAAATAAGAGGGCCTTCTGCCTTACCCTCCGGTGTGGTCCGGAGGGATTGGGCACTTTCCAGCATTAGTAGGCCATAAGTTTTTGAATTTTTTTTAACTGGTGGAAGAACTTGAAGAACTGAAAGTAAATTTTCAGGCCAAATGAAGAAAATGGTAACGGCGGAGGAAGACTTCACGAGTCGTTGGTGAGTAACCAATCATGCCTAAGTGGAGTGGATTACGAATTAGCTCTAATATTGAAAGAAATCCGTTTCATAACGGATAATATGCGCAAAGAAGACGAGCAACAAGGTATAACAAGAGATTGGAAGTTTGCGGCAATGGTAGTAGACAGATTGTGCCTTATCATTTTCACTCTGTTTACCATCATAGCCACATTGGCGGTACTGTTCTCGGCACCACACATTATCGTGTCGTAGCAAGGTTGTCATTTCACAATTGGCCTGCAGCATCTCGCTTTATACCTTTTATTATCATTATTATTATTATTATTAGTAGTTCTCGAAAACCTAATCGTACACATGATGAAGATTATTATCGCTTTGGAAGTCAATGCCACAAGTACGAATCTACTTCACAATGTCGTTGATTAACGTATTAATTAATAAAAAAAAAAAAGAAAAAGGAAAAAATAATAAAAATTCATAGTTTAAAACCTCGATCTTTTGTAAGTCATTTCGTCAAAAAAAAAAATAAAACACCAATTCCAAAAAATAATCTCCAGTTAATTGAGCTTACTTTTTCAAATAGCAACAACACCCTGTACCTGACGGAATTTTCAATTCAAATCAAACAAAGATTATGTTTGTGATTCTCAAAGCCATTCTGAGTGAAAGAATCGATTATCAACAATTTCATAATTTAATCTTTCAATTTCGATTTCAATTGCGTATTGAAACAACGGCGAACTAATTGAATTTTAAATTAAGTTTGCTCGGAAGTTGGAAATGTAATCGTTGTTTGATGGGCACTGGCTGTTTTATTTTTTCGAAATGACATTAACCGAGTTATTAGTAGGATTGATTTTATTTATTGTTTTCTAGCGTTAATAAACACAATCATACTGTGATAAACCAAGTTAAATGTTGAGTTTGAAGCCTCATGTGAAATCGCTGAAGTAATTAGGGTACCTATATATATGTGCTTTATATGACTAANTATTAAAAAAAAAATTAAATGATTAGTTAATTAAATATTGCGATACAAACAGCGGTTTTACATCGGGTATTGCCCTGTATTAGAAAGGGCAGCGAAGAGTTCTTAACCTCTTTTGAAACTCTTTAATTCGCATTGTTATACTTATTATAAAAAAAAAATTGTTGAAGGCATTTTTCTATCTACGAATTATCATCAAGGAAGAGTAGATTTTGTAGCCTCAAAAGACATTCTGCATGTGTCAAACCAGTCCTTCATTTTCTCAATTTTGGATGGCTTACTGGGTGTTTCTTTTTAGTCTCACAATATCCCAAAGTCTTCTGTAGATGACGACATGAAACTTTCTACAAAATATTTGCTTTCTTTGGTACTTTTACCACTTTTGATTCCCTATATTCATTTTATTTATATCTTAAATTAATTAATGTTTGTCAAATTTCAAAAGGGAGAGATTGTTACAAGTTTTTAATAAGGTTTCATTAAAGTTCGAAAGTACAAGGAAAGTGTCCTCTGTCAGGTAAAAAGACGTATCTCTGCTATTATCTGACAGAACACAAAAAAAGTATGAATATAATAATATATTTGGCAATATTTATAAGCGGTAAATATTCGTGAAAATTGTTCGTAATATTTTGAGACAAGACAGCCATTAAACGATCGAGAAATTGGTGAAAATGGAGGGTAGGTTTAAGTTAGAATGTCCCATAAATGAAAGGTTTAAACCTCTGGAAAAAGCTAAATAATAAAAAGCTATTTTACAGTATTCTTTCTACCCTTCAGCTTGCTAGTAGTTTAACAGTTGCATTGAATTATTATCTTACAGTAATTATCGTTAAACGTTTTCGCTAACTGGGGATATAAAATTATAATATACATACATAACATATCCAAAATGGGACACGATGGTCATTTTAATCACATCATTACTACTACTACTACAACAACTACTACTACTACTACTACTACTACTAATCGTGCTTTTGGAAAAGCACAAACAACCGAAATGTGTTCGACTCAAAGGCATTAGTTATTGAGAGACGAAAAACAAAAAAAAATATCGCGATTACTGTTATTTTTTTTACAAAATTTTGTGACAACTACTACCACTACTGCTACTATTACACCAAAGCGCAAATGTCGTAAACAATTTTTAAAAATTAAAGTAACATTTCTGATGTATACATACAATGTAGAAATCTTCCCGAAGTGGGTTTGTTTAATATGAAATATTCTCAATTTTTACCCACTACACATTACCTCAAATTAATGAGGAAAAATTGTTGCTGTTGTCACACCCCCGCCGGGAATCGAACCCGGGCTCTTTGGCTTTACGCGCCAATGCTCTGACCACTAAGCTATTTCATTTTAAAACTAACTCACTTCGGGAAGATTTCTACATTGTATGTATATTTATATTCAGTATATAGTTACATTAGTTCGACGGATCTGTGACCTAATAAGTACGGTTTGTCGTTGTTGCTGTTGTCATCTCTCGTAGCTTAGTGGTCAGAGCATTGGCGCGTAAAGCCAAAGAGCCCGGGTTCGATTCCCGGCGGGGGTGTGACAACAGCAACAATTTTTCCTCATTAATTTGAGGTAATGTGTAGTGGGTAAAAATTGAGAATATTTCATATTAAAACAAACTCACTTCGGGAAGATTTCTACATTGTATGTATATTTATATTCAGTATATAGTTACATTAGTTCGACAGATCTGTGACCTAATAAGTACGGTTTGTCGTTGTTGCTGTTGTCATCTCTCGTAGCTTAGTGGTCAGAGCATTGGCGCGTAAAGCCAAAGAGCCCGGGTTCGATTCCCGGCGGGGGTGTGACAACAGGCAACAATTTTTCCTCATTAATTTGAGGTAATGTGTAGTGGGTAAAAATTGAGAATATTTCATATTTCTGATGTAGTACCTGATGCAAGTGGAAAATTTAACAAAAACATCAGAATTTATAATTAGAACATGACATTCAATTAAAATAAATTTGATTTGTTGCAACATTTGCGCGTCAACGTTTACGTTTTTTAATTAAACAATTTTATACTTTATTAGACATCGTTGTTAGTGTTATTCTAAATGGACGTTATAGGTAATGGGTAGGAGTAGGGGCTGCCTGAGTCCCCACTTAAATATGACAAATTGTAGATAACGCGATTTGGGGGATGATTTTTTATTGAAAAATGTACTCCATTCGCCCCTTAAAACGGACTCTCATAATTTAAAGGAAGTTGCTCAAATATACAATGTTAAATAGTGTATTGCTTCGGCTAGAGAGTCGCCGAAGAAACGATTTTTCAGTGGGGATTCCCGGATCAGCTTGAAAATAATTTTACTAAACGTCATGTTCTTCCACACTGTCATGCAAGACAATACCTTCTAGCTTGGGGTAAAAATGAACATTTTCGTTCGTATTTGTATTTTGGGAAGCGAGTCTGCATTTAGTATCTTATATTAAAAGGTGGTACATCATCTATCTCTCTTATAAATTAAAAATAATAAAAAAAAATAATAAGAAATCACCTTGTGACAAGACATTTGATCTTTATTAATAGCATTTGCGATCTAATGACTAGTCAAAATGTGCCAAACTACGTATCTTTGGTTATTTGTAACTTTTTTTCTACAATATGATAATGTAATAAACCTTATTATTGTTATGTACATTAAAAGATAAAATAAAATCAAATAAATTATTTCTATTTTTATTAGTCCCTTTTCTTTTTATTCGTGGAGCATTTTGTGTCAATATTACTAAGATGCCGGGATTCGTTGATGCATCAAGATATACAAATATTATCATCAAATAAGCAAAAATTTTGTTGTAAATTTTGGTGGAGGCGCCGGGAAAAATTTAAAATAAACGCTATATAGAGCTACAATTTCGGTTTAATTGATGTAAACGGATGAATCTCCATCTTTACATTATATTCTCTTCCATTTAGACACAGTTAGAGATGCTAATTTACATTTTTTTACAATAAATTAGACCACATTAATATAACATATAGGCAACTGATCATACAGCAAATATTAATTTTTCTATATAATTTTGTTCACGTATAAGAAATATCAAATTTGGGATTGGTTGATGGTCGTTGGGGATGATCAATCTTGTAAACTATTGTTCTAATGTCGAAAATAAGACATTCACCAAGATATATTAGTATTATCAGCAATTAAGAAACAAATTTTGTTGTAAATTTTGGTGGAGGCGCCGGGACAATTTAAAATAAACGCTATAATAGCGCTATAATTCCGATTTAATTAATGTAAACCGATGAATTTTCATCTTTACATTATATTCTCTTCCATTTAAACACAATTGGAGATGCTAATTTAAATTTTTTTACAATAAATTAGACAAGAGTAATATAATATATAGGCAACTGATCATACAGCAAATATTACAATTGTAATGATAACAACAAAGGAAGTTATAAAACGATTTTTCTCGCGTTAATTATCATTTAAATACCTAAATTAGACATTCATAAAGACAAACATTATTATCAGAATTATTAAAAAAATTAATTGAAAATTGAGTTACAATTCTAACTTCATTGACGTAAATTGATGAATTTTCCTTCAAACTAATTTTCCTAATAAGAATAAAGTTAAAGGATTTTGAATGTATTACGGAAATGGAAAAACGTCAGCAGAATTAGCAACGACAATCATTGTGAAAAACTGAAAATTTCCCGATTGGCGCCTTTACCACTTTTAGATGTCTAAAGCTTCTAACTGTACCTGAAGTCATTTGAACGATGAAGTTCAGTCTTTGTAGAATTTAGCTCTGTATAAACTTTGTAAGAAAATATGATAGTTGTAATACAGGATCACACAGAGAAAATGTAAAAGTACGAAGTCCTTCAAATTAATTTTCCAAAGAAAAAGAAAGCTTAAGGATGTTGAATGTAGCAGGACGATCGAAAAGCTTCAGTAAGTTTGACGACGACAACAACTATGAAAAGAGAAAATTTCCCGAATGGCGCCTCCACCATTTTTCGATATCTAATTCTCCTAACTGTCCAGTCACTTTGACGATAAGGGCTAGCCTTTTCGTACAGATTAGCTCTGAAAATGTAAAAGCTTTGTATCAAAAGGTGATAGTTAAAATGCAGGATCACACAGAGAAAATGTAAGAACACGAAGTCCTTCAAATTAATTTTCCAAAGGAGAAGAAAGCTTAAGGATGTTGGATGTAGTAGGACAATGGATAAGCTTCAGCAGGTTTGACGACGACAACAACTATGAAAAGAGAAAATTTTCCGATTGGCGCCTCCACCATTTTTCGATATCTAATGCTCCTAACTGTACAGTTACTTTGACGATAAGGGCTAGCCTTTTTGTACAGATTAGCTGTGAAGAGGTAAAAGCTTTGTACCAAAAGGTGATAGTTAAAATGAAGAATTACATAGAGAAATTGCAAGGACTTTCAATGTAATAAGCGTCAGCAGAATTAACAACGGCGACTATTCAGAGAAAAGGAAATTGCCCGATTGGCATATCTACCATGTTTTGATTTCTAATGTTATAATTTATATGAAAAAGTGTAGTCATTAACTGTGAACAAACATCAAATGGTTGCAGTTGTAATGAAGGAGTACACAGGGAGAAAATGTAAGGGTAAAAGCTCCATCAAGTTCATTTTCCCGTTGAGAAATAGCTTTAAGGATTTCGGAAGTATTAAGGAGTTGTTTGAAAGATGCGCTTGCCGGATCGAAGGCGACGATGGTTCTAAGAAGGGAAAACTGAATAGATTTGAAAATTGGGGCGCAGCCGTGAAACAATTTTCCCTAATCGATACTTCGGTGGAAAGCTGTAGTTATTGGTTCAAGAATTGCAGTGTTCTGCCACATGTGCCATCTAGAAAGGAACCAATCAACGACCAATGGGGCGGTGTGCAATAGTCCACGCTGTACTAAAGGGTGTGTGGACGTTCGCGAGGACTTATTTCGAAATCGGAAAGTTCGCCAGTCAAATATGAAACGGTTGTGTATTAAATAGTTGAACAATTCCGAGTGGAGGTCGAAATTGGTGGAAGAGGGAAACTGGGAAGGCATTTCGACTTCCTTGGTTCGAAACGAAAAAAAAAAAAGGACCATGGGCGTTCGTAAGGGGATGCCACGTCGATGATCCTGCTATTGTGCATGATCAAATTTATTAGGAGACCGAAATGTGGAATTACTCAAAAATACTATGCTTCGTCTTGTCATTTCTTTATCTTGTTGTTATCGGTAAGAATTTTGGCACACCCATTGATAGATAGATAGATAGATGTATGTCGAAAAGCATGTAAACAAAACCCCTCCCCGTCCTATTAGAACAAAGACATTTGCCAAAGGACAAATATTAGTTTTAAGGACATTCTCGCTCGTCAGTTACTTGCAAGAATCATAAAATTTTCTTTATCCATCACAAACTTTACATAATCTTTAAAGAAAGTTAAAACACTTTGAAACTTCCTTTTTCTTTTTTCTTTAATAAATCTACATTTATATATCTATGTATGAACAATTAGAAAAAACACCCTTACTACACACCGTTAAATATATTATTTTTAACAATAGCTTCTAATTAATAAATTAATTATCCGGCGCCTTCATCCTTTTGTAATCACTATGAATCCTACATTCAAAATTTACAGACGTTTGTCATTAATTATTGTTTAAATAATTTATACAGAACAATACGTAATAAAAAAGTAATTATTTCTGATTTCTCGTGCATCTGTAATTTTCGAATTTGTGATACATGTAGTATTGTAGTTTATTATTTTTGAGTCACCCTGTATTTATGTTAATATAAAATTGAATTTACTTCAAAGAGCTTTAATTGTTCTTTGATTGAAGGTAAATGTTCAGAAGACGAAGAAAGACTTGTCCGCGATTTGTTTAGGGGATATAACAAACTAATTCGGCCAGTTCAAAATATGACAGAAAAAGTAAACGTTAAATTTGGGTTAGCCTTTGTCCAATTAATAAACGTGGTAAGTATCATAAGAACACTTAATTAAATCTAGCCAACATCCTAGAAAAGTCATCTCCATGTCTCTAAAGTAATTTCGCAAAGACCTTGCTGTTTGATAAGCTTATTAATTTAAAATGAGAAGTAGGTTTTACGTTGATTCGAGAAATCTAAAGCAATATGTATTACAAAGACTAGATCCTTCCAAGAATTACTAATAAAAAATAAAAAAAAACACTTTTAACTTGACCTTTGAACATAAAACGAATAAAATATAAAGTAGCTATCTCTTTAATGTCAAATATGCACATAAATAAAAATTAATTTTACGGTGCCTTCGGCGATAAGCATAAATTTTCTATCAAGAATTTTTCATTTTCAAAAGCAATTAATAAGTAATGCGGGTGTTTCATGTCAAATCAAGCAGCTACTTTTTCAATTACCGAGATAGTTCTCTGGGTGGTTTTACTACTCCAGGTAATTACTTAGTTATCAGGAGTCAAGACAGCCTGGAGCTTTTCTTCAAATAAATTTCAATCTATTTTTTTGCTGCGTCTGATTATGATCTTAAGAAAATATTTTCCATGAAAAAGCTCAGTTTTTCTCTATTGATATTTTATTTACAATTCAAATGAAACTTTTCTCCAAAAATATGAAAATATCGAACTAAATATCATGAGATGAAATAATGCGTTGATTTGGGATGAAATGCCCGAAATGAAAAAGTCCGCATTTGTTAACGATATATTTATATTTGTAGAACGAGAAAAACCAAATAATGAAGTCGAATGTTTGGTTGCGATTGGTAAGATTAAAAGTGTACCTAAATAAAATGGGGCAAATGTAATTCTAATTTGAATAATCAAATGCAGGTTTGGGAGGATTATCAGTTACAATGGGACGAAGCAGATTACGGTGGAATTGCAGTATTGAGGCTGCCACCGGATAAAGTGTGGAAGCCGGATATTGTTCTATTCAATAAGTAATCGAAATTTCTGATTTCTAAAAAAAAAAAAAAATTAAAATTAACGAATACTAGAACGGTAATATTTTTTTAGTGCCGATGGTAATTATGAAGTCAGGTATAAATCTAACGTGTTAATTTATCCAAACGGTGAAGTTCTTTGGGTACCCCCGGCGATATACCAGGTGATAGCAGATGAAATCATTGTTGAAACTGTTAATGAAGAAGGAAAATGTTATTTTCAGAGTTCGTGCACCATAGACGTAACATATTTTCCTTTTGACCAACAAACGTGTATAATGAAGTTCGGCTCTTGGACATTCAACGGAGACCAAGTGTCTTTAGACTTGTACAATAACAAGAATTTTGTTGACTTATCGGATTACTGGAAGTCCGGAACTTGGGACATTATTGAAGTACCCGCCTACCTCAACGTCTACGATGGAAATCCGACGGAAACGGATATAACATTTTATATTATTATTCGACGGAAGACTTTGTTTTATACAGTGAATCTAATTCTACCTACAGTTCTAATCTCCTTCCTCTGTGTACTTGTGTTCTATTTACCCGCAGAAGCAGGCGAAAAGGTAATTTCACTTCAATTATCGATCATTTTCTACGAACTCCAACAAGGAACACTGTAGGTAGTGGTATTGGAACAGTGGTGTTGTATTTCCAAACTTTTCGCTAGTAACTGTTCTTCAAGGATATCCCTTAGGATACCTGCCACAGTTCTTGGCTAAACGTTGGAAAGACAACTACAGTTGAAGAACTTCCTAGGGAATAGGATTCCAATATCACTAGCTTCAATACATCCTCACCATTGCTCTTAGAGTTGTAGACAAGCATGACCTAGAGCTTTAGACCATTGCTTAGCATTCGGAAGGACACGAGTTCGATTCCTGGGTCCGTCTACCCATTCCTATAAGTCCTCAAAAGAGGCTAAATAAGAAGGCCTTCTGCCTTACCCTCCGGTGATTGAGAAAGAGAAGTCTAATGGATAAATCATTTTTTCAATGGGTCATGTAGGGTATCATTTTAAAGGGTCACTTGTAAAGAGTTCAAAAAGATATTTGTAAACTTTTTCGTCTATTTCTTGAACTTCTGAAACCATAATTAAAACAGCTTTCATTCCCAAGACACCTCGAGTTGGACGCAAAAGTAAACCTCATGTCAATTTCCTTTCCTGTTGAATAGCTACTTTTCATCATCCTTTAGCTAGCACAAGATGTCGATTTGGACGAAGTAATAGATATTTTTGCATCAAGCAAATCGTCTTGACTTATGTGATACTGCATGCTTATGGTCTTAAATTTTATGTTAGATCTAAGGTAATGCTCATGGGCCAGAAGTCTGAATTCACCCGGACCCACCCTTATCTACGTCTCTATATAAAAACCATTTCTCTGATCATCGTGGACTTTATATTTTCTGAGTTTCGGTGACCTATGTGTTTTTTGTATTTAAGGTGACACTTGGGATAAGTATTTTACTATCACTAGTGGTATTTCTACTGCTAGTTTCGAAAATCCTGCCGCCTACATCTTTAGTGTTACCTCTCATAGCCAAATACCTTCTGTTTACGTTTATAATGAATACCGTCAGTATTCTTGTTACTGTTGTTATAATAAATTGGAATTTCAGAGGTCCACGTACTCACAGGTAAGGCCGAATCGAACGTTTATTCATTCAAGACGTAAATTAATAATATGTACTTTATCAGAATGCCACCGTGGATACGTTCGGTGTTTCTAAATTACCTCCCAGCCATGTTATTAATGAAAAGGCCAAGGAAAACGAGACTCAGGTGGATGATGGAGATGCCTGGCATGGGTGTGCCTCCGAATCCTTACGGATCTCCTACTGATATTCCTAAACACATTAGGTTTGCACATATACTTCTCCCTTTTACCAATATTAAGTATCTAACTAACGTCCCTGATAAATACGTTTTAGTTCCATTGAATCCCAAAGCAAAGTGGAAGTAATGGAATTGTCCGATTTACACCATCCTAATTGTAAGATAAATAGAAAATTAAATTCGGACCTGGGGGTCAGTGTAGGTGCCGAAAGCTGTAGAAGGGAGAGCGAAAGTTCCGAGTCCATCCTCTTGTCGCCGGAAGCTTCCAAAGCTACGGAAGCCGTTGAATTCATCGCCGAACATCTCCGAAACGAAGACCTGTACATTCAGGTGAGGACTCTCATCTTTATTAAAATTTCAATATCTTCCCATCAAGTTCTATATGTACGTGACCCTGTCTTATCTGAACCTCTACCACCTAACTGTAACTCGATAGATCCGTCTGAAAATGTTTTTCGACTCGATTTCCAGGAGCATCCACGTAAACCTTGTCACGTATATTTTCCTTTAATGGTAGATTGGATCCTGTTCCCTTCTGAATTGGTAACCAATCTTCTATTGATTGCAATACTCAATTTTTCATCCCCATTCCGCAAGCTTTACAATATTAAACAATCAACAATTTCATTTTCTCAACCGATGAAATTAATTAACTATGTGTTTATCTTATCAACAGACGTATAATTAGAATCCGTTGTGAGATGAACAACAAAACTCTGTTAGTAACACAATTAATTAATTTTCTTAAATTTAATGAGACGTAACTCGGAAGGATCTACATCTGAAGTCACTTTCCATTTATACATACACATATGTACCAATTTACTCTAAAGTTTTCGTAGAAATTACTACTTGTACTTCTACACGTCGTGCTGTTAAAGTGCTCATTAGTAGAAGTTTCTCTTTTGAGCTTATGTTTGTTCAAATTTAGTCTGCGAACTTCCCAAAGTTGCCTGTGTCCTATTTGTCCCCATTTTTTTTTACACACTCTGTAACACCCCAAGAGTGCATGTATGTCAAGTGGAAATCGGCTACGACGACTGCAAAGGGTTGAGAAACCCCTTTAAATCCAGTCGTGGGGGCTAATTTTCACTTTCATCTTGATTTGTTTTGGAATCTACACAACAAACAAAGTTTGTTAGAGTATTCGACAAATCTTTATTATAAATTTTGGCTAAGGTATTTTGTAAAAAAAGAAATTGTTCAACATCCAGTATATGCATTCTGTAAGGACTATATGGCCACAATATTTCGAAATGGCAATTTCAGGACTGTCGATTGCTACTAACAGGTCAGCTTTAGAAGCTTTTTCTGATGACCCCTACGAATCTACTTGGTCAGCTCTCTCTCTCTCTCTCTCCCTGTCTGCAAGAAGTATGTAAAGGGGAGAGAGATGTCCACTAACATGCCCAATTTTAACCAGCGTTTCCAGACCTAGGGAAATTTTCCTAGACCTTTCAGATTTTAGAACCAGCTTGCAGTTAGAGGAAAGGCGATGATTTTTATTTAATTTGGCAAATGAGTTGTTGTTGTTGAAAGGATATAATCGATGAATAATTTCGTTTCGATAATGAGTGTCTGAGTTGTGTCGTTATGATTGCAGACCCGTGAGGATTGGAAGTATGTTGCAATGGTGATAGACAGATTGCAACTGTACATGTTCTTCATCGTAACCACTGCCGGGACTATAGGGATCCTGATGGATGCCCCTCACATATTCGAATACGTCGATCAGGATAGGATAATCGAGATATACCGGGGGAAATAGAAGAGGACGATTGGTAAAAGTTATTACTTTTTATTTTATTATCACGAAACAGCACCATTCTTTGGCTTCCTCATGCATAACCGCTATAAAATCGTGTGGCTTCCATGTGAAGGACTTAACAAATTTAAGTGCGGAAGCTGCGGACGAGCCATCGAGCCCGTCGCCTCTATACAAGAGTTATGTGTCAATAAATGATGTTTTTCCATTTTATCGAACGATTACAACTAAGCAATTTTTTACTGCCTTAAGCACTGCACTCGAAAAATATCACCTCCGCTCACACTATACGACTGTTATTACTTAATTAAATAAAACGTAAAGACAAAACAATAACAACCACAACAGAAAATTATAGCTGTTACTTCGATTACAATACAATTCCCAAAAAAAAAAAAATCGCTGGATATTCGTCACGCCACATAGGATTTTCCTTCAGATTTTCTCATAATTCTAGCTTTAGTCGTTTCGGAACTACAGGGGGCTGCAGGACTGGATCAAATATAAAACAGAATTTGTGTTTAATAAGTAAGAAAATCTTTGAATACATCTACGAAGTCACCCTTTTTAGCAATATATTTCTACCAATAAATTTCATGTAGTTATCAAAGAATGAATGTGATTATGTCTTTACGGCATCAAAACGACATTCAGTAGCTCAAACATGCGATAATCACATGGTGACAAATCCGATCTATAGAGCGGACGTTCAAGTGTTTCCTAATTGATTATTTTTCACTACCACGTTCATTTTCCGACAACGATATTAAAAATAGATTCAATCCGTTAGGGAGATTTAGCAGAAAAATTTAAATTCATTCAATTTTTTTTTACTTTGACAATTCCGAATTCCGCCTTATATTTGATCCACTTGAAAACCCAAGATAAACGATTGGATTCCTTATAACTAACCCTTTAAAGGGTTCAGGGATTTTCCTTCTTATGATACGGAATTCAAAAAAAAAAAAAAACTGCAGTTGGAAATTTTCTATTTGATATTACAATGGCACCTAAACTTAAACACTAAAGCAAATTAATGTTTTATAATGACTAACTGGCCTGTTATATACATATTATAGCGAAATTATTACGTTCACAATCAACACACTATGATGCACTTTAATAAGAAATAATGGGGTAGTTTGTCATATTTATTGTCTTGCGTGAAAACTCAAGGGGTTTGCTACCAATATTATCCAGGCAATTTTTTATAAATCATTTTTTAATACTTATTACAATAATAATTAATTGAATTTTGAAAACTAAATAAGTACTTAGGTATCTAACTTTTTCGTAGTTTTTCTCAGTAAGATTGTGACGAATTTGTTGTTATTCATATATGTGCTTAATAAAAATTAGACTATTATAATATACTGTAGTTAAATTATTATTAATTAATTAAAAGGTGCAACCTGTTGTAAACAGATGGTATTTTCAAAATTTCAACATTAATCGAATAAAATCGTTCTAATGTTTTTTTATATTAAAAACATTTTTAAACGCGGCTGATTTTTGGGGTACATTACCAAATTATTGACAAGGAAAATGGCATTTAGAGACAAAGGAATAATAAATAAATTATTTCTCCCTTATTAATATATCCAAATTTGGTCGATTTGAAATATATAACTAAATTATTGCAATACCATCTTTGCATACGTTCAATTCCACATTTTTCTATAGAGAACAAGTTTCTTATTTATTATAATCTTACATTTAGGTAATTATGTTCTCTGTAAGAAATTCGAAACACTTTTCAAAGAGTTGTAGGTAAAAAAAAAATGTTAATAATGTGTTGATTCCACACATGGGAACAAAAAGGATTATGAACTGCAAATAAAATTATTTACTTGCATATGCCTTCTTGATCACGTATTGCCGATTGAGTGTCGCCATAAAATTAAAAAAAAATCCGAAATTGGCAATAGCGTTTCCTATACTTTGCCTTGCAATGTTACAATGTTGTGATCGTACTTGAATACAACGATATAAAAAAAAGGTTTCGATGTATGAAAACAATAATAATAATAATAAAAATAAAAAAAAAAGAATTAACGGAGTTGTTACAAAATAGGTAGTAGATCATGTTGATCAACCCCATTACATAAGCTAAATATACACCAAAAAGTTAACACGTAAACACAAACATATTAATTCACTCTACAAAGATTTTGTACAAAGTTTTTTCCGGCCGTAGTATCTGCACTCTTTTTCATCGTGGAATTATGAATAACATTAATAAATATGCCATATTTCGGAGTGAATTCGAATAAACAATCAGTCAAATATTGATAATGTAATGTTTAGATTAGTGTAGACCGAAAAATGAAAGGGCAGTGTTATACCGTAATTATGTAATTGTTAATAATCTGTAAAGTAATCAATCAGTGCAGAAAGAAAAATGTTCAAAGTCCAATAGCTCCCTGGCCTAAAATATGCAATATTCTGTCTTAAATCCACCCCAGATCTTTTCCATTTTCGGCAGACCTTATTTGGTGTTAAAAAACCATTTGTATGATTATTATATTTTTCGTTGATCTTTAATGTAAATAATTTTCATTACTTGCAATTAATGCAAATTTCTACCTTATTATACAAATGCAAAGTTTAATGTTTTCGCAACCCTGCAAACTTTTGCCAAAACACCTAATGAACTATAGATAAAACTGGAAAAAATGGGGTCAATTTAAAACTGAATATCCCATATTATAATAATACTGCTTCAAACTGCCATATTATGTCTGATCTAACAGAAAATTTTTAATTATTATAGTGAGATCATACAACGGGTATACCTATAATACTTTCAACTTAATGGTTGTTTAATTCTTAGAGCAATATATAATTGAAACAGCTTTAACTCTGACGAAACAATTTTCTGTTGGATCAAACTACGATTAGATAAAAATATAATACTTTCCTACATACCTACATAAATAACGAAATGCGCTTTGCTCAAAACAAAATGTAGAGATACACTTAATTAACGTAAAATAATAAAAATCAAGTATTAATATTCTTTAATTGAAAGCAATATCAAGCAAACTATTTCAAATTTTGTTGCATTAAATTTATTGCTTTAAAATAGATTTATAGTTAGATACATAGGTCAACGTCAATACTGTTCCACTGAGTCTTTTTCTTAACTTTGTTTGGTTCGAAAATGTGTAATTTTATTGATTATTCGTAAAAAGGCATTAAAAAATAAGGCAATTACATATCTTTACGACATTCAAACCATCAAAAAATGAGAATTTTCAGCATCATCTCATCATAGATTTATTTAAAAAAAAAAAGTAAATAAAAAGAACATATCGGAATTAATTAAAATTTTCAATTGGTTTTTCAACTTTATTATTTATAATTACTTCAAGTGACGAATTGATTAATGAAGAATTTATTACTGACGATTGTGGGAAATGCCGAAACGGTTTGGGGAGCTTTTGGAAAATCTGACTTTCCTGTAGATAATTCATTAATCGTTGACACCAATCTTTTTATAACAAAAGAAGTTGTATTTTCATACTCCTTCGTAGTTTCCAATTAGGTTCCATCAGCTAAGTAACGTAATGGGGCCTATATAATTGTTATAGTGTTTTTAATAATAATTAACTTATATATATAATGTATTCTGGGGGTAGTTTGATACTTTTCTCGGCACCCTTTCGTATACTCAGTCGATAAAATATTCAAACTATTTGCAGTGATATCGAAATGTTAATAATTGCTCAACATATGAATCAATCATTATAAAATGTAACCATTTTATGGATATAATAAAATGTAAAAGTATTTGAACACTACAAGCATTCATTTCATTAAATTTTAAATCGCCTTTCAGCCATTAATAAATCGTATACTTATTATGAAATAAATTCTGAAAATTGACAATCTGGAACATTTAAACAAAAAGAGGCTTCTGAAGCTTTCAGGCATTAAATACATTTAATAAATTCATTATTATTTTAATCCTCTAAGTCTATAATGGAAACAGAAGTTTAGGATGCTTGTAGTATTCAAATTTTTAATTGTATAAACGATAAAATGTAAAATGTTATAGTTATCGAAAAAATATTGCAAATAGGGTAGAATAAATGAACTGTATTGTATAGTAAAAAACAGTATAGCACTGCCTTACTGTTTCTCAAGAGGCTTGAAGAAGTGACTATTAAAAAATGATAAATAATCATTTATCTGTTAAAAATGTTAATGTAACAGATGCATTTACAATAAAAAAATTACGTAAACTATTAGCATCTTTTAATTAATAATAACAATCAGTATTTGTAACAAATAAGTAATTTTGATATGTAAATTTGCATTTGGAGCTACCAAAGATGGCCGATATCTGCTACCATTCTGCTACCAACAGAGAACCTACCAGTGCCTAAAATTCACCCCTCTCTTCCAACCAAAAATCTGCTAGGTTTGAAAACGAAATGCAAGGTTAGGCAAGAGAAATGTCAACAAAAATACAAAACATTTATGCCTCATGTACATTTACAAAATTCTATAAATAAAGCTGCCTTGGCAGTGTCCCCAATGTGTGTTTTAACAAGTGGTGAAATTAAAAATTAGTGGTTTTCAAGACGTGTGTAGTTTTCAAAAATATTGTAATGAGAGTAAAATTTCAAATTTTAACCTAACTTTTTTTACTTTTTAAATAATTTAAGATTTACAATGCCAGGAAAAGTTAAAGTTAAAATAATTGCTGGCAGAAATTTGCCTGTTATGGATAGATCAAGTGACACAACAGATGCCTATGTAGAAATAAAATTAGGAAGTGTAACATACAAAACAGATGTGTGTCGAAAATCTTTAAATCCTCAATGGAATTCAGAGTGGTATCGCTTTGAGGTACTAAAAAATGCATTACTATTTATGTAACAAAAAAACAAAACCTTGAAATACGTAATTTTTAGGTAGATGATGCTGAATTACAAGATGAACCACTCCAAATAAGACTCATGGATTATGACACATATTCTGCTAATGATGCAATAGGAAAGGTGTATTTAGATTTAAATCCTTTACTATTACCCTCCTCAGGATTATTACCTAAGTTAGGATATCATGAACAAAATTCTAGCAACGAAAACATTACAAATTCAATGATGTCTGGGTGGTTTCCAGTGTATGATACAATGCATGGCATCAGAGGAGAAGTTAATATTGTTGTAAAAGTAGAATTGTTTACTGATTTTAATAAATTCAGGCAATCATCATGTGGTGTTCAATTCTTTTGCTGTAAGTATTCACTTATGGAATGGATATTGAGATTTTGTTTATTAAACTTGAGTCTTTCAGCACCTATAATTCCTCTTGGACATACAGTACAAGTTATACATGGTTTTGTTGAAGAACTAGTTGTAAATGATGATCCAGAGTACCAATGGATTGACAAAATTCGAACACCAAGGGCTTCAAATGAAGCCAGACAAGTACTATTCTTAAAATTGTCTGGGGAACTACAGAGGAAGATTGGTGTTAAAGCATTGGAACTTGGAGGAAATGCTGTTGTTGGATATAGCCAGAGCTTTGATCTGGAAGGAGAATCTGGGATAGTTGCAAGAGGAATTGGGACTGCAGTTTCATTGCTCAAAATTCGTGATAATTTACCTTCTATTACCCCACAACAGCCTTTAGATAATATAGATGAGTGAGTATATTCAATTACTCAAAAGAAATAGATTGTAAATTAGTTAAATTTCGTATTTTATATTCAAAGAGTAAAAAGTCTAATTAAATTTTATTTTTGTGCAATGCATGTAGGCGTGCATTAAACTACTTAAAATTTCTCGGCTCAAGCAGTAGCTTTTACCTAAATAAGACTTGTGACAACCAAAATTCCCAGCTGAACAGAAAATCTTTCCTACCCTTTTCCTCATTGAATACAGAAAATCCGTTTGACGTAGGGGGTCGAGAACACTTTAATAAATCTCGTTATACAAGGCACTTGTCCACGATTGAATTTCAAAGAGGCCATCAAAATGTAGCGCCGGTTCGTTCAGCAAGTTCAATGCAGTCACTTTTGAAGCAAGAAGATTTTCGACGAAACCCTGGAAGAGGCATTTCCCAAAAGTTCAGGAATCTGAAGTATGCTTCACATTCAATGCTATCAAAAAAGATGTCAGCTTTAAGAGCAAGAATTTCAGAAACAGGGCCTGTTCAAGAAAACTATGCTTTAGGGGAAAGTAGCTCGTCTCCAGCTTTAAATCAAAGTGGCGAATTAAAAAACAAGAACAACATATTTAAAAGATCAACAAGTGACTCCAGTGTTATGGCAGAACTACTAATACATTCTCTAATGCGTAGTAGTTTGGAATGCATTGAAGAATCAGGAGGTGGTTCCCCTAAAGAAGCAGAAATAAATGAAACCAAAGCAGAAGAAGCGGCGTGTCAGTTGAAAACAATATTGGATGACGATGCTTCCGAAAAAGACAGTACATCAGAATCAACCGATTCTGATGATGAATCTGATTCAAAAGATGAAAAATCTATTGATTATGAAACTGTAAGCAGTATAATAAAGAGCATAGAAATCATTGAAAGCAGGAGAAGTATGGAACTGGGTACGACACGCTCAAATGAAAATATTCCTTTTGAAACTGATAATATTTCATGTTATTCTAAAGATTTACCACCTGAAGATATTCAAAAATTTACTGCAGAGTTAGCACAAACTAATTTAGAACGTTCTGAAACAATAATGCAACCTTCTACCAAAAAAAACGATGTAGCAAATGAAGAGCAACTGTCCGAGTTACAAAGGCAAGAAATAATAGAAATTTTTCAAGATGATTCCTTAGGAATCCCTCCTTTAGCTGAACCAGAAGATTTTCTAATTCACGAGCATAAAATTTCTCAAACAGAAGTGCCAAATAAATCTGACTTACTAACTTCAGGTAATAATAAGAATACTAACTTCGAATGTTCTCCCCCAAAACTAAGACCAAAAAGATCTAAATTTTTCATACCTCCAGTAAGAATTCGTGGAAATATCGATACGAAAAGTTTAATGCAGACAGCAATGCAAACGATGCTTCTTGAAAAAGTAAATATAATTGGAACGTACACCCCACCCCTTTCGCCAGCACTTGACAGAGATGAAGAATTTGGTCACGAAGGCGCTTTTGTAGATCCGCCAGCATTAAAAGTAACAACACCGACAAATGTCAGTACACCGGCATCCTCGTCCTGTTCTTTAGAGAAAGATCAATCATTCTACCCTCAAATTGCTAAAACATTTGAAATATTGCGAAGATCCCCGACTGCTGTATCACTGGGAGAACATAACACCGAAGAAAAAGTAACTCCAGCCAGCTTTACTTCCCTCGACAATTTAAACAAAGACACCCCTACGGAAGTCAAACAGAAGGTGAACAAACTGAAATCGTTTGAAAAATTACTTCACCATAAAGGCTTGGCAATCGGTCACTTATTAAAAGAAAAGGTGACAGATCTGTTAAGTCATACAAGAAAACAATCTATAAAAGAAAAACAAAGTGTTGTGTCAATTCCCGAAATCCCTATTACTCCTAAAGAAATAACTTGTACTAATTTCGTTTCTTCTCCCTCATGTGATGTTGAAAATACCCCCGAAACCCCCCTTAATGCTAATTGTGATAAGTCTCTCAATACGAAAATTGACGATGGCTCTAGCAATAGCTTTAATACGTTGCATGCAAGCTTAACCCATCCAAATAGGACAGGTGGATCACTTATCCTTGAAGTAGCAAGATCTGAACAAGGACATCAAAGAGCTGAATCTACTGGATCCAAAATGGCACATTCACCGGTCAAATTCATCACAGCGCCTTACATACATCGCAGATCTTCCGACTCAGATCTGAGCATTACTCCAAAAGGTACAACTTTTAGAATTTATTATTTGTAGTATTTTAGCTATATACTTCAAATGTTCATTTTTTTTATTTAAAATCTAAATAGTCTTTATTATCCCTGAATTTTATCTCTTTAGTTTTTTAGTGACTTTTTACAATTGTTAATAATATAAAGTAAAAAGTGAGTTGATTTTTCAACAATTTTTGAAATGCAGGTGTTTATATCAGTATTTGTTTTCTTTTTGGGTTGATAAAATTCTTGCAGTAGGATTTTACTACAAAAGTGAGTACATTCCCCAACATTAATGCTGCATTTTTGTGTCGATGTTTTGCTCTTTTTCCTACTACTCCAACTTTGGTATGATCAAATTAAGTATAGAGTAAACTATTGTATATCGATTCGCTATGTTATTTAGTGTTGTTTTTAAAGGGAGGTCAGTCAATAGTCATTTCAGTTGGGCTGCCACTGGTAAAGAAATAATAAAAATATATGTATATTCAATATACTTTAAATAACACATAAATTTAACATTTGTTAAAGGATGTTAAGCCAGTGGCAACCCCCCATTGGGGTAGTCTACACTCGTAGAAATTATAGCTGCTTAAGCTACATTTAGTTATCATAAGCTAAAAGGTATTTTAAAAAATCATGACATGAAGACTGACGTCACCAATACGGTGCATGACCAAAAGTTTAAATGTGGTCCCTAATAAAAGCAGATATATATAATTACTCATTAAAATTAATTGTCTTACTGTATGGAGTATGTATAAGAGTATGTATGGAATGTGTAGTAGATGTGTTAAATTTTATTAAATTATTATTAGGAAATAGCTTTACTGGGAGTGATAAATCCGGTGGTATGATAAGTAACATGTTGAAGACAGGAACGTTAATCAGATCTAATATTCCTCAAGACAACCTAGACATGCTAGAATATCCTTTTCTGACAATGTCAAGATACCCCCCAGGATTCATTTTATGCATTGGTAAAATCAAATGTAATAAAGTTGTGGAGTATTCAAATTATTTTAAAAATATTTTCAGGAGGTGCTGTAAGCGCAAGATCAGTTAAACTTTTAGAAAGAATTTCAAATTTAGAAGAACCAGAATCGCGCGATACGTGGTGGTCAGAATTGAGAATGGAAATTCGCTCTCATGCTAGAACATTAAATTGTAACGCTGTTTTGGGCTACTCAGAAGCTACCAGCATCTGGTAACCATGTATTACCTAATAACAAACGAATTGTTACTAACTAATTTTATTTTAGTGACGATGTTTGCGTTTTAAGTGCCTCAGGAACTGCAGCTGTAATAAGTTATCATTGTTTAGGAGACGCTGATGCCTTTTCTGGAATTCCCCTGATTCCCAAAATGTATAATAAAGACACTTTGGTATCGTCTCTAGAACGAAACGATTTAGAAAAAGAAAAAAAAAATTTAGACGGGCCTGTTTCTTTAACTGTAAGAGAACATATAATTATTTAATACAATTGTTTCTGTATTTATTAAATACATTACTTTAGGGGAATTCCACCGCTAAACAAGTACATGATAGCCCTGAACACGATAGCAATAGTAATTTAAATACACCTCCTTGTAGTTTATGCCACACACCCTATGGTGGTAACTCAGGTCCTTTAAGAACTACTATTTTTAAATGTGCTCTCTGTCGGTAAATGTACTATTAAGTAACTGAATGTACACTGTTAATTAACTGTAACTTTTTCTTTCTAGAAATTCCAAAGTACCTGATATATTAATAACTACAGTAGAATTACCAGAAGACTTGCCAACTTCAGGCAAAGGGTGTTTCTTACAAGCACACGTTTGCCGTCAGCTCAAAGATTTGAGGGGCGAATCTAATGCCAAAGACATATCTGATGGCCTGCCTTTTCTTGAGTATGAATTGCATAGACTTTTAGTCAACAAACTACGAGTTAAGGGAATGAACGCGATATTCGGATTGAAAGTTAGAATATCGGTTGGGGTACGAGTTCTGATTGGAATAGCAACCGGGACCGCTGTTTTTCTCCTACCCCTACCATCTTCTCCTCCCCCAAAGCTTGTTTCAGACAGGTCAACTAATGCCAAAAAGCTTGCCGAAATGCAAAAATTACTGAACGAAACTGTTAGGAAGAATAAGGAAATTTACCAAATAAAAAGTGTAATGAATATACTTCCAAATTAATATATATATATATATGTATTAACATTAACCAAAATTACAGGAAGAACCTAATGGTAGGGTGGCCTTTTCTGATAACGAAGATGAAGGGAGTGAGTCCCCAGGATTGGATTTGGCAGCAGAAAATAAAGATTGCTGTATCTTGGAGGTACTCTTAAAGATGTTTATTTAACACTTAACTGACACAAAATTTTTATCACTTTTAGGCCGATGATCCAGAAGATATTGAACTAATGAACTTGCTTATGGAACCTCAGCCCCCTGACGGTTTTCACGTTGTAAATACAGAACAAGTTCCAGGATTAACAGAATTAGAAATAGTTAAAAATTTACAAATGTTTATGCAAATTTGGCGAGCTAAACTTCATCCGCCTTTCAATCTAGGCAAACTATTACATAAATTATTACAAACTGTTTATTTTAAACTAAGAAGAATGATTCCTTGTGCCTTATGCGATCTCCAGTTTCGCGTAGATTTACCAGAATCTGACGATATTCAGCTTGTCGTGTTAGGTATTCGCTAATTTAATTCATAATTCACTTAAATCTATTAAATGTGTTAAATTGGGTATTTAGGAATGGCTTTAGGACTAGCAGAACCGAAAAGTAAACCTAAAGTAAAAAATAAGGGGCCCACGTCAAAGGATCCTTCAAAAAAGAATGGTACATTCTGTAAAATTTCATTGTTTGCGTTACTTATTGTTTTTACATTAAATTGTAGATGATGACTATTTAATCTTTAATATGGAAGAATTTCAGTCGATGGAGCCTTCTCAGGTCCCTTCTTTGTCCCATCACTCTTTCAAACTTAAAAATAAACAAAAATCGCCAGAAAGAGAAACTGCAATTGCTCAAAAAGTAAAACAGTAATCCGGTTATTAAAAAAAAGAATACAACAGTTCAACTCAGATTTTCTTGTAGGTCATTAAAGGTAAACATGGGGTTGATATTACCCCCTTGTCTTACGTACCTGGAGGAAAAATTGATAAATATCTAGGGAACTTAAATTTCTTTTTCATTAGGGAAACTACTTCAATTAGGGAGGTTGTGAAATGACGAATAATATTTAATTTTTTGTGGTAACTACTATTTTCTTTGTTGTTAGGAGGGTGGTCTTAGTGGATTTATTCATAGTTTTGCAACCGAAGTTTTAACCATAGTTAGGGCACATGTAACAGCTTTAGGGGGCAACGCCATGGTCGCTTTTTACATGAACGAATGCGTTCTTTATCATAATCTGCACAAAAATCAGGTGAAATTGATTTTTATTTCTCTAGAATAACAGGTTATAACGCTTTCAATTTTTTATTTTGTTGTTACAGGGCCAGTGCTTAATAAACGTTGGAGGGGATGTTGTTACTGTTTCCTACACACCAGATGATTAAATTATGCTCTCCACCCTCATGTTGAAGTATTACTTTTATAGTATTATTTTAATCGTACTAATGCAGTTGTTCATATATTTTGATTGTATTATACAAAAGGATGTTCTGTTAAGTTGTAATTTTTTAATTGCGAAATATAGAATAAAAAATGAAATTCTTGTAATAGTAACAAGTTCTTCCCCCCTATCAGTCACTGTAAGTTCGAAACTGTTAACACAATTACTTCGAGTGGTCGAGATTCATTATTATGAACAATTTATTTAATCACTTTCCTTGTGTTAAAAATTGTTTAAAAAAAATAAATTTAAAGGAATTGCTTGTAAATAGGTATGCAACACATCGTACACTTCAGCAAAGAAATTGCAGATACTGACTACGTAATTAATTTAAAACAGACAATAGTGATAAAGGCTTAACAATAAATTTATATATTTCGATTTAGTAACGTACCTATATTATAGTAATTAAATTAATTTTTGTTTACTTATAATTGATAGGAAATAAAGATAGAAGCTAATTGAGTACGCATTTTCACTTCTTCGCAATACTGAAAGAGTTTCGTTTCACCCACACAATAACAGGAATTTAAAACCCTTAAATTAGAGTATTCAGAATATAAGTCAATAAAATAGGAATGCAAATGTGTACGTATATATATACATCAGTAATTCCTCCGCATTTCAAAATGTTTCTTTCTAATCCCCGTTTATAAGCTTCGAAAATCGTCGACGTAATTTATGGCAACCGATGTTCAATATAATCATTTAGGTACAATATAGAATACAAATTAAGATCGCTTACCCCAATAAACATATTTACTAGAATAGTAGCGTTTCTAAATATATTAGATAAATAATCGATTATTCTTCTTATTATGCATATAATAATAATTGATTTATGTTTTTAAACAAATAGGTACTTAGTAAAAAGATTGGGTACTTCAAAAGTACCTTTTACCATTTTCAGTGCTTCATGCTAGAAAAAGGTACACAAAGTACCTTCCTGTATGCCACAGTAACTACTAATATTATCAACTACAAATTTTAAATAAGTGTACAATATGTTACTCCGTGTCCAAAAGGTCCAAATTAGGCAGCAAATTTAAAAATAAACTCAGCCGAGCTGAGTAAGGTATCATATGAAAAGGTTTTGCTTATACAGTTCAGGCTTCATAATTTCGACTTCGTTTCAATCAATTTTCAAATTTGAATGAGCAATATTTCGCTCGTTGCAGTGGTGTAAGTCAATCTAAATTTATATGATATAAAAGGGCGTAAGGGTGTAGGATATAGTGGAATGCGTTTTGAAGGTATTTTGGCGAAACTGAAGCAAATAATTTATAATTTGGAGTCCTTTTTAACTAATTTGCAAACTTGGACGCCAAAAATTACGCTCTTTACAATGATCCAAGCTAATTCGAGTTTGTATGATACAAAAGTGCAACAGGGTGTCGTAAGATGATATGTGTTTTGATGAAAAGGTGTTTTTATGAAACTGATGCAAATAATTTATAATTTGAAGTCCTTTTTAACTAATTTTCAAACCTGGACGCCATAAATTACGCTCTTTACAATGGTCCAAGCTAATTCGAGTTTGTGTGATACAAAAGTGCAACAGGGTGTCGTAAGATGACATGTGTTTTGACGGAAAGGTGTTTTTATGAAACTGATACAAATAATTTATAATTTGAAGTTCTTTTTAACTAATTTTCAAACTTGGACGCCAAAAATTACGCTCTTTACAATGGTCCAAGCTAATTCGAGTTTGTATGGTACAAAAGTGCAACAGGGTGTCGTAATATGACATGTGTTTTGACGAAAAGGTGTTTTTATGAAACTGATGTAAATAATTTATAATTTGAAGTCGTTTCTAACTAATTTTCAAACTTAGACGCGTAAATTACGCTCATTACAATGGTCCAAGCTAATTCGAGTTTGTATGATACAAAAGTGCAACACGGTGTCGTAATATGACATGTGTTTTGACGAAAAGGTGTTTTTGCAAAATTGATGCAAATGATTTATAATTTGGAGTTCTTTTTAACTAATTTTCAAACTTGGATGCGCAAAATTACGCTATTCACAATGGTCCAAGCTAATACATGTTTTTACATGATCCAAAAGCAAGAGAGGATGTCCTAGGATGATATGTGTTTTGACGAAAAGGTGGTTTAGCAAAATTGATGCAAATTTATAATTTGGAGTCCTTTTTAACTAATTTTCAAACTTAGACGCCCAAAATTCCACTTTTTACAATAGTCCAAGCCAATTCAAGTTTGTGTGATACGAAAATGTAGATTTCGGAAGTCGAACGAAATAATTTACAATTTCGATTCCTTTTTAATCAATTTTCAAATCTAGACGCCCAAAATTTTGTTTAAATGTCCAATGTTCTTCACTGGTACAATAGATTAAAAATTCTCAAAGATCTCATTGGTTAATGACAAAATTCTCTGAGAATGCGTAAAACAGACAATTACAAACTGTCTAACTCTATTAATTAATCTGTAAAAATTAGACTCACCAATAATTATCACATTCAAACGCATCCTTCTGTTAAATAATAAATCACTATGCACACAACACAGCACAACACTCCCGAAACGCGAACACGTTAAAACTAATATTGAGATGTTGGTTTTAGAAAGTGTTCAGATTCATACAAATATTTCGCCGGCACTCATCTTATCAGGGTTTTTTGTTAGCGTCTATGACATTGCACCAATGTCAATGTATTTTTACCTTTCACTAACATTCGAAAGATGTGATTTATGAGCAAATAGTGCATTCACACGCAAACAAAAACTTTAAAGTAGAAGATGGTTTTATTAAATTTGTATTTGTCTTTTTAAAAACACAATAGGTAGATACATACTTATATATACATAAAAGAAACTATTTTATGAATTATAAATATATAATTGTAAAAGGTACATATTATTATTTATCAGTAATATACAAAAACCAATGTTAAGTGCTAACTTTTCGCTTTATTCTTAATTCTACATTTTGTAATAACAAGGGGTCATTTTTTTTTTGTTATTTTTATGAAAACTGGCGCAGTGTCTTAAAGTCCAAGACGACGCCCAAATCGTAAAAATACATGATCCACATCTTGCCTTTTGGCCCCACGACTGTACAATTCAGTATCCATTATTTCCCCTATAACAAAACAGAAGAATTAGTAAAAATATTGAACATCAATTATAATTAATTATTAATCATTCCTTTTACAAAGAATGTAATATCGTAAAATGCATCATTCGAAAAAATATGTGGTTACTGGTATTGTTATTTAAATTATTGATTTACTTACGTACGCTGATGAATATTTATAACAAACTAGCTCGTTTTGTATTTCAAAGGAAAAAATACCATTATGCATGGTTTAAATGAAGAATCGATCGTTTATCATTTTTATAACTTTACGTCAATATTTACCGATTTTTTGGGACGTTTGTTGATTAGAAATGCCACAAAATCTGCTTACCCTTCACAACTGGTTCTATAGGTTCTTCGAAATATTCTTTTAGGGTTGCCAAAAGGCATAATTTTTTAAGTCTAGGGGGTGCGTCCGCTGAACAAATATCTGCGTTTTGTAATGGGGGCATCGATAAAGTAAGGGAAAAAAGTACCATGAAAACTGTCACTGTTACTAACGATAGTAAGTGTTGGTTCATTCTGAAATAGAATAATAAAAATCAAATATTTGGCATATCCAGAAAAGACTTTAGAACAGTTATTGAAATCTAATGAAAACATTTTGAAAAAAAAGTTAATTTTAAAAACTTTGGAACAATAAAAATATAGATAATAAAATAAAAAACTATCTTTACGAATATAAATGGACAATTTTCAAAAATTGAGTGCACTGTTCTGTTATTACGAAAGTGGAAAGTGAAATAACTGGAAATCCCCGAAAATTTCACCGGTCTAGCACAATTTTCGAGTAATCGACGCACTTTTTGTTTAATACACTAAAACTTTTTTTACCTTACGAACTTGTTGTTCTTTGTTATAACAGGTACTGTTGGAAAGAGTCAAAACAATGATCTGAATCAGGAAGATAAGAGAATCTCTTTATATGGACCATACTGCGCCTACACTCTTATCATGGCCCCGCCTTTCATATTTTCCAGAATGAAAAATACCATCTTTCACATGTTTCACTCAATTTTACTGATATGATGTTACAAATTCATACAATACCAACGTTTAACAGAGATTTATTCAAAAATAATTTACCACCTAATGTGCCCATTTATATGAGCAACTTTATGTACTTTTTTCTAAACGAGTATCTTAAACATTATTATTTGTGATACTAACATCATAAACTTATAAAAATTATGTTGTTAATTATTGTATTGAAAAAATAAACAAAATTTAAAAACCGTCGATTGTTTTATTAATTTAAATAATAATAGGGCAACTTCGATTTCCACTGACCCATTTTTTTTATAAGTAAACAATTTCTTTTGTTTCAATTCTTGCAAAAAAGCAATTTATATTATAATTTGTCGCCATCATAAAAATGTATGAAAAAGATTTATTCAAAGGAGAAACAAGCCAATACATATGCAATCGTTTTATGTACGAAAGGGATCAAAAATTAACAAAAACAATTTGTATTGTGGGACAAAAGTGGACTAAAATTACTTCAGCGTTTTTCTCTTTTGTTTTTCAACAGCTGAAAAGTCAGAATTTTTGCTCTACTTTATAAAATTAATACTTGTCACAGGAGAAACCTACAAAATAACGTATACTACATTATTTTATTCTTTGTAACAGTCGGGCTTCTCTGTGAAGATGCTTCTGCTTTTGTATGATCAAAGAATACTTCTGCTTTGTCGCGATATTCACTTTTAATTTTAGATAAGTACATAATATGCTACCGTGGCATTTGGATTTGTTTATCGACGATCGAAAATAAATTTTGGTTGGTTCGTTTATCAGAAAACGGGGGCAATATAGGGATCAGAGAGAATATAATTCATATTAATTTGAATTGTGGAAATTGCCACTTAAATAAGAAACGACGGTTTCAAAGAGAAATCCATGTTAAATGCGTTGATGGTCTATTAAAACATAATTGGTATTAATGTCTTTTTGTTATTCTACAACGTGCGCTTCTTTTAAAACAACACACCTCTTGATCAACGTCGATATCGAAAATCAAAATAAAATACCTAACGTTGGAATTTAACCATTAAACAAGGAATTGACTAAATGAACGAATTTTATTCCACGACGGCTTTTAGTCTTGTGCATCACTCTCATACCATCTTTGCTTTTTCTTTTTTGAAAATTGTGCGTTTAAAATTTGCATTTTTCCTTGACTTTTGTTAGGCACATGGTTTATAAAAGGAATTAATTAAAAAAAAAACAATACGACAATGCGTAACTACCACTTAAAACGTAGGGCGTTAAACATTAAATTAAATTTTTATTTTAAAATATATAAAAGCGTATCGACACGTATTTATTTCGTATGGAATAGTAATTTAATATGTTGCTAATCACAAAAACTAATTAATAAGCCTATTTTTGCATTAGATAATACAAAAAAATGGATTCAACCACAAAAAAAAGCTTTCTTTTACATGTAAATAATCGTATATTTATTTGAAGAGTTATTTTTCATGTTTTATCAACCCTTAACGAGCAACATATTGCATTTGTGTGGAAAAGAGAACAATTTTTGAAAAACTTCTTTTTTTGAATCCCAGTTAACAGTTAACACTATGTATTAAAAAAAGCGAGATCAAAAGGTCGTATGCTAAACTGCTGTTGACAAAGGCCGGAAAAAAAGCTGTCTGAATGAAATTGTCTAATTCGTAGTTGCTGTTGATTGTTTTTAAAAAATTTAGCAAAAACAACCCCTGATTAATAGTCCATTATAATTAAGTATTGCTGAATTGGAAATAAATATATTGTTGTTGCAAAGATAAGGAATGAATGAGCTAAACGAATCCTTGAACAATTGCAAAAACATTAAACACGTGCAACTGGTATTTCAAATAAATTTCCAGTTTAATTAAAAAAAAATCGGACCTTTAACAGAAAAAACCTTTTACTTTTTCTAAAATTGTAACAAAATAGTCCCGTAAACACATTATAAATACTGCTAATTTATGCTTTTCGTTTTTGACTTTTTTTCTTCAATTTTTAAATTTATTAAACCGTAAACAAAGTGTAATTTCTGAATTTCAATCATGTTTATGCACAAAAGGTAATGAATACACACAAAGGGGCAATGTCCTTCCTGGTCAGTTCCAAAAAATTAGGTTGCAAACCAAAAAATTGAAAAGAACATACTAAATTTACATTTTTTTAAATTTCACTTAGCACAAAACTTTCCTTACATTTTATAATAAAATAATTATTATTAATTACACTTTTTTATAAATTAAAACGATGAATATCTAATATTCTATTAATAGGGCAATAATTTAGTTGATGGTACTGTTACAGTGTCAATTAACACCCTTAGTTAGAGATAAAAGTGACACTTGTTTCCCTGATAAACGAACGAATTAACATATTGATCTCTTCATGGTTTGACTATTGGCAAATATTTACCCATTTCAATCAAATAATGTCAGGATTGTTAAGTGGTGAGTTTTAAATGTACCTACTTATTTCTACTCAGAAAAAGGTCAACACGTTTTAGAGAAATGCTCTAAAACCAGAAATATTCGAAAGCAAAATCTGAAAAAGATACGAGACCAACTAAACTTTAAGATAAAATAATTATTTGTTAATATTCTCTTTCTTGGTGCATATTAAATTGCCTATCACGTTTTATTAAATATTTATTATTTGAAAGAGCTAAAAAGGCGTGAAAAGTTGAAATTTTCTGTTCTTTATGTAGTACGAGTTGTTCATCAATTAAATTGTTCATGAACTTGGGTTTTGGAATTTTGATAAGTTCATTATTTCATTTCTTTTGCGGTGGGAGAATTTACAAAACAAAAATATGCAAAGCAAATTGTAATTCCTTTTGTTTCAAAATTCACTATTCAGTTAACTTGAATTCTAGCAAGGGAATAGTCGTTTTTTTTGCCTAGTGAGTGTTACAATCAAAAAATGTTGACTGCCGTGAGTGATACTGATATTGATAGTGAAACCAGAGAAATAATTGAAAGAAGAAAAACTACTCTTTTATCTAATCATATTCTGGGAAAACCGGAAAAACTAAACACCCTTTATGGAGATGGTTTGTTTACATTTTTTAAGTTAATTTAAAGAATTGTTCGCTTGTTTAATTTTTTATAATAAACGAAATATTATTTCCAACTTTTCTATCTAACCATTTTATTAGCAGACCTTCAATTTATCTTTCGTATTATTTATAGCATATTTTTCTTAAAAAAATGTTTTTGTCTGTTCTTGTTAAATGTTGCGTCACAAATTAATTTTATTGTTTTGAGAAAATTATAATTATCAAAGTATTCAAATGAATTCAATTCAGTACTATTGTTTGTTACTACTTACTGACGTATTATGCTTAATATTCATTTCAAATTTTCACTCAACATTGTTCGATTTAACCAACTTTAACTTAATTTTAGTTTTTATAAGTATTTATGAAGAGAATTTCCAGAAAAAAGTATTAAACATCCTTCAGATCTATGAACTATTATTCCTTGTAATGAAGTAAACAAAAATTGCGCGAACTTTTTGATGGATGCGCCAGACATGACTTTATATTTTCAACGAAATAACATTAATTAACATATAACTTTAACAATATCTTGTCTTTTCCTAAAAAGAAACTCAATTTTAGATGTATTTTTCAAAGAAAACCCCTACTATAGTCCTTTCTACAAGGAAGTATATCGAAAATCTCTGGATCAACCAGAAGAATTTTGGGCAGAAATTGCTAAAAAAGTTGTTTGGACTAAAACTTGGGATAAAGTTTTAGACAATTCGAATCCACCTTTTACGAAATGGTACTAGAAATCCTCTAAAACAATATCATCCCTCTACATTATTCGAAATTATAGGTTTGTCGGGGGAGAACTGAACGCATGTTACAATGCAGTGGATCGTCACGTAGAGGCAGGAAAGGGTAGTAAAATAGCACTAATTCATGACAGTCCTTTGACTCAAACAATTCGAAAAGTAACTTATGGAGAACTTCTAGATAAAGTAAAAGAATCAGAACGATCTGTAGCATTACGTATAACTGTTTCTTATTTAGATTTCAAGATTGGCTGGTGCCATGGCAGCCTTAGGGGTCAAAAAAGGAGACAGGGTGTTGATTTATATGCCTCTTATACCAGAAACTATAATGGCTATGCTTGCAACAGTAAGATTAGGTGCAGTCCATTCTGTTGTTTTTGGAGGTAAATAATTGCAGAGTTAAATATTATTTTTTAATTAAAATTCTTTTTCCAAGGATTCGCTGCACGCGAATTATGTGCCAGAATAGAACATGCAGAACCAAAAATTATAATTGCCGCAAGTTGTGGTGTGGAACCCCGTAAGGTTATTAGGTAAATATCCAAAAAAAATTGTACTTCAAAAATCATTCGTTCGCTATTTCAGATACAAAGAAATATTAAACGAAGCTATACAATGGTCTTCTTTTAAACCCAAAAAATGCATAATCTTCCAAAGAAGAAACGTGGAAGTAGCCCCTTTGGAGAAAGAGATGGACATCTCTTGGGACACAGCCCTAAAAATTGGAACGCCCCATCCCTGCGTATCGGTTGAAGCAAACGACCCTTTGTACATTCTTTACACTTCAGGAACTACAGGTACAAATCCCATTGTCCACAAATCTGCTCCATGCTTTTGGACGTAGAAACTCAATGTCTAAAGTACAATCCCATTACTTAATTTCTAATTGTGACCTTGCGCTAGATCAACCAAAAGGAATTCAAAGACCAACCGGTGGTCATATAGCAACCCTTGCGTGGACCATGAGTGCCGTTTATGGTATGGGCTCAGACGACATATGGTGGTGTGCTAGCGACTTGGGGTGGGTCGTGGGACATTCGTACATTTGCTATGGTCCACTTCTGTATGGAATAACTAGCGTCATGTACGAAGGAAAACCTGATAGAACCCCTGACCCCGGACAGTATTTTAGGTGACTTTTGCTAAATATTGTAGATAAAGGTTCTCTCGAAACAACTTACATAAAACTATTGTAGAATTATCGATGACCATAAAGTTAACGCGATCTTTACTGTTCCAACTGCTTTTCGCGTTATCAAAAGGGAAGATCCAAACGTTTGCTTCGGAAGAAACTATTCGACGAAGAGTTTGAGAAGAATATTCGTTGCTGGGGAACATTGTGACTACGAGACGAAAGCTTGGGCAGAAAAGGTATTCAATGTGCCCGTTTTGAACCATTGGTGGCAGACTGAAACGGGTCATGCCATCACAGCCCATTGCATAGGACTTGGGCACAGCCTATCCCCACCAAAATACACTACTGGAATGCCCTTTGCTGGATATGACGGTAAGAAAGTTACGTAAAAGTTGTTCTCTTGTATAGTAAATTCTTTTACTATTAGTAAGAATATTAAGAGAAGATGGTACAGAAACAACAAGTCATGAACTTGGAAGAATTGTAGTAAAACTGCCTTTACCCCCCGGGACGGTGTCCACCCTGTATCAAGCCCCAGAGCGATTTTGTGACGTCTACTTTTCGAAATATCCAGTAAAAATTTATAATTATACTCAATAATGAATTCTTTATAGTATTAATATTATTTGAAGGGATACTACGATACTATGGACGCTGGTTATAGGGATGAATTCGGATATATCTATGTTGTGGCAAGGGATGATGATGTAATAAATGTTGCTGGACATAGGATATCAACTGCTGCATTGGAAGACGTCGTTATGGCGCATCCTGACGTTGGGGATGCGATTGTGGTCGGTGTTCCGGAGAGTACAAAAGGGGAAGTCCCACTTTGTTTGTACATCCCCAAAAAAAGTATCTATTTATTAAGTTTTCTGTTTGGTTTGAGACGATTATGCGATTGTATTGTAATTCTAGACGCAAGGAAGAATGAAACTATTATTGGAAGGGAACTTGTTTGTATGGTAAGGGAATTGATTGGGCCAATTGCAGCATTTCGTTTAGCGGTCCCAGTTAGAGATCTTCCCCGCACAAGGTCAGGAAAGTCTTGTAGAAAAACCGTTTCTGATTTGGCACGAAACAAACTTGTAAAGGTAGAACGCGTTTGGATGAATTTTAAACTCAATAATGTAAATCAATTCTTTTTTTACTTACAGATTTCTGGCACAGTGGAAGACCCAACAGTGTATGCGGATATCAAAATGACTCTTCAAAAAATTGGTTACGCATTAACTGCACCCGATCCTACATTCTATTAATATCTTTATGAAACTTACACTAACAATAAGTATTTGGATAGTACTGTGTAATATTTTCTTTTGTAAAATATCTTGGACGATAAAAAAGTATTTGTTTCATAAATAAGGAAGAATAATTTTGCCTTTAACATTTTGGTTGTTTACTATATATTACTGTCCTACAGTGCTATTTAGATTGACTATTTAACAATCTTTAGTAAATATTAGATAGGTATGTACATCTAATTGTATCAGATTTAGGTAACAAAGAAGAAAAGTATGAGAATAAAAACTTTGTATCTAATTCTCTGCGACTTATTTACACCCTATTTAATTGATAAATATAATTCCCACCTTAAATTTTATGAAATGTTTTCGTTAACGAAAAAATTAAAGTGTAAGTAATTTGTTATTTTAATTTGGAATAAAGGCTCTTAAAAGAACAATTAGCGTTCTTTTATTTTTTGGAATTCAATAATTAATTAAAAGATTAGAGGCAGAAACAGAAGTTAAGAGGGGTAGAGGTAGACCTACGTTAGATTACTGTTCGCAAATAGTTAAGGATATGGGTTGTTCTAGTTTTGGGGATATGCGAAGATTAGCTCAGGATAGAAAAGAATGGGGGTATGTGTCCAACCAGTCTTAAGACTGACGACCTTATGATGATGATGATGTATAGGTAAACCCGTAAAAATAAAACGATTAATTAAAAAAATACATTTAATGGTTTTAAACAATTGTTTTAAAGTACAATCAATTTTAAAATATTGCTGACTTGAGGCTTATCAGTAATTGGATTTAAAATAATAAGAAAAAAAATAGTAAAAAAATATTTACACTGTAGACCTATAAACAAAAATAAAAAACATACGTAATAAGTAGGTATATAAATGATTATCGATGAAAAATAGTGTAAAAATTCAGGATGGACTCAGGCGTTTGGCACAACATGTAAATAACAATTTCAATTTGCAAATCACATTAAAAACCACAATTATTATTTATTTCAGATTCAACTTCTGCTGTACCCTGAGCAAAAAATCCTAAAATACAATGTGTATCTATGTCACGACATGCTCAATATGTTTTTCAAATCTTCTGGTAAAGCATTTATTATGTCTTGCATTCTTTCGCGAAGTCTCCTCTTAATTGTACTATTTATTGGTATATCATGTTCCTTGCATTTTTCTAATTTACTTTTTATTTTTAAAACCATATCGACAACTTCAACTTCTGGTTTACCTTGAACCCAAAGTTTTAAATTCTGCAAATGAAATACGCGATTAAGATTGAGTTTTTATTAAGGTAATAAAAGATCAAAAGTAACTATTACCGCATCAGATAGGGCTTGCAATTGTAAAGCCTGCAGTTTTAACGCTAATTCGGTGTACCTCATATTAAACCAGCCATTAAAATTTGGAGAACGAAAAAATTTTTTGTACAGCCCCACCCAGTCCCCTTTTATTCCGGAGGTTAATTGAGGACCTGTCGACTCTAAAGTTGCAAAAAAATCGTCAGGATTAAAAGGAAGGGGCAACGGTGCAGCCTTAAACAAAACAGTTGTGAAATTTTAACTGTCGAAATCCTCTAAAGTCCAAAATTACCTTAAAAGGTGATATATCTCTTTTTAAAGGCATCAGACTTGCTATGTATCGTTCCAGAGGAATAATAAAACTTTGTGTTAATTCTAGCAGATGCCTTTTTAACAATGCAGACTGGACTTCACAAGGCCTTTTTGAGCTTACACCTAAGAGTAATTTTTTTATCACACTTTTGTCTTTTTGCAAAAACGGTTTATAAGCCGTATACAGTCCTGGAGTATTGTCCAACATTTTTGGATTAGGACTTTTCTTCAATTTATATTTGTAACTTTCACCTTCAAAGAGTTTATTTAATTAATAAAAAAAGAGAACGTTTTTCTATGTTAGTTAGCATACCAGTGTGTTCTCCCAATTTTATTGAATGCGGCCAATGGTACAACGACTTGGCAAAAAATGGGTTTGTCACCCCTAAAATAACAGGGGGAGGATTTTGGGTTTTGCTAGCAAATTGTTTAAATTCACCATCATGAATTGTGAAGTAGGGTCTATAATCTGCACAATATTTTAGGGGTTGAATCATTCTAAAGATTGTATTAATGAAATTAAAAAAGATATAAAATAGTGAAAAAATATGTAAGAAACCTTATTAATGCTAAGACCATGGTAGAGCAGTATATAGGGGAAGAAGCCAAGATCACTAATGGTTCTGAAGTAAGAACCAGTTCCCAAAGCAAATGTATATGAGACAAGACTGGCTGTAATGCTTCAAATAAATTTAAATCTTCTGCAGCCATATGTATATGATAGTCTAACTTATCAGTTTCCTCTTTGGAAGTAATTGACCTGCTATGAGAATATTTTTGGTGAGGAATGCTTGTCTAAAATGTACATTACTTTTTATATTACAATATCAATTGCAATTCAAATATTTAAGTAACTACCTGTATAACAGTTCCCAATAGTGGTAGAGAAACTGTGGATCCTGGTAGAGGATCAGACCATAAATCTATGTTGCAAAGGACTGCTTCTAATATGGGCTCTCCATTTTCAAAGTATTTAGGGGCAATAACTGACACTATCTTACTAAACAAATTGTTAAATGGTAGTTTTGACAAAATAACAACACTCTGAAATTAATTATTATTATTAAAACATTTATAAATCCATTCTCTATACTCATTTTCTGCAAACCTTTTGGAAGTAACCACGGGGTAATGATATGTCTTTAACTTGTCTAAAGTAAACATATCCCCAATAGTATTTTGGGTTAATCTGAAAAGCTGGTGGACAATTTGAATTATACACAACATGCTCCCTTTTTAATTCTGATTTTCCAGGGCTCTTTGGCAAACGAATTACAAAGTTAGTGTCACCCATACAACCAGAGTTTGAGTCAGGGAATGCCAAGTAACAGATATTAGATATTTCCTGCTTTGTAAGGTATGCATGCTTTGGATATATTCCCTAAAATAATGGTACCACATCAGTTCCATTAATTTATTTGTCTGATATTTTAACAACTGACCTCAAGTGCTTGTCCCAGTTCTAAATCAAATGTAATGACACATATGCAGTGAATCCAATTTGAAAATCGGTCCCATCTCTTTTCTAGATTATTATCACCTATTTCCTTTTTATTTTTGTTGGACATTATGTTAGATGGTCAAAGCACTTCAAAATGCACATGTAATTCCATTTCTGAATCAACACAATAATAGTAAAAAGGAGTCCGGTTTGATACACACAATAACTTCAAGCATGATTTCCCTCATGTTAGGTTTGAATTACATTAAAAATAAAAGAAATATTCTTCGTTTTGTTTTTATTTTTAATCAATTTGTCATGCTCTACTACCTTAATAGCAAAACCAATCATAAAAACTGTTGATTGTATAAACAATCATAACACACAAAAACAAAAACTAGCAGTTATCACTCACTGGTTGCTTGGAATAGGTATTTATTCAGTTATCGTAATTAAATTACTGTATTGAACGCATTTCAGGAAAAAAATTAATTATTACACTTCCTTATGACGTTTAATGTTATGTTATTTCATCTTGTGTATCATGACCTCACAATAGCAGTTATGAAGTTTGCACGTGCAGATTCATTTACATCTAACTTCAATTGTATAAACAATAATATAACCTGCAATTTTATTTAAAATTTCAGTAATTAAATATTAATTACAAACAAATAAATCAAATATAAAAAAGGAATAGAACAGACTATTATTAATATAGGTTGTAATCTATAAGTAATTCAGTTAATATTCTTACTATTTTTTAGGTCCATACCTGCACTGCTTTCTAAAGTAAATCTGCCCTACTTTCCCACCCCCTTTGCACATTTCGAGTATTTTCGATGCCAAAAAACCTGATTAAACTGATAAAGAAATAAAACGTTCACTGGGAACTTTCACATATTACTATTTGTAACACAGCTGCATAGCATTTATGTTTGTTAAATATTTAAAGCCTAATTAAATATCTTATGACTCTTATTTCATTTTACTTATTTTATCTATTTTATTAAGTAATTTTTCATAAACACTTACTCTTAATTCCTTATATTAATTATATTATATTTGNTAAATGTTCAATGTACATATGCATCCCAAATGCTTAAGAGTAATGCGGGTTAGCTATATTTTTAAAGTGTTTAGAATGGAGGGAATTTTAAACCAGCATTTAAATATGAGAACTTTAAAATTTAAATGTCATAAGCAGGATTATATCAAGAAAACATTTATTATATAAAAAAGGTCAACGTACATAAAACTTTTAGAGCTAAGATATACCTAAAAGAGAATAAACATAATAAATAATCTTATATACAAGCAAAATCCAGGTATAGTAATCAAAGGTTAATAAAATAATGTAAATTGTGCGCTAATTTTCTTATAATTAAATTATTAATACGTAGCATTCTTCATAAAAGTTTACACAGTAAACAAGACTGATAAAATTAAAAATAAAGTAGTTTAGTACTTTGGGCACTTCCTCTTCAAGTATCTTAAAAATGATTGCTAGTTCATAATACCAAGACAAATAAAAAACGTACTTTTGTCCCTAACCACATTAAAAGTAAAGCTTATATCACAAGAACGAGAAATGTTTGCACTACAGTACAATGTACATATTTTTAATATTTAGGCCTTTCTTTAAAACAGATAAACTGTCTCCTAAAATAGACTTTATAATAAAATACTTGTGCATGTTACATTAGTGTAAAGAAGTTCTAAAAATTAATTTAGGAGACATATATAATTAGAATGTAAATCTTAATTACTTTTCTAGTACCAAAAATAGATAATTTTTTTCATTATGCAGTTGCTAATATTAAAAGAAACTTTTTACAAGGAATAAAGGCACTTTGTAAATACGTTTAAAATGGTGTATAGTTAATGGGACCACCGTTTTTAAGTTCAACAAGGGCAATTGCTGTTTGCATATCAGCCCTTGAAATTTCTTTCTTCTCCCCGCAATCCTGAACTCGCATAAGTACTGTGGGCCGGCGCTGGTTTTCATATTCGACGATGTTCATATCTTCCCAATTGAGGGGCTTAGCAAGCTCCTGAGAATCCCAACGTCTTTGATCTTGTACAGCTTCCCTAAGCCACCTTTTCTTTGGAAGTTCAACAGGTTCAGCTGGTCCATTACTTAATTTAAGCATCTTTTGGGACTCCTTAGATGATTCTGATTTATCTTTGAAAAGTTGTTGTACTGATGGTTCTTTAAAAGTTAAAGGGGCAACATTTGTAATGTTCTCTTTGGAGCTACCATACTGGCACTGGAGATCTATGTGAGTACTGTTGTCAGACCATATTTCTTGAGAAGAGTGGGCAAAGTCACTTGTATCACTTGACTGAGTAGTACATGTGTTATCAGCATATTCACTGCTGGTTGAAGATTCTGAGTTCCTCATCGACCACGTTGCAGAGTTACTTAAATCAAGGTTTTCATTCTGTTCTATACCATTTTCTCCATCACTTGTAAACCGAAGTTCATGGAACCTGCTCTTCTTTTTAGTGTTCTCTTTGTTGTTAAGGCATCTACAAAACTAATATAAGAAACAGCAGGATTATGAAAAGGTCATAGAACTTACCTTCTGTTAGCTCTTAACCAATTTTGTACTGCTGTGGAATGTTCTTCATCATTTTTGTTTTCTTGATTAGAATTAGTAATGGAGCTGAACCTTTTCAGTTGCCCTTCAGGGTGTTCTGGACAATGCCTGTTGGCATGAGTAAACCTTCGCTCACAGTTAGGAACTGTACATACAAAGGGCTTCTCCCCAGTATGTAACCTTTGGTGGGTCTTGAGTTGACCTGATTGTGTGAAACGTCGAGTGCATTTTGGATAATCACATGCATATGGCCTTTCACCTAAATTTAAAGGATGTTAAAATTGTTAAGTAGACCTTTAATAACCTTACCTGTATGAGTTCTTAGATGGGCTTGCAATGACTTTTCCCTTGGGAAAACTCTACTGCAATAGGTACACTTTATAGAGCTGGGAGAAGTCGATCCTTCCAAGATAAGGGTATTTAAAAATTCGGCCCTGGGTCGTCCTCTTCGTGTTTCACTAGGAGACACAACAGAATTCTCTTTTGGACTACCGTTAACCGGCGTTCTTTCTATCGAATTCAACACGTTTTGCCTTAAAATCTTATTTGGAGGTGTTGCATTCACAGGTTCACTAGTTTCTGAGGTCAACTTTGATCTTTTTGGAGTTCTGTTCATTCTTTTTTATTAAAATTTTGACACTCAAAACTAACCAAAACAAAACTTCGACATTCACACACACTGTTATTAAGATGGCGCTTTGAAAAGGAGGGAAAAATGCGGAAATAACTTACAATCTAATAAGTCATGCTTAATTCTATTTTGAATTTAAAATTATATTTTTTTTAAGAAAATTTGTCCTTTTCTGATTACAATATAACCTTAATTATGTCTGCAAACTCGTTGAAAACCTATAAAGTTTATTAAAATTATATTACAAAAGCATTTCTAATGACCTTTAAATACATTAATTAATGAATAGCAAGCAAAACATAATAATAACTCATTTATAAACATTACCAAAACTTTTACTGGGACAATAATGTTTAAATTAATATTATTTAAGGCGAAGTATATTAAAGAAAGCACGAAAGCTCTTTCAAATTATAATTTCATTGTTTAAATAGATAAAATATCTCGAAAATGCATAAAACAAGTATGTCATCTACAATTTGATAAATATTCCCAGAAACATCCCCTTATTAGAAGAAAATATTAGTAATTTAAATGTTCCCGCGAATTAGTTTCAAGCTACTTTAGTATCTCCCTAGAAACCTAGAGGTAGCACTGTCGCATTTATTTTTTACCGTAAAGTGTATGGTACTCCTGAATTAGTACCTATGATTAGTACAGTGTATTCTGTAGTGGACCGCAGTTGTGATTGTGCAGGATTGTGAGGTTAAATTAGTGAAATCTGAACAAAAATTAATGTAAGAATGTCTGAAGTAGCAGAAAACCACGCTCTTGGAACGAAATCAGATTTAGCTGGTGTTTCTGATAGTCCCATAACCGATCCTGCATCTGTTGTAAAGGTTTGTGTTTTTTTTTGAGCTTCATACACCCATTTTGGCTGTTTAGAAACAGCATTCAAGTTTTGTTATTGCAGCTATTTAGCTATTGCAATTAACATTATAGGTACATTATTTGCCTTAAATTATAAAAGCTGTTTCAATTGTCTTTAATCGAAATTTATTGTTGTAACAGTTACCTACGAAATTGGAACTGTAACTTTTAAATTGCACATTTATTTTCCACTCAAAGGGTGATACACATAAAACTTCTGGAGGTGTTTTAAAGTTGCTGGTTTTACAAAAAAGGCAATTATAGTTAAGATCCAAATTTTAAATAGTTACATCATAAGTGCTAATGCTTAAAGCTGTATTTTTTATAAATGGAAAGAAGAATTAATTTTATCACTTGAGTGCAGGTAGAATTAAATAAAATTATCTAATGCCATAAATAATCTTTTGTTGATTTGTTCTTTAATATGACCCTGATGGTAGATGCATTTCCATTTGTCTTGATTACCTGTTTACCACTAATCCTTTTATTTTATCAGCATTTTCTCATTCTTGAAATAGTTATCCAGATTTGTTTAATTTAACTCTACACAGATAATATTGATTTATATGAGCCTTAAATTAAAAAATTTGTAAGCAGGTACTTTGAACTCTGTTAATTTATCGTTTTGCATACATTAACTTTCATAACTGTGCCATATTAAAAATTACTTTTCTAACATCCTGTATTTAAAAAGTTTGGAACACTTAGCAGTTGTTTAAAGCAATCAGAAAAGTAATAGAATTATTATAGTATGCTGTTTATATTGTTTTTATGATAAAAAGCAATGCCACAAATTATTTTATTAATGTTTGTTTAATGTCTATTTTCTGCTTTAAGAAAGAAGTCTGTTATGGCATAGAAAATGTTTAATGCAATTAAATGTTAAAGCAGGAAATACATAAAAATTAGTACATGTTTTGAGATTTTCATTTTTAGGGTTTGGATGGAGCTAATGCATTTGTTGGTCAAAGATCAAAATTGGTAAGATGGGCATGTGCACACACCTATATTAATAAACTTTTAGTTTTGCTGGTGCTTCTTTTATTTTAAGTTTTACGATTATTCTTATGTAAGCAGTTCCACTTGTAAAGCACTTTGTATATTTCTAATGATAGTGCTGACAATGATTTCTTTTGTATTTCAAGCTCTAATAACCTTTACAAATACGTTTTTATGTACTCTTAATAAAAGCACTAAAAGGCAAATATTAGTCAGTCGGTTCCCATTTTAATAGATGTTTAGTTTGATTTACATTTTTTTTTTAGAATCACACCATTTATGTCACCCACAGCATGTAATGGTACTGTTGGCTATTATTTATTTTTTTATGGTTTCTTTTCGGTTTCGTGTATTTTTACTTTCAAATTTATAATTTATATTTTTCTTTTCCTTTAAGGATACTAAGACCTCTGGGGCTTTAAAAAAATCGAGCAGATACCGAACGAGATCTTTGTCTGCTTCTTCTACAGATTCTTACAGTTCAAGTAAGTGCTGATTAATTTTTTGTTTATGCCACTTAACAGTTTCATGTGCAGGCAGTAGTTCTCAAGAAGATGATGTCTCCCCTAGGGAAAAAGTGCAAAAAAATTCTAAAGGCAGCTCAGATTTTTGCGTTCGTAATATCAACCAATTCGAATTCGGTCGACGTGAGATTGAAATTGCTGAGCAAGGTATAAATGTACAATATAGCAAAAAGACTGTCAGATATTAATAAGTATTGAATTGATATTTTATGTATTTTTTCATTTAGAAATGCCCGGCATAATGGCTTTAAGGCGACGGGCTAGTGACGACAAACCATTAAGGAACGCAAAAATTGTTGGTTGTACTCACATTAATGCTCAAACTGCGGTGCTCATCGAGACTTTGGCAGCTCTTGGGGCCAGTGTTCGTTGGGCAGCTTGTAATATTTATTCTACTCAAGTGATTAAAACATTTACTTGAGCGTTACAATTGTTCTTATACATATTCGTTTCAGAATGAAGTGGCTGCAGCTTTAGCAGAATCTGGTTTTCCAGTCTTTGCTTGGAGGGGTGAAACTGAGGAAGACTTTTGGTGGTGTATTGATAAGTGTGTGAATGTTGAAAATTGGCAGCCGAACATGATCCTCGACGATGGGGGAGACGCCACTCACTTAATGCTTAAAAAATATCCTGCAATGTTTAAGATGATAAAAGGTAGTTAATATTAAGTTATGTCTTGGTCTTGTTTAAAAGTATGTAGTTTTATTATAGGAATTGTCGAGGAAAGCGTAACAGGTGTTCATCGCCTATATCAACTTTCTAAGGCTGGAAAACTGACAGTGCCTGCAATGAATGTAAACGATTCTGTAACTAAGACAAAATTCGACAATCTGTACAGTTGTCGCGAATCTATTCTCGACAGGTACCGCAGAATTTTATCAGTCACTACCTAATCCTTATTTTGTTTTCTTATTTAAGTTTCATTTCAGTCTAAAACGTTCGACGGATATAATGTTTGGAGGGAAACAGGTCGTCATTTGTGGCTATGGAGAAGTGGGGAAAGGCTGCTCACAAGCTTTGAAGGGTCTTGGATGTATAGTTTACATTACCGAAATCGATCCTATATGTGCCCTACAGGCCAGGTAAAATAATAAAGTACAATTTAGTACGCTTTATTATTATTATTTTTTTGTTTCATTAGTATGGATGGTTTTCGTGTTGTTAAATTAAACGAAGTAATTCGAACTGTGGACGTAGTTATTACAGCAACTGGAAACAAAAATGTTGTCACTAGAGAGCACATGGACAAAATGAAAAACGGGTGTATTGTCTGCAATATGGGTCATTCTAATACAGAAATTGACGTGGTAATTTTGTTTAAACAATTGGGATTGTAGTACATTGCAGTTTGAGTTTCTCTTTTTCAGAATAGTCTTCGAACACCAGATTTAACATGGGAAAAGGTTCGTTCTCAAGTGGACCATGTTATTTGGCCTGATGGAAAGAGAATAATCTTGCTCGCAGAAGGTCGATTAGTGAATTTGAGTTGTTCAAGTTTACCATCGTTTGTGGTTTCGATAACGTCAGCAACTCAAGCGTTGGCCCTTATCGAATTGTTTAATGCTCCTCCCGGTCGCTATAAGTCTGATGTCTACCTCCTGCCAAAGAAAATGGGTAAGACATGTATCTGTTGATCTCTGCTTGGTTGAGTATTTCAAATTATGGTTAAATTTTAGAAAATGTCCTGGGGGGAAACAGGATAATTCATCAATTAGCCTAGAGGTCTAGGCTTTTGGAAGAAGTAAGACCTAAGTTTCCCAAAGACTTTCTAAAACTGTAACTTGATACATTCATAGATATATCTTTTTTTCCTCTTTTTTGTAACATTATAAATCATCTAACATATGATTTATTGTGATAATTTTTAATATTTCTTTCTGGGCCTTTTTAGATGAATATGTTGCTAGTTTACATCTGCCCACGTTTGATGCTCATTTGACTGAGCTCAGTGATGAACAGGCCAAGTACATGGGTCTTAACAAAGCGGGTCCTTTCAAGCCTAACTACTATAGGTAATCTTTCGCAATTAATGTTCAAAATGGGCAGAAATCTAACTATTTTTTTTATAGATACTAGTAAAACATTTTAATGAGAGAAACAAAACGGTGGAGGTGAAGCAGTGTTCTTAGATTGAATGTTGTTATTGTAGTCATCTTTAGGAAAATTTGAAATACAGTTAATGTTTTAAAGTACCCAAAAGCCAAATGTTCTGACAGTATTTAGATTTCTTTGCAAATATTCGGTTTCTGTTGTATAAGAGTAACTAGTGCAATGCAACCAAAGTAAAAAAGGCAATGCAAACGTTTATTTGTTAATTAATTAAACAAATACCTTTTAACTTTTTTTAAAAGAAAGAACAAGTTTTCTTACCTTCCTAGCTAGAATCATTTGGAATTTAATGGGGGAATACTATTAACTGTATATTAGAAATACTACCGATTATTTAATTAACTGTTAATTAAAATACTAAAGCCCCTGTTTTGCTAATTAAAAAATAAAATAAAAAAATATTATAGTATGCCCCCACATGTACTGTACAGTGAACAGTACATGTGGTTTGCATGTTGAGATACTGCTTTTGGTATCGTATATTAAATGTTTAAGCTCCAAAAAGTAACTAATTGTGGTGCAAAAAAGGGCATAAGAAAATTTTCCTTAACTAGTACAACTTCAGCTAATAGTAAATTTTACGTAAAGAACAAATTTTAACAAGAATGCTAATGTTTATTACATGATAACTAGTAGGAGTTGTACTATCTATTAAGTATTGCCTGAAACTATTGTTAGATAATAAGAAACTTAGTATTTGTTGCCTTTAAGTGAACTAGTTGAACATTTTATTTGTTTAAACTTAAACAGTAATGGTGATAAAAAGTCTAATTCATATTCATACCTTACTTGTTTCTAGTACAAATGATCCGTTAATAAATAGCTCAGTTCATATATTTATTCCTCCATATAAATATTTATACATATATATTAAGCAATAAAAATATTGTTATATGTAATAGAATATGATATTAGACTTAAAAAACATAGTCCCATATTTACTGTCTAGTCCATGTTTTTGTTGTCTCATTTAAAGTGTTCAAATCTATCTTTTAATTTCTATGTTAAATAGAACAGTTTTTGAATATTTTTAAAACACTAACAGTGTACTAAAAATAATGTAATAATAATAATACATAGCTAATAATTGTAATGGAATCAATGCATTTTTTAGGAAAGGACTAGGGTCGATAAGGGTATGAAGATGGCCCCTGCAAGAGTGAATTTAACAGGTTTCTTAAAAAAAAGTGTTTTATTGTTCCTTATTCTTGTTCTACTAATTCATTATATTTAGGATAGTTAGTTAGTCAATAGTTATCAACAAGGTAGTTTTGTGGTCAAATTGGACCATTTTTTTTTTCAACTTTTGTCTATCTAAACTCACTGTTATAGGGGCTATTCCCATACTCCCTAGTCTTTCACTGTGTTTATTTAGTTTAAGTTTTGTTTAATGTTATACCTGTACACTAATTAAAAACTTCTTTTCTTGTTAAAGACTAGGTCTTTAGCAATAGTGAGAATATTGTTTCCTTAATTTGATTAGCGTTGGTAGACCATATTACTAATTTACATACCAGTATTGTAAATTGTTTCTTTACTATAATTATTAATTGATTGCAGTATTAATTATTGTGTAGCCATATTTTAGTTGTATGTTGTAATTTTAGGAAATATGTAAAAAGTGAATCCTACAAATTCGCAATAACAAAAGTTAAATATGGATGGATACTGTTTGGAGTTGTGAAAAGATGATTTTTTTCCTCATAATAATTTATGTTTCAGCCTTCTACGGAAATAAAAAACAAATTGTCTATAAATATAACTGTTGGGATGCTTTTAATAAAAGAATGATTATTTATAAAATGTTTTATTGCCAATAATAAAAATAGTGTGTATGTTTGTGTCGTAAAACTTTCAGTGAAGTTTATGTTCAGTGGTCGTGTAGATTTATAACGAGTTATATTTAAACAATTGAATTAATAATAGTTCACTTACCTTTTATTTAATGAGGTAGTAGTTTTTTTTTAAGTTATTTAGAGATTTGTGTCGAAGAAAAGATGTTCAATAACTGTTTAAAATCATAGCCAATGTTTTATTTTTTATTTTTGTAGCGTTACACAGAAAAGTCCTGGAAATGGTTATAATTAAACTAATAATTGTGAGAATTCAGTCTCATTATATGGAGATTTTTATGCTTTATTGTATAAGTTTGTCAACATGGAAAAGTACAAATATTGCATTACACCGACTTCTAGCCTGGAGTACACAATTTTAATATTGTGTTTTGCAGTGGGGCTGTATCCACACTGCTTACGTTTGCGCGTCAAAAGTCGCGCGTTATAACAATATCGCAAAATTCTTTGCTAGCATGTCCAGTGTCAACTCGGGGAAAATACAATGAGTTTTTTATTTTTTTTTATATAAGATTATTCCTTTTAAATCCGCACAGCCATTACATACCGAGTGAACGCAAAAAACTATCGTTGTCTTTATTTATTTAACCGATTTATTTCGAACAACGTATGTATGTTTGATACACTTCTAGTACTTGTTTTTTTTGAAACTGGACATTAGCAAGAAATGACAATAATTGATAAGAATATATCAACCGATTCAAGATTACTAAAGATTCAGAAACTAGGGTGAGAGCAGCAGCTTTTCATTTCGTAGATCTTTTTAGTAATTTGACGCACTTCGCAGTGCTTACTTTGTCCTCTGATATGTCGCTTCACCTTTCATGCCGCTGTAAAACCCGTTTTTATTACAACAGCGCTAAATTCTAATGAACAGTACATTACACTGTAGTTAGGGAAATCCCGTATGACAATTTAATAAAATTACATTCAAAAGCATTGCATGCAACGAATGTTAAACTACTACATTTTCGATTGTTTGGAGTTAAAAAAATCTGTTCTGCGAACCGATTAATTTTAGCTGTTGTAATCAAAGCAGATTTTGAACCGGGTATGGAATCGTGGCGCGGTCTCAACACAAAAATGATATCATTGTTAATTGCCAATTAAGAGAAGAGATTTTGTTCGGAAATAATGTTAGAAACAGTGCGATTATTTTTGAAAATATTTTAAATCTAACCGTTTATGTGACAATAATAGCAAATATTAAATATTGTAACTACACGTATATTTGTGCTAACCGACAATTACTAACGCAAAAATTTCTATGATTTTTTTAACCCGGATAAATAGACGATTTTAACTACGCAATATATTATTATATTAGTTTTGTTATTCCCGGAAGTTTTTTTGTACAATTTGTACCTCAAAATACGAGTTTGATAGAAAGATATGCCCTATTTATATTGCACATTTTGGTACAACTTTTTTGTAATTTTTCATTCATTATTCAACAGATTTATTTTCAAAAAGTAGGAAAACAAATTGGGTAAAATTAAATGCGGATATTAATTAAAAACTTCATTTGCCTATGCTACCTATGTATATCACAGTTTAGAGACCCGTGTCTGCGCTATATAGTGGTGATAAAATTTGTAGTTTCAGAATAAAGAATAATGTTTGGCTAGGTAGTTAGGTGCTATGTGGTTAACTGAATTTCCATTAAGTTTCTGAAAAAAAAGGCCATTGAATAATGAATTAAATAAAATATTTTTTGGCTTTCGTTTGTGCGACGTTTTTTTGGCTATTGAAAATATAAAAATTTAATCAATTTATCAATCGGAAAATTGATGAAATCGCAAAAGAGATAAAGTTCGTGACACAAGAAGGCCTCGACCCGATCCCTTCATGTCAGAGATTGACCAACCTGGACTCTTATCCTAATGCTAAATTTATAGTGAAATTTAATTTTTCTTACATTAAGTTATTGCATGAATTACAGTTTATGAGGTACTGTACTTTCTAATATACTGTACATTTATCTTTGTTGCATTCATTCATTTTAAATATTAATCACCTTTATCAAAACAGATAGAATAGGTATGAGTATATAATGTAATCAATAATAGCTTCATCATAATAATGGAATGTTTTGTCACAACAATATTTGAGCTATAGCCCTGCGAATCGTCGGGCGAACCTGTGGGCCATCAACAGAGTAGGAACAAAGCTAGGAACGAATTCTTTTTTTTCCTCTTCATTTAGTACATGCTTTTAATATAAGTACTTAAATAATACCGACGACGACTTCCGCGTGTGTACTCGTACACATAATACTTTTAATTAACACTCGTTCTGATAAAACTTAACACTTCGTGAAAAGAGGGGCAAAAAGCTCGGTTCTCTGCTTTGGCTTCTGCTCTGGTATATCTTTCGCCCGTAACACAACAACTACACATGAAGAGAAAGTAACCAATTAAGAATATGTACTATTTTACACTTATGCTAGAATTCTACACAACACACAAAGAGATAATAATTCTTATAGATAGTGGTACATAATCCATAATAATCATCGTTTAAGATTAAAAAAGCTGCATATAAGAGTACTGGGCTTATTCAAATTGAAGCTAAGAAAGGTAAATAAGCGATGTTGACAGAAATAACATTATATTTGAAATTGATCGTTGTTCTAAGTGTGGAGTTAGCCTACGCGAGTTTCGATTTAGGCCAGTATATAACCGGTTATATTAAATGAGGATTAGTACAGATAAGACTGCACTCTGTTCACTGGTACATTTTTTTTCAAACGTGAACACATCTCTGATTTTTTTTTTCTTACTTACTCTCGATTTATTCTAAGTTCTCACTCTTCTTCTTTTCTCTACGTTTACATTCATCAACAATTTTTAACGATTTTTGTAGAACAACAATTGGGTATCGAACAAGTATTTTTTTTTTTTAATATACTTATATAGGAATTAGTTAGGTACAAAGATCAAATATGCAGGTATTGGTATGATGAGTTCCCTTCGATATTGTCTTTGAATTAACAAAAAGTACCGATACATGTTCAATTACCTAGATGATATAGTATGTATTGTATTGGAAATGTAATTGTAATAACTAATAATTGTGTTTGAGTTTAGGCTCGTTCGTGTAAAACGTGATTGTGATTATTGTGCATCGATGATCGAATTATAAACGAAAAACGAATGCGATTATTATTTTATTTTATTACTCCGGTTGGATACTTTTGTTTTAGCGAGTTCGTTTTATATTATTTAAATAAAAACCTTTGAAACAACACCGAGTTAATGAATAATGAAAGCTCACTGTTCCTCTTTTATTACAATGAGACATAAAACTTTATACAACTTGAGATACCTACGCAAATAAGTCGCTTGATGGGTAAGGAAAGGGTGGTCGACGTCTCTTAATTAGTCTAAGAGGTGTGTGTGTGTATAGGTGTGTGTATTTTTACACGTCAAAACTGAAAATTCGACATCAACCTACTTTTTTTTTTTTTGAAAAACTTTATCCGCCCAACGCACCGAGCTTTTATATCGTCGTCAATTATCCTAACTATTATTGCCCGTCCCATAATCTTAAATGTGCGTTTCGCCATATAACCGAACCAATTGTTAGTATGAACACAATTCGCTCCTTACAATACGTGTTTTTGTACACCTAATATTACTATAATATTATATCGAACCTCAGTACGAGAGTTTAGAAAAATAAAGTGCATTTCGAGTGGAAGTTGTCGGTAAGTAACGCGTTAAGACGCTTGCGCGAAACCGCTTGTGCTGTAAGTGACCTACTGAGCGACTTACTGGACAAACGCTACACGAAACATGACATGAAACCAACGCTTTAGACCTAGAAATCATTCTTTTGTTTTGTTGCGTTTCATTTTCCTTGCATACCATTCCGTACTTTTTTTGAAGGGAGAAATTCGCGTTTGTACTTTTATCATTGTATAGAATGCAATTATTTGGAAGTGTGTTGCTTTGTTTTTTATTTTTTTTTTTTACGAGACAGAAGGTTTCATGTACATTGCAGATACATGCATTTGGCCGATTGAGTGAAAAAAGATCTAGGTCTAGAGCTACCATAAAGAATGGGAAGAACTAAATCAAAACAAAAAGATAAGTATAAAGAAAATTTTAATCGCTTTTTCACATTAAGGCAGACTGCTTCAACCAAAATAAAAATGACAAAATAAAAAATTACTTAGCTATAAATAACTAAAACTAAATCAAAAGTAATAAGCCGAAGAAAAACATCCATCTGCTGTCTTACGTGCAATTTAAGCCAAAAAGTTCTACTATAGTTGTCAACCTTATCAGTTGTTAACAGAAAATTTACATGAATTACCTTCGAATTAATATAATAAATATATGTGAGAAGAACTTCTTCGTTTAAGAAACACGTGCAAGAAGTCGATGGAACAGGCAGACAGTTTTCTTCAATTTATGAAACAGAAAATAAAAAAAAATAAAAACTCGACTCTGAAAAGAACCTGATTCACTTTGCCTGGCATGTCCAATAGAAACCAATTAATTAGATAAGAGAAGAAAGAAATAGATATCAATTAATAAATAAATAAGGTCTTGCCAAAGCGTTGCATACCGTTGCGATGATCGATGATAGAACAGATGTTTCAATAATAATAATAATAGTAGTAGTAGTACTACCTAGTACTTTATAGAACCATTACAAAAATTAATTAATTGTGTGTGTACTTCCGCAACGAAATAAATAGTAATAACAGTTAGAAAAGGCTGAAAGGAAAGCGAAAAGAAAAAACACGGAAATTAGGTAAAGTGCTAAAGACTTAACCATAAAAACACAAAACACACTAATAAGAGAGAGAGAGAGAGAGATTCGGCGGAACTGAAAGGCGAGCACGGGTTTTATCTTCCTTGTTTTCTTTTTACATATGTATAATTGTATATCTTATTTGGAACGGTATTTTTTTTTCTATAAGCGTACGCCCTGTGTTGTGTTTCTGTTGGATAAGTGTGAACCCAGGCTGCCTCCCTCCCCGCTAATCCAAAGACAACAGCCATGCCCCGATACCGCCGGAAGAAGCCAGCCGCATTCGAACCAACCGACTTCTACACGTGCGCAACGGGAATTGGTTGCATTGCTACTAGTTACATAATAACATATATATATATATAAATTACACAAACACTACATATAAATACATTTCAAATGATCTCTAAGTCAACTTATCAAATACGAAAAATAAATTACTACACAGAATAATCATTATTATTATTTTCTAGTGCGTCATCTTCGATAATACCCCATGTAATAATAATATATTATTATACTCATCCTTCATATACAATAATTATGTGAGTTGTTTCTTTTTTTTTTTAAAGGTATATGGGGAAAAGAGACTAAAGAAAATTTGTAAAGTACGTCGGTAAAAAAAAACGCGAATGCACTTTTTGACTAGTTTCGTAACTTATATAAGTACTAAGTAACCGTGGCGAGGGGGTTGCTGTTACGCTTCTCCCCTTGCCACAAGTCGACGACCCATGCGGCACTCCCTCTTCCGCCTAGTTCACTCAACTAAACAGGAAAACCAAACATCTCAAATAGCATAATAGAATAATAATTAATTGATCAATAAATACTAAATTAGAGGAATGAGGAAGAGGCGGACAGGGAGGCGGCATGGGTCGCGGTGTCTACACTTCACGGTAGCGGCGTTTCGCCGCTTTTCTATGTGGTCTTACTCTTGTTGGTCTTAAAGCTGACCTGCAGCACTCGATTACCGAGCGTGTAGCCGTTTAGGGACTGGATCGCGACAACTGCTTCGTCATAATTCGTCATCGTCACGAAGCCGAAACCTTTGCATTTATTTGTCTGTAGGTCTCTAATTACCTTAACGCTCTGGACGGCGCCGAACGGACCAAAAAGCTGCCACAATACGTTCTCTTCCGTTTCCGGTGCCAAATTATAAACGAATATACACCATCCGGAGCCATTCATTGCGTTCCCAGGTAGCATCGAATTGGCCAATAGGTCCCCGGCCAGCGGAGAATACCTAAATACATCGTACCATTTCAGTATCACATCAATTCGAAATTACAGATAGCCATCAATTCTAATTTTAACTGTATAGAGAGGAGTACATAACAGAGTAACACAAAAAAAAAAAAACGAACCTAAATCGACCTGTGGGATGGTGTATCGGTCCTGCAAAGCGCCTGGTTGCTTGTGGTGTCAAATAAGCTGCTAGGGGTGGGATAGCCTTATTATTGTTACTAGGATTGTTAGCAAACTTAACAGTAATGGGTTCCGTGGACCCTTTGGGGATGGTTCCATTTAGTTCTTGAATTGCACGTTCAGCCTCCATACGCTGATCGAATCTTATAAATCCGACCCCTTTCGACAGGCCTATAAAACAAAATATGAAGCTTCGTCCAGGTAAAACGTCTCTATTAAATCTGACACTATCCAATATAAAATGCAATGATACATTTATTTAGTCAGTTGCCTGAAGAACAACAACTAGAATTTAATATTATAATGTCACTAAGTACCATACGACAATTTAAAAATAAACTTAAAATGCTATGAATAGTTTGCTTATTAGCGTTAGTGAATTTCTTTGAAGTCTTCAAGCTACCTTTGAAATGAGTAATTACTGTTTGTTACTTTACTTTTGAAAGCAAAACCGTTATTGAAACGATTAATTTAATACCATGTAACAGTTTTGCTAACTTATCTTAGGAACAACTATTAACAAGTCATACCTACACAGAAAATTAATTAATTTTAATATACTGTATATTATTCAATTATTTTAAAATAGGTATAACTCATTATTTTTTCTTTTCCAATATTAAATTTGGTGTGTAGTTATGAGCATGTGTATATGCATGTGTTTTGTAGTGGATGCTCTGCTTGTTGTAAAATAATAACAAAAAAAATGCAACATAAGAAAAACAAAAAGAAAACAATAAAATAAAACAAAATCAATTAGTAACATGCTAAAACTTGAAAAAAAAAATAAAAAAAAAACATTAACAGATAAATGTTGTAATAACAATACAACCGTCATTTGCTTTCGGGGGTTCATACAGACATGTTTATGAAATTTTGTAAATGTTTTAAAATTTTTAAAACTAGAACAGTTAACGAGAGAAAATAATTAAAAAATCGTCTTTCGACAGCCTAAACAGAACAACCAAATTGTGATTGATTGGATTATATTGTGAGTGTTTCTAGTGGCGTGTTACAAAAAAAAAAGGGGTAGTACGTACCAGTTAAATTCTCTCCAGCCCCCGTGACAAATTGACGTACTAAGAAAGAGAAGAGAATAATAACGCAAAAGTATAAGCATTTCAACATAAATAATCAACAAAATCACAAGGCGGTATTTACTTAACTATAATTACTATTTGATTTTTTAAAATTTAAATATCGCAAGAAAATATAAACCTTAAATTTTGATAATTGTTAATTTTGTTTATTATAATGTAATTTATAAACCCGCCCTTCTAATTTTATATTTAATTAATTAGGAATATTTGTATGTAATCGATTTATTTTATTCCTAGTTCTAGTCCTCTAAAAACCCCAAATTTCTATAAATTATAGAAACAATAATAGTTAAATACAAATACCGCCACGTTTCAGAAATAATTTAGGTAAAAAATTCACTACATAACAAATAATATTAAATGAAGCTACAATGATAATTAAAACAAAAAATAATAATTAACATAATGAAAATCGCTTAATAATAATAATTGTGTTAATGTATTTTGTATGTATTTGTTTTTCGAAATGTGAAATGTACTATTCCACACTTTTGTTCAACTTGCAGTATGCAGAAATTAAATTCAATTGTTTACTTTCAACGAAATCGAAAGCTAAGGTTCAACTTTTACAAATTGCAAAAAACAGAGCTACTAAAGCATATTATATAAATAACTGAAAAGAAATCAACAAATAAGCTCTTTAAATTGAACAAAACTCAACGGCGGAGTAAGAAAAAAAATAAAAGAACTGTATCATGGCACCAAATATAACATGGGCTAGTAAAGGACCATGTATAAAAAAGTTCGTCGCGTTAAAAAATTAAATTTATAAAACTGAAAGTATTCACGAGTTGAAGAGCTTTTTAAATAATGAAACACAAGAAGCTACGATGATAAATAGATAAGAAGAACAAGAAGAAGAAAACACTAACCGGTTATATTGTCGCACAAAATGCGAGATGTTATAATACGTCCATATGGGCTAAAGAGTGCTTCCAAGTCTTGTTGGGTCATGTTCTTGGGCAGTCCTGATACGTACAGGTTGGCACCCTTAATTGCTTCTGAACTAGGCCGTGCATATGATACCTGAAAGCACGAAAAGTTTTTTAAAACTTTTTGAAGTGCCCCGGTAGTTATTAATTTTGTTGGGAGCAATTTACACGTTTCCAAGAAATAGTACGCAGATATAAATTTAGAAAAGAACTAAAATAGAAATGAAATATGCGAATAAGTTATAAATACGAGATACAAATAATTTAATTAAGAATGTTATTTTTATCCAACTTTTTCTTGATACTCGGGAAAGTCCGAGGGTGTCGCGTGAGATAAAAGATGGCAAGTAAATTCCAAGCTAAATGTTATACCCCGATAATTAATCAAGTTAGAAGATGTTTTCAATACCGGGCTTGACCTGCATACTTGGCACCAGTTTGAATGTATTTTAATTGCTTACATCAATCGCTACTTTTGCTTCAGTTATTGTGGTTACACAACGTTACATACTTTACATAAAACTTATTTGAAAATTACACAAATATGTAACACAAAAGTATCCGTGTGCAAGCAATTAAAAATTGTATAATCCACGTACGGAAATACAATTTCGATTATCGCTATCATACCTTGATTGTTTTATTTTGTAACCGCAAACCATTGAGTGTGTTGATTGCTTTCTCGGCATCTTCTGGTCTGTGATAATTAACAAAACCATATCCTAAACTTTGACCTGCCAAAGAAATAGAACAAAAAAATAATTAACTCACAACTTTATACTACAATTATATAAAAACAGTACGGATGGCATGCATGAAGTTGAGTGGTGCTTAGTATATCAGCACTCCAATTGAAATATGTAAAAATGTGAGTAGTCTCAAACATGTGAGTGTCTGCTCTCTTTTTCTGAGTAATTATTCGCGCTAATGAGTGCCTAACTTTAAAAAATAGGAGTCTCGTTGGTAAGCAGACTTAACTTCGCCAATTGTGAATATTTAGAGACTTCTAGAGTTGATACTCAAGGAGCGAGTAGAAAGAGTGTTTCACTCACATGCTTGAGATTCTACTCACATTTTCAAGCATTTCAAATGGAGTGATATATCTCCCTGTATCCGTATACAATGAGTTTCTTTTTCTAAAACGGTTAAGGATTCTGGGTTCATTTTAGTATCAGACGAGTCCTGAAGATGTCTACAGAAATCGAGGACGAAACATGACAGGGTGTGAATCCAGAATCCTAAACTTTAGAGTCCAGACAAGGCGCCGGAAGCTTACGAACCTATACCGTTTCTGTTATCAATCAAAAGCAAAAAAAATAAAATTTAGGTCAGAAACATCTCTATATTGTAATGTAGCGTAGGTACATAGGCATATGCCTCTATGTGGTCGCTTTATATAAATATAAAGAGCTACACCGTTTAATATCCACGGTGGTGAATCAATACACTCTAATTCGGGCGCGTTCCACGAGAGGCGCTCTCTTGGTAGTGAAAAATGCCGCCCCCGAAGTACATACAAGCAACATTAAATGGAACCTATATACAATGTATATAACGGCAACATACACATTAACGTGCAATACAAATACTTTGAAGAGTACAAGCAACCGGTATCGATTAAAAGCTCAGCATTGTAGTCCCTTTTTAGAAATTAATTCTGATACAGCAAAAAATTCATTTCGACATTTCTAAAAAAAAAAGTTTAATTAAAAAAGAAACTCATTGAAACATACTTATTAATAGGATTTATTAAACTTAGTTTAAAGCAGGGATCTCATCAACTGGCCACAAATAGTTCTGTTTATATCATAACCCAAATTCCAAAAACTAATATCGGTAATTCGTATCGGCGCTGACGCAAAATTCAATGTTTATTTTTTTGACGAGTATAAATAAAATGAGGAAAAGATGTACTCGACAAGCAATAAAAAGAATGTGGGAAAAAAATAACCGATATCATAAAATAGCCGCTGTACTATAATAGAGCAGTTTATGTTAATCAGGATGTGGCATAATAAGCCAAAATTAAAGTTTTTAATTCAATTACGTATTGTTTACGAAAACTAACGCTGTCTACGTAAATACTCTTCTTTTTTTAAAAACATAAAAGTATTATTATTATTTATTTATGTAGCGCCTAAAATATATTTAATATCTTTACATACAAATAGGTAACTAAAATGGTCACATCGCGATTTCTGTGTGCAGTACACATGTGTATGATGGGTTGTACAAATGTAACATGTCTCAACAGATTATATTTTATTTATTATAACTAGTAACCGTTTGGCAAATTGACTTTTTACAATAAAAAAACATTTTGTATTTGATTAGAGCCCATTTGTAGACCAGGATAAGATAATGTACAGTAGGGTGTGTCAAAAAAGTGTAACTTTCGATATTTTTAATGTTTAATTTTACTTCAAAATAAAATGCCTCTAGCATTTAAATATTTTATATCTAGGAAATGATAGAGTTCAGAAAAACTAGTATTCAGTAGTTTTGTGGAATTGTCGACTTCATAAAGTTAACCCCCCTAAAAAATTTTCTATAGAAATTAATTCCTTGAAAAACGACCTGTGGCAGAATTTACTAATATTGAACTATTTGAATAAGACAATAATTTTTAACAATGTTGTCCCTAAAGTAAGGGCTGGCTACATCTCCAGGGATAACATTTTCTTTAATATGACTCAATTATTTATTTATTCTGAGTCCTTTTTTTTCGACACACTCTAATGTACAGAGCGTAAGTGTCGCAGTGCTTCTTAAGATTGTTACAAGGCGCTTGCGTACTATTGCTTACCTAAGTTAGAAGGAAGGGAAGCCTCACCTGTGACTTTATCCCTAATTAACTTGCAACTTTCAACTTCTCCTATACTAGAGAACAGAGATCTAATTTCTTCTTGCGTCATTGTCTGAGGTAAATAATTAACAATGAGATTTGTTTTTGACTCCTCCTGACCGCCGCCCTGTCCACCACTGCCGCCATTTTGTTGGCCCACTACTCCAGCATCCAAGCCGTTTGACATCATATTTATTGGTCCTATGTTACCTTTCTTAAAGAAGTTTTAATAAATTAAAATTGAGAAAACGATGTTGGACGAAAACTGACTAGAATTTCTTCAGATATTCAGAGTAATGCGACTAAAATCTGGAAAAGAGAAAAATAATTACCATTTTAAAATCAAAAAACAGATACATTGGTACTATCAGATCATATCCCTAAAATTTAACTTGCCACAAACACCTGTTATACACATATTCATTAGATAGTAGCAATTCTTTTAGCTGATCACCCTATATACATATAAGAAAAACGAATCAATTTGAAACTTTCTACATTTTTTATGCATGTAGTATGCATGCAGTAATTATACCCATAAAAAAGATCAAATAACACTTGCAGAAATGGTTCAGGTTGTTAATTATACTGTGTGTATTGATGGTCATTGCATGACCAAAATTTTGATATGAATATATTTATTGTGATTTCTCAAGTAAATATGCTTGCAAATACATTATCAATCATTAATGTAAGGGTTTCTGCTATTATATTTGTTATTTATATATTATATTCAAAAAAGGGGTACATTAAATGTACCTACTCCCATTTAAAAAAATATAATGCAGGCATAAAGGAGAAAAAAGAAAATGTGGATAAGTACTTTAAAGCATTAACAGGTAATACTAAAATGTGGAAATGATCTGTAAATCTACTTAGGTTCCATTATATTTTTGTGGCTTGCTACTTCCTTGTAACCTAGAACACATCAATATGAAATTCAGTGTAAATTTAGACCACTGTCTATTTTTGGATTTAGAAGTATATACAAAACCTTAATATCCATGAACATATTGTTGCGTCTCAGGAAAATTAAAAATTCGTAAATTACTGGATGTATATTTCGTTTTTTGTAAAAAGGGCCAATTTTTAACTGTAAATAATGGTAATGTTTTAATAATTTCCAGTATAAATGGAATAACACTATAAAGTAACAACATTTGTAGTACCTACAGCTGTTATTCTTTGAACAAATGAAGAGCAATGAAAACAAAATAATTGAATGTATGTAAACAAACAAACAGGCTATGTTCTACTATCTTTCAACCCCTTATCAGAATTACCTGGTGCCAACTAGTTAATGCAACAACTGGCCAGTGAAACATTTTTAATGATAACTAAAGTACTGTCTGCATTCAAATAATTTTAATTAACTATAGGTAAGTATCTTTAATAAAACATTATTGTGGGTGACGCTTAACGCTGACACGACACATTTAATTTACCTACCTAACAGGCAGCAATTCATGAAAGCATCCACAAAAACATGAAAGAAATGAAGCACCCGCGAAAATTATAAATTCCGTTATAATAAATAAATTAAACACAAAATGAAATAAAAAAAGTAAACTAAACGAAAGTTCTCTCGCGCTAAATACTCTCACTATTCACACTGCCATGACTGTAACATAATAACGTGTGGGTTTGGCCAAAAGCTAGGCCCCTCATTTTTACGCGTGCGTAGTAAATAATAACGCTTTAAAAACTTAAAGCCTGTTAAAAGTAGATTTTTAAATAAATATTTCCTTTTTTAAAAAAATATGGCTACTTTGTATCAACAAAAGTTTTAAAAAACATATTTTCAATTTATAGGTTAGGTTTGATGTTTCTTTTGTTTCTTTTACATATTCAGGAACATTAACAATATACTTTACTTTACCTTTAATTTTTCTTTTTGGAATTAAGCCTGAGTTATTATTTCACTTTTTCTATATAAAAAAGCACAAATTACATCCCCACACATTAATTATTTACATTACTTCTAATAAGAAAGTACCTACATAATTTAAACTAACAATAAAACAGCATACTGTATGTAGGAATGTACAGTCCCAGGCAAAAATTCTTGAGAGTATGGTTTGAAGTAAATACTTGAATAAGTAATATGTATATGAAAAACCGAACTATACTTTAAAAATTTTTCTAATACAAGGCAATTAATATTTACTGTAGGGAAGAATACCCACCCTTTTTATTATTCGTCCAGCACCACACACTATTGTACGCTTTTATATATATGGCACGTGCCACAAAATTAGGGGTGAATACCACTGTTGCCAAAACGTCTTTTAAAGATGGTATTAGTGAAATTTAACGAATAAGTTCAGCCTTATCAGTTATAAGTAAACTTATTCTGAGATATTATATCTTAATGTTCTTCATAAATGTAATAAAACTGTAAAAAAATTAAAAAAAGAATTAAAAGACGTTTACTATAGTTTAACGAAAATTCAGTGTTTATCGCTGTTTTCTCGTTGCAGTTGTTTCCTTGAGTTTTAAACGTTTTCTGTATTTGTAAAAAAATGTTCTTAGTTGTTTTGTGTTTATTATTCGTTTTTCAAATAAATGTATTAAACGTATTTATGAGTTCTTTTTTTATTGTTATTGAAACTTTTAATTTAAACTAAGTTGAACCAACTAATGAACGATTATATTGATCTAATTTCACAGAACAATTTGCTAGTACTTGTTAAGAAATGCTCTTGGTTTAGCATTTATTATTTATTTTTAATTTTAAATTGAACGGAGCCAACTAGTGAATGATTAGTTTCGCCTTAAATCATAGCGCACTTTGTTACTACTATTTTATCAGTTGGGCAAGTTATGTTTTATAGAGGAAATACAAGTTAATAGGTTGAATTAAGAGAATCTGCATGCGTAACAACATTTTCCTAAGCGATTTTTAAAACAAAGAAATGTTTTTGAACTTTGATCCCTTCTTAAAATAATTAAAAAAGAAGCGCAACTGCATACGAGACAAACAAAAGAATTAAAAGATAATTTCTTTTAAGTTATCTTTATTGTAAATTCTGTTTCTTTTCATAGTTAGAAAATAATTTGTGTTTGTTTTAAATTTTTTTCCCTACTCCTAGTTAATTACTGTTTTTGTATGCATGTATGAGCCATTTTCCACACAANTTGTAATTAATTATTACATATTTAATCTTGTGAATGTACAGTGCAGTACAAAAGTATATGCATGTAGACTTTACTTTTTTTCCAATGATAAGATAATATAATGTATACTTAAAGATTATTTGAAATACTAAATTACTTTTAATACCACTAGAAAGATGTCTATTTTTTTTTATTATTACAACCCCATCCTTAGTCTGCCATCTTTGATTTTAACTACAGTTCCTAGAACGACCTACTTAGATACCAGCAATAGTATACCCCAAATTCTTGACTTAATAATTTAAACTTTAATATTTTGCAATGGTTTGACGACAAATTAAAGCGAAATTGGCAAAATGATTGTTATTCTTTTAAGTTATTGTATTTAAGAAAAGTAGGGCGGACAAGGTGAAGTTATACTTTTTGTATTGACCTTAAAAAAATTAAGAAACCACACATAATAGGGTAGTTTTTATTTGAACTATTTTTTCAGATTGCAATTTTTTTTATAAAATAGTTGAAAGCTGAGTGCGATATCTTTAGATGAGGGTATTAAATAATGGAATCAAAAGCTTTTACATATGTATATATATTTTGCCAAGCTGCGTTAGTATTGATCGCGAGAACTCCCTGCTGTCAAACAACCCCGCCAACCAAGCCAGCCAGTTTGTGATCATTATCATATATGTATCCAACATAAAGAGATCGAAACATTAATAAGTCGCCAGAATTTTTTAAACTAGCTTAAGGCACCACTTATCGCACACAAATGTAAACAAGGCCTGTTCAAAAAGGTAAAAAAAAAGTTGCGCCTCATCAATTCATGAAAGAAATAGTAAAAGTATAAGAGGGGGTATGAATGCCTTTTCTTAATAATGCCTGGCTGATTGTAAAAAGTAAGAAAACTATCGTAAAGTACCTAAAGTATGTGGTAGATAGAAAAGAAAAAGTTTAATAAAGTTTGAAAAGTGAAATATATATGTTAACTTACCGCTCTTGGTGTTCCTCTTATAAAATACACAATAGTAGATCTCAAGGGTTGGGGGTGGTAGTACTATTAAGTCCACGGAGATGTTGAATAAAGGACGTATGGTAATATCGCAGATTTTTTTAAAGTACCGTGAATAATTGAAATAGTAAACAGATAATTTAAGATTGCACTGTGAATTATAATAATCTCTAAAGTACAGATATTAAGCAACCTAGAATACGTACAACAATTACAACTGATTGGAGGAACCGTTAATAAACATTAATATAATTAATTTATACTATCGATAAATATAGACAATATTATTAGCTTTATTACGAATGTAAGCAATTATGCAAGGAATGATATTATTACATAACGTACACTACCAAACGTAACACAAGTGTTATTCAGAGAGTGCAATAACTAAATGGTGTTGCATGGTGAAGAGGGTGTCGTCCAGGGGTTGAATCCCGGTCGATATATGCGCGCGCTCGTGCCCTCTGGCCGGGGAAAAGCTACTGACGCCACCCCCATTCATACCTATTTTTTAGCATTTGCCGGTACATACTTAACACCTGACTACCGAAATAACTCTTACTTCTTGAACGGTGTTCTCGTACGCAAAGGGTATCATGTCATTCATACCCTCTCTTAGAGTTACCAGTATGGGCACCAATCATAACGAGAGACCACAATGTTTAAGCAACCCCCGGCGACAATCCACAAAGGTAGTATCATATCTTTCACAATTACTTTTCTTATCGCTCAAGTAAAGTTATAATGTTCAAAAGACGTTTTTTCTTCCCTTTTTTATAATAATTTTGTATGTAAACGCTGGTCATTTACCATTTTATTAAACATACTTTATAAAACCGCCGCACTATATATTCTCAACCACTTTATTAAGTTTATGCTACACATAAAAAGTATTTCAAAGCTTGAAAGCATTAATTTCCATATTGGTTTAATTAACTTCACCTATTAAATGTATAACATGATGGATTATATCAGAATTACATTACTTTTAAAGATATTTTGAAAACTTAACAAATATGGCGGCTTTTTATGGATTGGTACCGTTTATTTCTGATTTAAAAATTATTTGCAATTAGATGTTGGCAATACTATCTATGGAAGTAGAAGGTCATAAACATCAATGAACTATACAAGCTAGAGTACATAACCTTAGATTAAAGTTGAAAATAATGTCTCGGTGAATTGTTCTTTCTGCTTAAAATTTTAATTATTTATATCGAAATGGAACCTAATGTGGACTCAGAGGTTTTACCTCCTAAATGGAAATGTTGTCCCTATTTATTACTTATATTGGTAAGTTATTTTTCTTTCATAAATATTTGTACCTGTGAACTTGTAATATTAACTAATATAGACATAAGAAATATCCTTAACCACAGTAAAAACTACGACTAAATCTATTTAAGGACATTTCAATATTAATTAGGTCGTAAATATATATATTATTATGTCCATAAACAACATCCCCATACTTTGATATATTAGTTTTAAATTTTGAGGTTAAGAGATGTTAAAATCTTTTTACTTTTTTAATGCTTTCGTATTTATTATGATGTTCTTTACAGTCTTTTCCCAATAACTTGGATTGCTTAATGAATCTGCTGTGTCTAATTTTTACTCTTTTCATGTTAGGGTGACCAAATAGAAAAACAAGTAAACAACCCTGAAGCAAATCAGCAAGAACTTTTGGAAGTGATTGAATCTTTAATAAATTTCATTACTACCTGTGATCTCCGAACATATTCGTGTACAGAGTTGGAATTAGCTGGATCAGTCATAATTAAATCAGTGTCTTACGTTCTCAATGGTAGAATTTCTGATATTCTCAGTTTGATAGGAACCATTATTAGTTGTGCTGACAAAAACCGAATTATGTTTTCACCTCATCAATTTAGTAAACCACTGAGTGTCAGGAACTGTGTAAATTTTGTGAGAGCTCTTATGGTTGGTCTTCGTAATATAACTTGGAGTGCATCAGATGTGGAGTCAGCTGGAAAAGATTATGACCAGTTTACCTGCCTAATAATACTTTATTTGGTTCATCTCATCGACTTCAATACATACACATCAATTGCTCTTGCTAAAACATTTGTCTGTACTCTTGAAAAGCACAAGAACCAACTGACAGCAAAAGCAAAAAACACAATTTTTCTTTTTACCATTAAGAAAGTAATGCCAACACAGATGACAATAAAGCCTTACCTACATAAAGTTTATGATGCAATTATGGGGCTAGTTTCTAATCAAACCTTGGAGATATACCTCAGAGCTATAGTTAATTCTCAAACATTTTATAACTGTTCACTTTTTGTAATTATTGAAGCTTTAGTAAAATATTTTCCCGAGAATATAGTACAAAAGTATTCTTTAAGACTAGGATTATGGACTCTCATAGGCATATCCCGTCAAAGTACTGCACCCTTCGCCAAAAAGGTCGTTAAAGTCTTGCTACCAAAGATGCCATTCAACGATTACAAAGATAAGATTCATCAACATGTTTCCTTGTTTGAAGAAGTATTTCATGAGCCAAAAAAGTAAGTTAAATTATTTACAGCTTGTGAACATTGTAGCTATTTTAATTATAGTATTTATTAACAGCTAAATTGTTTTAGGAGCACATTTAGAATAAACAAACTTACTCATATATATGCTTTGGCGCTCGTCAAATATAGGAATGATTTCATGAAACTAGCTGAATCGTCAGTAAATCCTGTTGAGTTGTCTCATTTAGTAATCCTAGGAATTCAGCGTGGTTATATTAACGCTGTCAATTATTCTCCTTTGATTGAATCTTTTTTCTCCGTGGATTCATTGGAATGCTGTTCAAATAGTTTTAAAGCAATCTGTTGCTTTCCTAAGAAAATAGATTTGCTAACAGCTTGGCACTTGGAACTTTTCGGTGATTTTATTGCAAACGTTGCTATGAATGAACTTTGTTTAGTTGGGAAAGAAATGAGATACTTTTTTTCTCATTTGCTCGTTCAAATGCATATTACCCAGAACGAAGATCTGTTAGATGATTATGAAAATTTTCTTGGCTTTGTTACTGAGCTTATGTTCTCAAATATGAAGGAAAAGACAGATTTTGGAAAGGGCGTTTTAATTTATACGGCAATATCGTCAGTATTCATTAAAAAGCAGTTAAAACTTCGTTATGTGTTAACTGAAGAAGAACAAAATATAATAGAAAATGATACAGTGGTCTATTTTACTTTAGATACTATATGCGACGACGGTATCCTTCAAGCGTTAAAAAACGAATTTATTTGTAAAAACTTAAGTAATAACATAATGTTGACCTTTTTTTATGAACTGTTTTTGTTACGGCTTACAAAAGAAGGACACCAAGACATGTTAACTTGGGCGTTCAACGTTGTCGAAGAAGGCTCGTATATTCAGACAGAGAATATAATTAAAATGATTATAACTCACTTAAAGTACTTATCTACGGAAGACGTTGACTTATTTAACACTACTACAAAAGAAATCGTTAATAATATAAATAAGGACTTTGATATTAAAAAAATATTCCCTAGTTGTACTCATTTGGCTCTTCTTGCTGGCGTATATAAAGAAGGTTTCTGTACAGGAATAGATACAGAAAGTATTTTAAGCATAACTCATAAAATTATAATTGGTTTGGATTTGTTAATCAAATGCTCAAACCCTGTAGCTGCCTCCAGAGGACTGAAGAATCTCCTTGAGGGTTTCTGTTTAAGTCATCCGGAGTTGGAGTGTGCAATTCGGGTAAGTTTCTGTTTTTTTTTCTACTCTAATGTGCCTCAATATTTCTTTTTAATAGCATGGATTCGATTTTGTGGGACATGTAGCAATCAAAACCAAAGACGACGGTATTATAAGTGAATCGGTGAAAATATCGAACAAAATAATATCATCAACGAACATGCGAAGAGCAATGACCGAGGCAGCTGTACTACTGAGAAAGATATGCATTAACATAATGTATCCCGATGTGCCACCTATACATAAGGTTTTGATCTTTCAATTTTTAGAAACTTTATTGGAATCCGTCATTAGTTCGGAGGATAATTTTAATTCAAAAATCAGGAGATCTGCTGAATTTAGATTTGTAATTCATGCAATCTCTACTGCTGACAATTTGCCCGACAAAGTAATTCCATTTTTTTTTTTTTGTTAAACTAACTACAGATTAATCCTGTAACTCTTTTATACTAACAATTGGCATAGTTATTGATAAATATGATATTTTTGAAATGTAATTATGTCAACTGTTTTTTTAGCCGTTACTTAATCGGTGCATGTCATTCCTTGTCGATGTTATTAATGACAATCGTTCGTCTGATAATTCGCTGACAACGTCGGTCAACTGTCTTCAGGCCCTCGTTGAAGATCCAAACGTTGTACTTGCAACACATCAATATGCTCAAACTATCCTAATCCAGAGTATACGTTTAATTGCTAAGCCCAATTGGAAGCTAAAGTAATTTAAATTTTGGTTTCAACCTAAAATGTAAAGTGTTCCTTTTGGTGTTGGCTTATGCATGTCGTCATTATTTTTTGCTTTAGCCACAATTGCTAGATCTCCTGGTGTTTATGTTTCTGTTTCTGTTTTTATTTTTTGTGGGGAAAAATTTGGTTTATATTTTTATATTTTCAAAATTACAATAACAACTAGAATTTGTTTGTAATATAAGATAATACGTTATAGAACTGCCCCTGAAGCTATAGATTTTAGATTTTCTTATGCAAAAAGTATGAGACTTATAGCTACGGGGGTTGACNGACAAAAATAATAACAATAAAAAATATACAAACTCAGTTCATCCCCAACTTATAGTTTACAGGTATAATTTTCTTCTAACTACGGTCCTGACAATATAAATATCATACAAAATCAAAATATAACATCTTATTTGTTGAACGTAAACAATACCACTACCAACAGTGATTCTTCGTCGTCATTATTTTTTGCTTTAGCCACAATTGCTAGATCTCCTGGTGTTTATGTTTCTGTTTCTGTTTTTATTTTTTGTGGGGAAAAATTTGGTTTATATTTTTATATTTTCAAAATTACAATAACAACTAGAATTTGTTTGTAATATAAGATAATACGTTATAGAACTGCCCCTGAAGCTATAGATTTTAGATTTTCTTATGCAAAAAGTATGAGACTTATAGCTACGGGGGTTGACTATAATTCGTTTAGGGGCTTCTCCGGGTTTTTAGTTTGTGTAGCTTTTTGCACCTGCTAATTTAATTTAATGTTTACACGAGAAAAAAAAACTGAAGAAACAAATCTAATTTTTAATGATTTTTAAAAATCATTTTCTTTTGCAGGAATGCCATACTACAGCTACACCGATCGTTCCTAAATATTTTTCTTGGTCAGTCAAGCGCTGGTTTAAGACCACTCAACATTGAAGTTATTTATTTTCTTTACCCTGATGTTGTTCGTTTTTTGTTTAGAACGTTAGTAGGTTTAGACGACGATGTTTCACTTGATAGCACCACAGCCATTTTATCATTTTTCTTGGAATCCCATTTTTCCGATGACAACTTTTTGATCGCTTATACACGTGATATAAACGAAATTTTCGTAAATGTTTTCGTTGATTTAGTCTTGTATAACGAAGTGTCGGGAAATTTTGCAGCACGTGTCATTTCATCGCTTTGTACTAATGAGAAGATTCCCGGAATTATTGTAGAAATTGTCGACTATATTCAGGTTCATTTTCACAAGATGCTCAAAAATATTTTTCGAAATATCACCACCTTATTAAAAGGCCTATATCTCCGATATACTACCTTAGACGTCCAGATTGCTGTTTGTGATAAGTATCGTATTCTCGTTGATGAAGGTTTTCAGAAAATTATTAGATATTTAAGTGCACAAAGTAATAATTATCGTACTTTGTTTTTAATGTTACAAATCAATATTGTGAGTATGGACCAATGCTTTGGGTTAGAACTTTTTAAAAAGAGTCGATTTACTTATGAAGAACGGATGGGTGTGCAAAATTACATTCCTTATCTATTAAAGAGTGTACCTATTGGTTCCTTAAACAATGTGATAAAGATAATACTAAATAGTGAGGTACCTATTGGGTTTAAATCTCTTTGTCTATCAAATAGTATTGCTAGGTTTTTAAGAATTTCTAGTGATGATATTAATGTGGTCTCTTCTATTTGTGATACCTTAGTTGTAAGTCTACTGAATAGTTTTCAGTTGAATTGTCAATATTCTAACAGTATTTGTAGTAACTTAGTTTTATACTTACTTCAAAAGTTAAAGAAAATTCGTGTAAATCCGTTACTTATTTCTTTTGTTCGGGGACAGTACCAAAAAATTAATATTAACAACGTGTATGTAACGTCGGTAGTTGCAGCGTTGTTAAGTAAAGATTTAAATTTATTAGATTGCGACAAACAATTTATAAAAAGCGTAATTAAATCGATTAAGGATTCTTTTATTTTTGAAGTTGTTGAAAAAGACTTCTACCTTGCGTCGACGATAATTTACTATTTTAAATGTGCAGACAAGACTGACAAATTAACTTTACTCATAATCGTTTTTCGTTTCTTATTTGAAGAAGAAACATGCGACGAGGCATTGAAATTTGTATCTCTAGCTTTTAATATACGAAAAACTAGTCTTTTGCCTAGTACAAGAAACCTATTAAATAAAGACAAACTGTTAATGTACTTAAGTAACTACGAGGTTGCTAAATTCTATGTGCAGTTACTTATCTATTTACGTACAATTAATGATCATGGTGATAAAAAAGATGGTGCCTTTAATGTTATAGATGTTAGTTATGTATTTTTGTATAAGAAATTTCTAAAGAAAATCATAAAAAAAGAATTAAAAGATCAAGATCGTGTATTGGAGATGAGTTGATGTTAAAAAAAGACGAAAAAGAGCCGATTCAGGAGGTTAGCAGACAGAAAGTTCTTAGTTGTTTTGTGTTTATTATTCGTTTTTCAAATAAATGTATTAAACGTATTTATGAGTTCTTTTTTTATTGTTATTGAAACTTTTAATTTAAACTAAGTTGAACCAACTAATGAACGATTATATTGATCTAATTTCACAGAACAATTTGCTAGTACTTGTTAAGAAATGCTCTTGGTTTAGCATTTATTATTTATTTTTAATTTTAAATTGAACGGAGCCAACTAGTGAATGATTAGTTTCGCCTTAAATCATAGCGCACTTTGTTACTACTATTTTATCAGTTGGGCAAGTTATGTTTTATAGAGGAAATACAAGTTAATAGGTTGAATTAAGAGAATCTGCATGCGTAACAACATTTTCCTAAGCGATTAAAACAAAGAAATGTTTTTGAACTTTGATCCCTTCTTAAAATAATTAAAAAAGAAGCGCAACTGCATACGAGACAAACAAAAGAATTAAAAGATAATTTCTTTTAAGTTATCTTTATTGTAAATTCTGTTTCTTTTCATAGTTAGAAAATAATTTGTGTTTGTTTTAAATTTTTTTCCCTACTCCTAGTTAATTACTGTTTTTGTATGCATGTATGAGCCATTTTCCACACAACAATACAAGTACGTTCCGCACCAAACGCTGACTCAGTTCGACTCAATTGTGATTTGAGGTTAAACGTGTTGTCGTTATCATACAAATGTCAATTACACCCTGGAAATGCTGTAAAAAAAGTGGTGCCACAGTTTTTATAAGTTAAATAAATAATAATTGGTGGTATTTTTGGTATTTTTGAATAAAGTGCCATCAAAACTTAGTTTCATATCAAAGTGTCAGTTTAAATTGTTACCTCACAAAACTTTATGAAAAACACTGTGAATGATAAACAGTTTTACACAAAATGAGTTTTAATGAAAAATTAATTGATTTGTGACAAACACATTATGGTGTCGTGAATAAAAAGGAATTATTTTAGTGCGTTGTGTTATTGTGATAGTTGTGATAAAGACTTCAAAATGATTTCCTTGAAAAAAAGGTGTAGGGATGAATTGTTACATCTTGCTCTTATTTTAAGTTTATTGAGAGTAAGCCCAGAAATTTCACTAGAAAATGATCCATTTGGAATTGTTACAGACTTAGACTTGAATAATGGTACCACCTGGAGGTACATTAATCCTAATGTTCTACGGTCACATTATGTGCACCCCAAAAATTTAGACTCTGTGTTATTGAATTATGAACAAGAAGTATTTGCTGATTTAAATTTGTTGGGAAGGTATGATAGGATAAATATCATACAAAATCAAAATATAACATCTTATTTGTTGAACGTAAACAATACCACTACCAACAGTGATTCTTCAGCCCCAACTCAACCCTTGCCCCCTGTTCATATTCCTTCCAATGATCAGACCCCTACAATTGAAGGAAGTAGTTTAAATGCTGCTGGAATTGACATTGAGTTAACTCAAGAGGTATTTATATAATTTAATTGCCTTTTCCCTTTTTAATTAATATGTATTTAAAAATAATTTTTATTTGAAGCCCAATTAAGGCTTAATAGTTTAACAATGTTTAAGCAACCCCCGGCGACAATCCACAAAGGTAGTATCATATCTTTCACAATTACTTTTCTTATCGCTCAAGTAAAGTTATAATGTTCAAAAGACGTTTTTTCTTCCCTTTTTTATAATAATTTTGTATGTAAACGCTGGTCATTTACCATTTTATTAAACATACTTTATAAANTTGTGTAACAATTTATTTTGTCAAATTGTTATTTCCACTGGATGTTGCTATTATTATAAACAACTATATTCATTTTAGCGTTAAAAGGAATAAGAATGCCTGTATGTTTTGTATATGTACAGGGTGTTTTAAAACAAATTACAATTTACTTTCGGCTGTATTTGGCAATCGCTTGACCTAGAAAAATTGTTTGTATGATCAACTTTCTTTAGTTCTCATATTTAGTATGAGATTGCACATTATATAGAAGACACAATCATTGGTTGTATGTACGCACATGTACTACGTTTTAAATAAGATATTGGTAAGAACTTAATTTCATAAGTAGCAAATGAACAAACGTAAATTAATTTCTTCATTTAAATTATTATCAGGCTTTACTGTACATGGTGCTTAAGAAATATTTTAAAGGATTCAGAAGTATCTTTTTTTTTTGAAAAATTCCCAATTTCGCATTTTGATTAAGTAAATTGGTTTAGGTAACTTTAGTGTTTCAAAATTAAAATATTTTTAAATAATAGTAAACTTGAAAAGTTCTGATTTAACGTTTGGAATACGATTTCTTGTTATTTGAAAGTTTAGATTTTGTACCTCGATTCTGTTATGTCCTAGTTGTAATTTAAAAACAATTGGCTATTGAATATGACCTTTTTGAACTAAAGTGCTGTTATCGATAATAGAATATACGCTGTTAATAGGGTATGTACTATTGGAAAATGTTTTAAATTGAATACGCATTCATATATGAGTGTTTTGGCAAGGACGATTCTAATTTAGAAAATTTTCATGAAAGTACCGAGTTCACTGAATTTTTACAGCTCTGATTTGACTTTAGGGGGAGGGGGGGGGTCGTTGCAAGGTTGGGACTATTTTTACCCATCTTCACGTTTAACTGAAATATAGGTACCGATTTTTTTCGAAGGTATATTTGGATCGAATTTTCAAGTTCAACGTTTCTTGTAAAATAATATTTTCACTATAAATAGTGTATCTAACATTGTGAATTTTATAGGACATTTAAAAATAGAAATAGAAATATAAATATATAAATAAAAGCATAGATTTGCTGCATGCTTTTTGTGTTCAAACAATTGAATTTGACTGAAAATGTTTTCTGCTTGAGCTTTTAATTAATAAAACAATCAAAATAATCGGTTATTCGCCTACAAAGAGATTGATATCATGTCGTAATCTTCAAAAAATTTGTCTACATTGTTTACTAAATTTTATCGTTTATTATCCTTTTACATTTTCCTTTTTTATTGCATGACATATATCATAGGCATTTTTCTCATTTTAAATTAAAAATAGTGGGCAACATTTAAAAAATCTTGAGTACGACCCTGACGTTTCCTTGTTAAAATCATTTTCTACGTTGTTCATAGATTACCTAGATACAAGGCAAATTCATTAAAGTAAAAATAAATATTCGAGTTTGGCAATCACCCTATTTACACTATTTGTTATGCCCTTGGAGTTTGATTCTTTGTTTCATACAAATAATATGTGTATTATGTATAATAGACCTATAGTGACCACTGACCACCTACCTGATTTTTTCTTTTTATTGCATAAAATTATTATTAGAGTATAACGTAGTACATCTACAGTTTTCAAAACAATCTGTAGACGCGTAATATTATTATGGATTTCTTTGTTTGTTTGCGATCTACGTTATTATCGTTACAATTTACTGTATTGCATATTTTACTATTTTACATTTCTTTGTTTGTCTAATCGATCCACTCATCAGTGAAAGGTCTTTTTCTTGCGTATATGACTAAATTTTATCAATTTGATGTTACTGAATATTAATTTGGGAATTTGAAATCGTCGAGGAGTTGTGTCGTTATTATATGTATCTATTAAATTAGTTGAGGTTGTTGCACTAGATCTATTTTAATAATTCAATTTATGTAAAAGATTCGTAAGAGCTCAGAGTGTGAATCATTTTGCCTTTTCGATTACCTATAATGATTCTTTGTGACACAAACGATTGCCCAAAAAGGAATTCTTGTTTAGAAAGCTATTTTTTTTATTGATCACTATTTATAAACTTTGTTACTATAGAATTTTATATTTTGAATTTGTTTTTTTTTTCAAAAATCATGCGTGGTGTTAATGATTAGTTATCATTCCGTGTTTACGTAGATAACAGTAATGTTTTGTGATATCTATTCTATTTGTTTATGCTTGAGGCGTATTTGTGGCTAATTGAGGTTTATTGTTTCTTTTTTTTTTTCGATAAGATTTAGTTAAGAAGTATAAGCACAATTTTTGCAAATGATGATTTTATTTTAATGCCTTTTTATATAGGTATATTCACAAGCTGTTATCGAATCCTGTCTAATTTGCAATTGAAATTGAATTGTATTGAAAAATACTTAATTGATGGAAATGTCCAAGTTTTAGGGGTGTGCTTTTGAGCGTAACGTTAAAATTCTTTGTTCGATGATTATTTTTATTTCTGATTCCTACGCAGTATTTTGGCCATGAATTGGGCTAAACATATCAAAAAAACGTTAACCTATAGTTTGAACTATACTGACCCATAATGTGTGGGGGACGTATCATGAGGCCGATGTGTTTGGCAGAAAGACTTTTAGAAAATTGCCAAAAATCCTATTTTGTTTGTCTTTTATGGCCTCTATTTACGGCTTGTGAAAATTTTTTAGTACACGGTCAAGGTGAGGTCAATTTACATTTTCAATATATATGCAAACATTTTATATAAAGAGTTCTAATTACCCATATATTATTTGTTGTTAGAAATTACGTTATCTCAACAAAAAATGATTAATAGTATTATTTAATTAATTATTAGCTGCTTTTTAATTACAAAAAAAATGTAGCAACATTTTGAAATTTGCACTTTTGCAAACAGTTGCTTACACACATACGTACGTATTTATTTATAATCATTTACGTAGGAATAATGAATTATACTTGTGTTTGGTTATTAAACTCATGTTTGACAAGGTCGCCTTCATTGAACGTTTTTTGTGTTCATTTTAGTCACTTCTTCAAAAATAATTATTTCGTATTTCTATGTTCTGATAAAAAAAAGCAAAAAACTTTTTTTGGGGACAAAAATAATAACAATAAAAAATATACAAACTCAGTTCATCCCCAACTTATAGTTTACAGGTATAATTTTCTTCTAACTACGGTCCTGACAATTTAATAATTTACTACTTATTTCATAATTAATATCTACAACCCATAATAATGACTGCTGTTGAACACATTGTATGAAATAATATTTAATGTACAAAACATGTCGTAATTACAATTTTTTTATTTACTATTGTTAATTAGTTAATTTTGTTAATTGTTTCGGAAATCTCTAACATAAAAGAAATGATGTGAATGTTAGTCATATTTTAATTCAATATGTGCTATATAATTTAAATTCTGGAAGTACTTTTTTAATCGCTCGGTATATATGTCAATCAGTTTAAATTTTGGCGCTAAAAAGCTGCAGCTTCCCGTTACTAGGTGGCGCCGGAGTGCACGCAGTACGCTGCTGTGTACTAATATGATGGCGCGTAGTGTTCGAGCTCTTTTAAACAGATGGCGCTACAAGTATTTTTGTAAGTTTTGAAATATAAATTGCGCGAAATATTTCAGTGATTTTAATATTATGTATCTTATAGTGTTATTATTTATAAATAAAAATGTTTATTATGCATTTCTGATTATAGTGGGAAGATAAAATTTAAATTAGGGCAATTAGAGTTTGTTTTTAGTTTGACAAACTTTTGCGCGTTTTTTGCGCTCATTAAAAAAAAAAAATGGAAAAATGAACAGTTTTGAGTTTATTTATTGTCTAATTTTTATTCTCTAACGATAAGTAGTGTGTGATGCAGTTTGTTCAAGTTTTTATCTTGCGTGTTATTATAAATATTGTTAAATAAATGTTGATATAAAATTAGTTTATACGCCTGTTCAAATATTCTCTGTAAACATGTCACTAGTTCGTGATTTGTCGAGGTGATACGACGTTTAGCAGGCCGAACATCTTCACACATATTGGCAAGTGTGTTGTGTATTTNAATAACAATAAAAAAAATAGCGGACTAAACGCCATTTTTTGCGATCAGCAAAACAAGAAAACCTATTGAGTCAGTTATCAAAATAAAAATGTTTATTATGCATTTCTGATTATAGTGGGAAGATAAAATTTAAATTAGGGCAATTAGAGTTTGTTTTTAGTTTGACAAACTTTTGCGCGTTTTTTGCGCTCATTAAAAAAAAAAAATGGAAAAATGAACAGTTTTGAGTTTATTTATTGTCTAATTTTTATTCTCTAACGATAAGTAGTGTGTGATGCAGTTTGTTCAAGTTTTTATCTTGCGTGTTATTATAAATATTGTTAAATAAATGTTGATATAAAATTAGTTTATACGCCTGTTCAAATATTCTCTGTAAACATGTCACTAGTTCGTGATTTGTCGAGGTGATACGACGTTTAGCAGGCCGAACATCTTCACACATATTGGCAAGTGTGTTGTGTATTTTGTGCATATGTAAATGTAAAATTGTCTATGCTTTTTTTCTCTCCAGTGATTATCATTTTAACGGAGAGCACGTGGTCTCGTAATTACCCACAGATGTCAAGGATATTCAGTTTATTCACTGGCGCTTTCTCTTGATAGAATAGTTTATTACAGTGAAGTTAATTTTTATTATAAATATTATAAAAATTCGCGGTCAAATCGGCGCA